TGGTCAGTGGAGGCCTCGGAAGTGCTGTGTCCTGCAGAAACGCGATCACGCCCCGCACCGCAGCCTCTAACTTCTGCTGCCTGCACCGCTGCTGTCCTCCCCGCGCGTGCTCCGGGCCACTGTCGCAGGCAGTGCCTCCGTACGCCCGGCCTCGGGGGCGATTGCTGCCGGTGCCCAGCCACCCCCCGTTAATGCCGCTCTTGTCTGTTCCTTTCGCTAGCCGGGTTGCCCTGTGCAATCCTGACGTCCAGGCATGCCCCCTTCCAGCGAGGATGGTTCTGTAGTGACGAGTCCATCAAGTACCCTTTCCGAGAAGACACCATCCCCTATGCCTTACTGGGTGGAATAGTCATTCCGCTCAGTGTTATCGTTGTAAGTTGCATCCACTTTTCTCAGATTTTCACTCTTTGGTCAGTTGGCTGATTTTTTGTGCTAACCTGTCAATGATTAAATGCATAGCCCTGTGAAGCAGTGTGTGTTTCTTAACCTTTAATCGAAGGCATTATCTGATCGAGGTAATTTCCACTGTCGTAGGCAGGGCTGGAAGAACTCACTGACTGTGTGCAGGTGTATCTTAGTTGAAAGCAGAAACTACAGTCCTGCCCAGATGGGCCAACCAAACAATGACATCGTTTGGTCCGTTTGGGAGTTAATCTAAACAACAGACACTTCTCAATTCAGCAGTTTAATGTCTCGTTCAAGAAGGGTCACAGCTCCTCGCAGCACTGAAGGTCGCTCAGCTCATCATTTGTGGGACATGATCAATAAAAGAAGCCTCTGCTGCACAGACATTCGCTTCATGAGACTGAGGTCCTTGGAGGCAGAGGCGGCCCCTTGCCCTTCCTGGTGGCCCTGTGGCCATGCGGCCTGGTGTGGGGCCCGCGTGGGGGCGGGGGCCGAGTGGCTTGCAGCTACATCGGCGACTCCTGCACGAGGGCGAAGAGCTAAGAGACCAGCGACCCCTTTCATCTGGACGGGTCTTTGCACGGAGTTTTCACCACCAAAGATAAAGCCACGCCCACTGAGGTCGCTTCTTGGACCTCGGGGAGAATGTCGGTAGGTGAGGTGTGGTCGCCCATGCCAAACATTCCTGCGGTGAAGGCAGAATCTGTTCCGAAGTTAAGAAAAAACTCTTCCATCTGATGGGACAATTTTGACTTTTGAGAGGTTCAGTAGGGTGAAGGGGGGCTGGAGGTGTCAGGGAGGGGCGGGAACACACCAGTGAGCCGGCCACTCTTGGGAAGGTGGTCCTGAGCGGGGGGAGACTGACAGTGACCGCAGCTGTGGGGACAGCGTGGAGACGCGGGGGTCCCACGGCAGATGGCGGGGAGTGCTGTGGTACTCGGGTTTCGAGGGGCTGAGCCACACCGGCCTAGGTAACTGTTAGCTTGGATCTTCAGAAACATTCCGGCCACTCCCCCAAACATTATCTTCAGCTCTTAAATGATTTATTCCACCTTTAGAACTGGAGTGAGTGACATGTGCCAGGCACCCAGCCCGAGACTCAGCCACAGGTCAGGCTACTTATGTGCGGCGGCCACCAAAGGCTGAGGGTGGGCACGAATGGCCCAGTAGGCAGGAGAAGATGTTCACATGAAACAAAACACGCCTTCCTGAGTAGGTGAGACAGACAGATCCCTACTTCTAGTTTGGAAGAGTTGTTGGGGGGGGGCCAAAAAGTTTGTTTTATTCCCCATAAGATGACTGTAGTAGTGTTTAGTTGTCTTCAACTTCATTCAAAACAATTTTGTTAGATTGTATTGTGACAGCTGTCATATCAGCCTGCATTAAAAAACTTATCAAAAGCAGTGAATTTTTGCGTAGCGATTTTACTATTGAAGATGGAAATAAATATGCAACATTTTAGGCACACAAGTTCTGTCCAGAGGAAGTGCAGCCATTGTTAACAAGAACGGTTTGTGTGACATCGGTGTGACCTGGCAGCCAAGGAGGGATGCGCCTGTGTCAGCAATGACGCCCTCACCACGCTCGTCGGGGCGGCAGGGGCCCCTGAGGGAGCACACGCTCTGTGTGGCAGTCGCAGTCAAAATGTCCGAGGGACAAGTCTGTGTCAGATTTTGCGTTGAGCTGAGCACTGCTCCGCAGAAACTGGGCAATTCTGAAGGCTTTCAGGGACAACGCAGCCAGTGTGGCGCCCGTGAAAGTGTGTCACGCAGGCGGCAGAGACGGTCGAGACTCGGGAGAGTGACCCCCCGCCTGGGAGGCCTGCAGCAGACGGAGCACCTGAGAATGGCGAGCGTGTGTGGGCTGCCGTCAGCCAGGACCTCTGGCTCTTTCTGAAGCCAGAATCACCTTCGAAAGAGAAGAGATTTCAGACCATCGGTGCGATTCAGGAAAGTGTGGCGGGGCAGCTGACGGCGATTCCAACAAAGGGTTTCGCAGAGGAGAGTGCACAGTGAGAGCTGTGTGAGGTCCCAAGGCGCCTGCTTTGAAGGGGACCGTGGCGGTGGCGTCCTGTGTGCCATGTTCCTCGCGTCTGCCATCTTCTTCAGCAGACGTCTCTGTCTTCACACGTGGCTGAGTGCTTTCTGGACGGACCTCACAGTGCCCTTTGTCACTTCAGGAAAGGCAAAAACGCACCCAAAGTGCGGAAAGCTGTGCACGGTGTGTGGAGAAGGTGCTGCCACTGACCACACGTGTCAGAAGTGGCTGGTGAGCTTCATGCTGTAGATTCCTCGCTGGACAATGCTCCACCGTCGCTGGACCAGGTGAAGTCGGTAGTGGTCAAATCAAGACAGTAATTGGGAACAGTCAACGCTGTACCACACAGGAGAGAGCCGGCACACTCAGAATATCCAGATCATGACCTGGCTGGTGTGGCTCAGTGGATTGAGCCACAGGCCTGCAAACCAAGGGATCGCGGCTCAGTTCCCAGTCAGGGCACATGCCTGGGTTGCAGGCCAGTTCCTAGCAGGGGACCCACGAGAGGCAACCATGCATTGATATTTCTCTCCTTCTCTCCTTCCCTTCCCCTCTAAAGATAAATAAATAAAATCTTAAAAAAAAAAAAAATCCAGATCAGCAGAGGTACTGGTGAAAATGAAAAAGGTCTCTTATTTTACGGGGAAAGCTACACGGGCTCCGTGGCCGACCCAGCACCGAGCCCTTCTCCCTGGTCTGTTCCTCTCGGTGAAGAGGGAGCACGAGTGAAACACCACGTGAGCTGACGTAGCGCCTGTCGGTGAACATCGTCCCACCGACCCCGCGTTAAGGGTGTTGCAGCTGCTGCTGCTGTGGATCCGCTTTCACTCCGCACCCAGCGCTTCCCACATTCCTGGTCAGCGGATTCTTTGTTCGGTGGCAAGAATCAGGGTCCTTAATAACGATGACGGTGACTAGGAAGACGGATTGAACGCTTGTTTCCGGAGAAGACTCGATTGTTTACCCAAGGACAGCGGAGATGTGGGTGTTTTAGCTGTTCAAACTGTGATGGCTCAGTAGACGTAGTATTTTGAATTACCAACGGTCCACTCCAATAGCGACACATCAGAGAAATTCTTTCCTGCTGCTGATCTCTCGGAGCGGGAAGGCCCAAGTGGCCTGGGACGAGCCTGCAGACCCGAAGGAACTCCAGGCCCCGGCGGCCGGGGGGAGCCCCACGCAACATCCAGGAGGCCTGTGGTCCCCCATCCTGGGAGCCCTGCTCTCCGAAAGGGGTCGGATCAAGTCGAGTGCGGGGAGGGCCGAAGGGAAGAATCCGCTTCTGTGGGGCTGAATGTGTTTAAATGGGGGGCACTTGCCCTTTACACAAGGGGCGGCGTCTTCAGCTAAATCGCGCGGACCCCCTGCTCTGCTGGGTCGCCCTGTGCGCTCGTAGTAAACTGCAGGGCAGGGGCTTCTGCAGAGTTCACAGTCTCACTGTCAGAGTGACGACATTCTCATGGAACCTTGGGGGCCGCTGAGCCAGGTGAGGAGAGGGTTTTTCGTATCAGGGTCTTCAAACCCTTTTCGTGAGGCAGCCACTTATCTCACCTGTGGTGAGGCTCACAGGTGAGGCCCATGGACCCCCGCTGAGTGGGAATACTCACGTGCTTTGTAAAACTTCAAGGGAGCCGTTTTTTAGTAAAAAGCAGCAGCAAAATGAGTATGTATGTTAAGTGAACCTTGGTGAGTTACCTCCCACCTCAGAATAAAATGGCAGGCAGACTCGTGTTCAGGGGGTTACTTTGGTCTCAGGCTGCTAGAGTGGCTGATTTTACCAGCAAATGTGATGTTTATGACGCTGCCATTCAGTATTTTTACGTTTCTCAGGGCAGTAGCCTGTGCACTTGGGAGTGTTTGGAAGCCTTTCTCTGCCTTTAACCTCACCGCACCGCTGCAAGGTGGTGCGCCTGCCGGCTGGGCCCCGGGAAGACTCACTCCGCTCCTGCAGAGCCCGCGGCAGCCTGGAGGACAGCGGCACCGCGATGTCTTCCTGCAGGAGAGGTCTCCAGGCCCCTGGGAGGCAGGACCGGGGCCCTGCCAGCTGACCTCCGCCCTCTGCCCTCGGCCTCTGAGCGGGACCCGGCCTGGACGTTGGAGTTCTCCTGCGCACACTCTCAACCTGCTCCTGCGGCGGACGTCTCTGTCCTGAGGAGCGCCGGCCAGAAGTGAAGACTGTCGGGGCCCATGGAGGGGGCGCTCCAGCTGGAGAGGCTCCTGTTCTCTGGACAGACCCCATTTTTGTCCACAGCGCACGGCTGGCTACTTACTGAAGCTACTTTATTTCAGTGCAAGGAAGGAAAGGAGGCCGCACTGTTTTAGACAGACTGCGGAGTTGCTTGGGCCGGGCCATTGCTTTGTAAGGAGTGCCCACCACTGACCTGACCCCTTTTTCGTGGTTTAGCCTCCTCGAGCTGGTCTCCATTTGCAGGGGGAAGACAGGGAGGGCTGTTTTTAAAATAGAGACTGTCACTGTGACTTACCACTTTCTCTTCTGCTTACAGTGTTGGTCCCAGTGCCCGGCTGCTGCTGTGACGGTCTCTCTGTTTCCTTTTCAGATGGTTGTCGGAGAAACCGTGTCTGTCTACTGTAACCTCTTGCACTCGAACTCCTTCATCAGGAACAACTACGTGGCCACTGTTTACAAGGCTGTGGGCACGTTCCTGTTCGGCGCGGCTGCGAGCCAGTCCCTGACCGATATCGCCAAGTACTCCATAGGCCGGCTGCGGCCTCACTTCCTGGATGTCTGCGACCCGGACTGGTCGAAAATCAACTGCACCGACGGCTACATCGAAAACTACGTGTGTCGGGGGAACGCGCAGAAAGTGAAGGAGGGCAGGTGCGTGGCGGGCGCGGGTGCCCTTCGCTGGCTTGGGTTGCGCGCGGGTCTTTTCCGGCAGCTCCACGTGGAAGGTGAAGAGCACTTCCTGTTTCACAGAAGGACCGGAGCCTGGGCTTTCTCCCGACTTCCGTGCCCTGGCACAGGCCGCCTGGGTCCTCACGGTCACCGTGCAGGGGGGCTGCCCGGCCCCCATGACCGCCTGTCTGACACCCCCTCGACTGCAGGGTCCTGGGGTCCAGAGTCCCCACCCTTCCCGGCAGCCCACCCCCTTTCCTCCACAGCCAGGTCCTCATGCGCCCATCAGAAAGCAGTTGTGAAGTTGGAATGCGTGCCCTTCTCTGTAGCTTCCGAGTGAACGCTCTGACTGCTCAGGGCGTTCGGGGCTGTGCCCTTCGGGTGTGGCCCTGCAGCTCGCGGGACGGCAGGCCCCACGGAGGACATGCCCGTGTGGCTCGAAGGTGACGGCGTGGCAGGGGGAGCTGGCCTTCTCGGCTGCTTGGCTTCCCCCGTGCCCTGTGTGTGGACTGGCAGCTGGGCCATCCGCGGGCTCGGAAGTGCAGGAGCAGCCACCGGGGTGAGCCCGTGGCTCGGGTGGTGTGTTCACTGCACACTGTGCCGTGCTCCCTCCAGGAGCACTTGAACGTGACTGCGTCCATCTGCAGTGCGGGGTCACGGAGCTCAGTCGTAGCCGGGGTCGGCAGGCGTCCTGAGGGGCCAGAGAGTAAAGACTGTAGGCCCGTGGGCCGTGCGGTCTGTTCGACGTCTCCGCACGTTCGCGGCTGTGCAGGAAGAATCAGCCACAGACAGGCTTCGAACGAGAGGGCCGGCTCCGCGGGAACGAGGCACGCACAGCGACCACGCCGGCTCGGGCTGCGGTGCAGCTGCCCTCAGGCAGGCTGCCTGCTGGCGTCCGTCAGACCCTCTGTGCGTCTGTGGATCTTCTAGAAACACGTTTTGTCAGGTCCTTAGGAGGGTGGGATCTCTGACTCCGGTTCTCGAAATACCGTCGTTCTTTCTTTTCCATCGCCTTCGCTTCATTTCTTTTGTGACCCTGCTGCTCTGTGTGTGGGCACATATTCATGTGCTGTATTTTCTGCTCTGTGTGCCCTTGTTGGTATGAAATGTCCGTCTGTCTCTAGGGATACTCTTGGCCTTCAGTCTGTTTTGTCTGATGTTAACACCTCGCCATTCCAGTTCTCGGGTGCTTATTGTCTGGGCAGTACGTATTTCCCGTAAGTAAACCTTTCGGTTTATTTGAAACTCTGACTTCCAAATGTCTTCATCGGGCACTTCGGAGAACGTAGGCTGGTCTCGTCTCTTCTTTCTAACCCAGTCGGCCACACCTGCCTTTTCACCACTGTGCACCAGTTTGCACACGGTGCCATCACCCACGTGGGCTCGGGGCGGCCGAGTTGCCGCTGTTTTCCGTTCGTCTCGTTTCTTCACACTGAGGTGTAGTCGACATTCAGCCTTATGTTGGTTTTAGGTGCAGTTCTTTTCTCTTTTTAAATTTCCGTTCCTCCTGCATTGCTTTCTTCTGTATTGAACATCACACAAGTATTCGGTAGTTTGACATTTTCAGTGTTCCGACATTCTGTCTAAATTTCTCGGTCAGTTTTTGGTGTCTCCCTAGGGGTTACGTCTACCTCTATCACAGTCTGTACCCAGTCGGTGTGGACTCCCAAGGGGGAGGCGGCCCTTTCTCACACAGTGGGGCTCGGCGCTGTCGCTGTACCACGTCTGTGGGCGTCACGGACTCAGCACAGCGGTGCCGTTCTGCTTGCTCGTGCCTGGTGCTGACACAGACGCCCGTCGAGGGAGTAGAGCGCAGCCGTCTGCGCCAATGAGGAGGCTCCGTGACTCCCGGGGCAAGTCAGTCTCCGGGCAGCAGGGGACACGTCCCCGTGCCCAGGCCCGGGGCCCGGGGATCGGCCAGGCCTGGTGCGGTTTTAGCCTGAAGAAGTTTCCTTAGCACTTCTGCGGCTCCAGCAACAGACGCTCAGCCGTGCGCACCCGCAGCGTCTTCACTCTGCCCTCCCCCTTCAGGGGCGGCTGTGCTGCCTGCGGGCGGCCCATGGCGGCGTGAGCTGCCCACGGCGGGCCGCCCCCTGCAGCAGCCCAGGTCCCCTGCACGTCACCTCCTGGCTGCTCTTGGGCTGCGGGCGGCGCGGGCCCATCTCCGTTCCTGCCGCCTGCCCGGGGGTGTTGAGCTCCTTGGCGTTTCCCACTGTCTGAGTCTCAGCACCTTCTACCAGGCACCGTGTCCACGCCTCTGACAGCATCTGCCCCGCGTCCCCCACAGGAGACAGGCAGGACTCTCGTGCCTGCCCCCACGCCGAGGCATCGAGGGAGGCCGCCGTGGCGATCAGGGTTTGCCTCTGTGCGTGGACCTTTGCTCGGGATCTTCCTGCGATGACGGACCCCGTTGAGAGGTGTTTCCCTCCACAGGCCATTCGCACGGAGCGAGGGACGGCGTGACGTCTCAGACGGGGGGAAGGAGTTACGTTTTTCAGTCCGCATGTCGTCTTCCCTCCCCTTCCTCGAGCGTCCGACTCACCCAGTGTGCGTGCTGTTCGTCCGATTGTCCTTCTGCTCTGCACACTCAGGGTTCATGCCCGTCACCCCGTGAGTTTCCCCACCAGCGACAAGCAGCTGTCCAGCCCAGGCCCCGTGGCAGGGGCAGGAGACACCTCCGCTGCAGCAGCGTGACTGTTGGAGCAGCGTGACTGTCTGGGCGACTCGGCGGCAGAGCCCTGTTGGATGTAATGGCCATGTCCAACGAGGGGACCTGCTGCTGGGCATTGGGGCCCTGAAGCGAGGAGAGTTGAGCAGGGAGAGGGCACGTGAGGAAGGCTCAGCGTCTTCCCAGATCGACGTGATTTCCACCAGTGTCCCCAGGAGGCAGGGGCGCTGCTGCACCGAGCTGTGTGGCCTGGTGCGTGGCTGTGGCTAAGTTTCTGTTGTGCCTGGCACATGGCTCGGTTGGACACGGACTTTCTATTACTTTTCCCTTAAATTTTAAAAAGGATGCCAAAAATGCAGAGCCTCTTCAGTGTAGAAATTGCCTGCAGTTTACTGGGGTCGCGGTGTGACCACGTCTCAGTGTGTGAGCCCCCAGAGCCGAGTCCTGAAGCCTGACTGGGGTGTGGGAGCCTGGATGAGTCACGTGTTAGCCATGCGTGAGTCAGCACCCCTCTCAGGCCAGGTGCCCCCTACAGTTCTGGTTTTTGGTCTTGATTTTCTCCCATTTCTCCTCGTATTTTCTTTGTCCCCCCACCACCCTGCGCCTCCTGCACACGTGCCTGCTGTCCACTGACACTGATGCCACAGCGCTTTTCTGGGCTCCGTCTGCGTGGCCGCAGCGTGCCGGGCACAGAGGCGAGGGCGTCATGGACACTTCCTGCCCACAGCATCTGGGGAGCGGCTGCTGGCTGTTCACCACGGCACCCGGAGCTCACGTCAGCTCCGAGGGCCTGCGTGGGCAGCAGTGGGGACGCCTGCCCGCTGTGCGCAGCGTCGCTCTCAGGTCTGGGAGGACGAGGCTCCTGCGCTCCGGCTTCTCTGTAGACCCGCCAGGCCAGTGGGTCTCCAGAGTCACCTGAAGACTTTGGTCCAGCAGGTGCCTGGGCGTCTTCCTCAGGTGTTTGTTTCAGAGGAGGGGGTGGGGCTTGGGAATTTGTTTATGTGACAAGTTCCCAGAGGCAGCTGCTGCCACTGCTGGTGTCCAGGCAGTGGTGCCCCACCCAGACGGCAGGGCCTCGCCCTCGCCGGCCACCTGCTGTCCCAGGGCGTGGGAGCTGGTGCCGGCCGCCCGGCAGGTGCCCTGAAGGCTGGGCACAGCCGGCTGGTCTGTTCGGGACCATATGGTGTAGCACCTGTGGCACCTTTGAGAGACTCTCACGCCCCTTTTTCTGGCCTTTGTTTTGGTGACATTGGTTTGGGCGTGAGTCCATGTTCCCGGTCACTGGCGGGCACTGGTCTTGGGCTGAATGAGTCCGGCGTCCAATCAAAGTTGTTTCTTCTTGGATCACGGCAGCTCTGCACTTGGATGTTTAACTGCAGTATTTTTGGTTGAAGGCAAGAAACATTTTCCTTTTCAAATTGATTCCTGGTTTATTCCAGTATTTAAACAAATTTTAAAGTGTAGTAAAGTTACCCTTTTTGTTCTCTCTCTAATGCAACTCACATGCAGGTGGACACACCTGGAGTTGAGGGCGTGTCTCTGCAGCAGCCGGAACCCGCTTTCACCCGGCGGCTGGCTGTGGCCCTGGGCCCTCGGCCGGGCCTGCCCGAGCACAGGCCAGTGCCTCCCTCCAGGCCCGGGGCTGGCCCTGCTGCGCTTCTCCGTCAGCCCTGGGGCCGTGCGGACGTGTCCTCGTGCGGAGTGCAAGGGTGGGCGGGGCTCGGGGCCCCTTCACTATGCAAAAGGACGGGCCCTGTAAGTGCAGTTGGAACGAAGGTGACTTCAGGGCCAGCCCCTCTTTCCAAGTCCTGTCCTGGGTGTCAGCTCTGACACTGGTTGTTGCTGGGGCCCTTGGGCCCATGTGGCTCTCATTTGAGCCTCACAGGACACGGGACTCCAGGGGAGGGCTCGTTGAAACGCATCTCATCGCAGGGCCTCAGCCCCGGGACTTTGACCAGCGGGTTGGGGCAGGCCCGGAGGTGGGGGCTGCTCGTCTGAGGCCACCTGCACACGTCACACATTCCCGACAGGCCTCCGCCGTTGCATCCTGGACTCTGTGCCTTCTGTCCCATGGTCTTTGTCTGATTCTGATCACAGGTGCACATGGTTTCATTCTGCCCATCCATGTGTCTTAGCCTTTCTTCTGCACCTGTACCCTTGGTCTCTTCAGGTTTACCTTCCATTTCGTTCCCCCTTGACTGTGTTCTTCTTTTACTTACATTCAAGTTATAACACAGGCACCAGCTACTGAAGATCTCTGTTCCTTCTCCAAATCTGTCTGGTCAGTTTGGATTCTCTGGCTCCCCCCCCCCCCCGCCTGTAGCGCCTGCAGGGTGTGCTGGGCCCGCGGTCTCAGAGGGTCACGGTCGTTTGCTTCACCTGCGGGCTCAGACCGGGGCAGCCTGGCACGTTCACCGTGCTCGCTGACGTCGGAGCACACGCTCGGGCACCCGGGACTCTCACCGGTGAGGAGTCTAGTCTCGGGAGCCGGCAAACCAAGCTGTTCCATTTCCCAAGTGCCGCAGCACTGGGTTTGCGCGCGTGTTCACTTTTAGGTGGGGGTGTGGCAGGTGCTTGAGGAGCACGAGGCCCGGAGAGAGGACTCACCTGGGACAGGAGCGTCAGGCATGGTTTTCAAACGTGATGCTCACACAAACACGCTCGATCGGGCGAGTCAGTGGAGAGACGTGTGCCCGTTGGGAGTGCCAGGACGCCACTGTCTTCAGTTCGTAGAATGAACTTCTCTCTTTAAGAAGTGGCCCACTTCCGAGTGCTCCGGAGGAGTCGTTGCACCCAGCCGGCGAGCACCAGCCCCGAGGTTGCCACCACTCACACGTGTGTGATGTGGCCGGGCCATCTGTGCGGGCTGCGGCCGAGTGGGTGGCACCGCACTCAGGGATGTGCGGCCCACCCCGGCAGCTCCGCACAGGGCCTGCCACACCGGTGCACGCCCGTCCCTCGGCCCCCGTGGCCCCCGCGGCCCCCGCCGAGGGACGGGGAGCGGAGCCGAGTGCCGTTCCGGACGCCTGTCCTCTCTCCCCAGGTTGTCCTTCTACTCGGGCCACTCCTCCTTCTCCATGTACAGCCTGCTGTTCGTAGCGGTGAGTACTGGTGGGGGTGGGGTCGCACGCTCGCCTCTGTTCGTCCCTGCCCCCGCCCCGTCAGCTGCGAGGCTCGGTCGCTGGGCCTGCCACCGTGCAGGCAGGCGCAGGGGAGAGGGGACGCCCATGTCTGTCCAGCCAGGCTCAACTGATTCAGAGTCCTGTGTCCTTCCCCGAGGGGCTGCCCCCCGGGCCTGTGGGGCAGAGCAGTGGCAGAGTGGGGGCCCAGGACAGACAGGCAGCCTCTCCTTGGGAAGCAGGCCTTTGCAGCGGCCAGGGCTCGCAGGGCCTGCGCACACCTGTCCCCTGGGGTACGAGACAGCTTGTGGGGCCCCCACAGGTCCCACTGAAGACCCAGGCAGGGGGCCGGAGTCCCCTCTGCAGGTGTTCTGTGGGGCTGCATCCTCCCTGGGCTGTGGGAGAGGCCTCCGGCTTATTGAACGCACAGGCAGCTGCTGTGGCTTCTCGTGGCCCAGGTTCTGTTTCTCTCCGCTGCCCCAGACTTGCGTGGTGGGACCGGTCAGGTGTCCCCCGGGGGGCTGGGGGCTGCCCCAGGTCCGGCTGTCCCTACGACCCTGAGGCCTGCCAGGCCGTGTGCGGAGAACGAGGGATGAGTGTGGCTGGGGGGGGGGGGTGCTGGCATTACGGCTCACACAGGGGCTACAGGGCCCGATCCCACTCCATCCCGTGTCCTCACGCTGTGTGAGGTGATCAGAACGGGGTGGCCAGGATGTCTGGGAACAGACGGGCTACAATTTTTGTCTCACTTTTTCAGTGGGGTTTTATGTAGCTGTGTTTTTGTCCAACTTTGTCATTGCCGGGCACCCCCACCGCATTGGGATCCCATCAACCGCTGAGCGAGTGATGCTCGGAAGCCCACCCTGTGTAATAGGCAGAAGAGACTGCTGGGAGTTAATTAGGTCTCGCTGGGCAGAATTTAAAGTCAGTTTTATCAGAATCTTGCTTTGTTTGAAAAACCACATTCCAGAAGCTGGAAGAGCATAGAAACTGCAGGTGGGCTGTATAAAAGTCAGGTCCGCGCCAGAGCCCGCACAGGGAGCTGGTGCGGCTGCTTCGCGGTTCCTGGAAATCGCCAGTGCTGGTCCTGCGTTCGTCTCGGCCGCGGCGCCTGGGGCTGCCTCCTAGACACAGCCCCCAAGCGGCTGCAGCTGGGCTGCGGGAGATGTGCTGCCCTGCAGGGGCTGACTGCCCTGCGCCACTCCGGCCCCCCGCGTCCCAGATCCCACTGGGAGAGCCAGCCGTCTCTCCAGAGGGGACCCCAGGGGCTTCTGCTGGTGCGTGGCGGGGGCTGGGGCAACTGGGAAAGGCCTGCAGTTGCTGAGACTTGAATGTCGGGCGATGTGTCCCAGACGGGTTTGTGGCTCTGAGACCTCACCAGGCAGCTCTGCTGGCCTGTCCCTCACTCCATCTGGCCCTTCTTCACGAGGGACTCAGAGTCTGAGGTCGGTGCTTGACCACGGAGGAGGGGCGTGGCTACCCTGTCACAGGGGCGCTGCCCAGTCCCCCAGGCTCCTGTCCCTGGGCCCTTGCTGGCCATGCCGGTTCCTGGGCCCCCCCGGAGACTAGGTGGGGTGGGGGCAGCCCGTCTCTGCAAGGAAAACGGGCTGCCGTGACTTGGACCCACCGGCTTTACTTCTGAGGAACAGCGGTCTCAGGTGTGCCCTCCTCCCAGCTGGCCACTGCCTGCCCCCCCACTGCCCTCTGGCCCTCGGCCGGCAGAGCCTGCTCTGCGGCTGTTGGTGCAACCGAATCGGAGGCTCCTGCTCAGGGCCTCGTGTGTCATTTGGGGACGGGTCCCGTGCACGCCACTTTCCGATGGGGTGATAGTGGAAGGGTCCAGAGGTCGGGCTCTGAGCCACAGACCAGGGCCTCGGGAGGACAGCCTCCCCTCACAAAGGGCGAGGAGCAGGGTTCAAGTTCTCAGGCCCCGGAAATGGAGCCGGAAGCAGGCACTCGGAGGCCCGTGGCAGGAGGGCGTGGGCCCCACAGAAGGGGTGGCCTGAGCTCAGGAAGCTCGGGGCTCCCCTCCTCGGGGTCACTGGTGTGGAAGGCTCGGTGCAGGACAGGAGGGCAGGGGCCGCAGGCGCCACTCGGCCTCGGCAGAGCTGCACTGAGCTCCCCGGGGGCAGGCACGTGGGGGGAGGGGCCGAGGACGGCCAGTGCAGGCAGTGCCGGGGCTCTGGGCCCGTCCGGGTGGGGACGCGTCTCACCCAAAGCACACGGGGGTGCCTGTCACTGCTGCCCCACGGGCCGACGTTCGTTGTGGTCACAGCATGTTCAGGACCACACTCGGGCAGGAGACTCCTTACCGCACGCCTGCAGGCTGCCCAAGTCCGCGGGAGGCCACGGGGGCTTCGGAGTCCCACACGGGAAGGACCCAGGAGGCCCCATCTCTGGCTCCTTGCGGGCCAGGGCACAGCCCAGGGAGCCCGGACCGTTTTCTTGCCGTGTTGCGTCCATGGTGGCGGTGGGTGCAGCGCCCACCTCAGCAAGATGCCTACACCTCTCCAAGTCCTGTGTCCTGTCTCCATGGTCTCAGGACCCTTGCCTCGCCTCTGTTCAGTGAAGAGGCAGGGAGGTTGCCAGGGTCGGGGCAGCTCGAGGAAGCGTCCTCCCTGCAATCTGTGGAGCAGTGTCCACGGTCCAGCCAGGACACCTGGGCGGGGCCCGCCCTCCGCTTGGCTTCACTTGTCAGTCTCCTGTGTTCCCTCAACTCTGGACGCCAGAGACCAGCCTCCTAGTTCAGTTTTGTAGCCTCAGCAAAGAGGGGGGCTGTCCAAAGTGCCAGCAGCCCTCACCCTGCTGACCGCCCACCTCGGCTCACGGGGCGGGGGCGCTCCTCAGCCGGCTGCCTCTGCCCTGCAGTGCTCGCTGGGCTGGAAGCCGCCCCCGAGAAGGGGCCCAGAGCAGGGAGGGTCCTCTCGTGCCCCCAGTCAGCAGGGCAAGTGGGCACAGGTGGGGACCTCTCCGAGGGGCCGCCCCTCACACAGCCGACTTTCTACGTGGGTGTAAAGGGTGTCTTTCTGGGTAGAAACTAGGCCAGAGACTTTTTAACGAGTCCAGATTCGCTAAGCACGCACAGGACACCCCGAGTCCCTACCCCCTGCGGCTCCAGGGCTGCACAGACCAAGGTGCGGACGCAGGGAGGGGACGTTCTCGGGCTGGGGCCTGTTAGGACAGTCGCAGAACCGGCAGGGGCATGGCCGCCGCTGCACACACAGCGTGCTGGGATGGGGTGGCATTTGCGTGGTCAGACGGTTCTGAGTCTGCGGCCCCGGGGACTGACGGGGCCGATGGAGCTCCCTGGGGTCGGGGGTGGGGGCTTGAAGCAGGTGTGGTCCCCGGGCTTCGAGCTGACCACAGGGCCACCTTCTAATGGGAATTGCAATACAGGTGGGAGGGGCGGAGCTGCCCCTGAAACCCCGAAAAGTTAAAGAGCCACAGGTGGTGTGAACGGAAGTCAAAGGGCAGCAGGGTTTTTGTTTACAAGGGCGGATTTCTGGGTGTCGGGGGTAGTTCACACGGTCTGCCCAGGCCCTGGCCGCGTGGCCATTGCTGACCCCCTCCCTTGCCCGTCAGCTCTATCTGCAGGCCAGGATGAAGGCGGACTGGGCGCGGCTGCTGCGCCCCACGCTGCAGTTCGGCCTGGTGGCCACGGCCGTCTACGTGGGCCTCTCGCGCGTGTCGGACTACAAGCACCACTGGAGCGACGTGCTGACCGGCCTCCTCCAGGGCGCGCTGGTGGCCGTGCTGGTCGTAAGTACGAGGGGAGCAGCCCGCTGCTGGGCACAGCATGACACCTGGGCCGTGCATAGAACCCGGTCCCCCAGCGTGAGAAACGGCCACGGCAGGGCCGGGGCCTGTTGCCGGTTCCAGGCCGGGAGGCCCGGTGGCCGCAGTCGTCTGGGGACAGAGGGCAGGGGTCTGGGTGAAAACCGGGTTTGCACGAAGCACAGCTCCGATGGGCAGGGTGCAGCTGCCGGCCTGGAAGAGCCCTGTTAACAACTGTCGGCGTGTTGGTCGATGCGCCCCCACCCCCGCTCACGGCGGCTCAGTCGGGGGTGCTCACGCGCATCTCAGGGCCACCCTGAGTGCGACCTGTCCCTTGCAGGTGGTGTACGTGTCTGACTTCTTCAAGGAGAGGAATTCTGCTTTAAAAGACAGGAAGGAGGAGGACTCGCACACCACGCTGCACGAGACGCCCCCCGCGGGGAACCACTACAGGACCGCGCAGCAGCCGTGAGGCCGCCGGCTTCCCGAGGCCGCCCCGGGACGAGGGGCGCCTCTGCCACGGGCCTGTGGGGACGCCGCTGCCCCACCTGCCGCTCACTGCCCCTGTGTGCACAGCCGCCCGACGGGGGCTCTGACCGCTCTCAGTTCACCAGGAAACTTCAAGCCTTTCACTAAAACGCCCCACTGTACATTTTTATTAAAAATGTAACGCTTATGTACACACGTGTGTGTAATGACGCTTGATTTGTGCACACGCCACAGTCCACGTCTGAGGCCCCGCCGCCCCCACCGCACGAGTCCCCCGTCGCCACGGCTACAGGTAGAGGCTGGCAGCAAACACGATGTCTCTCTTGATTTTGGTGATTCCTGAGGAAAGAAAATATGGTACTGTTTACCCTCTCAAAACCACACAAACGTGGTTCCCGCTCCTGGGGGGCTGAGGATGGCACTCCCCCCCAAAACACACACAAGGGAGACCAGCAGGTCCGAACGCGCCCGTGTGGGGTGGGAGACTCAGACACCAGACCCCGCCTCACGGTGTGACCCCAGTGTGAGCATGTGCGTGTGACGGGTGATGTCTGTTCACACACAGTCATTCGGGGGGGGGGGGGGCTGGGCTGTCCACGGACTGGCCCAGAAGCACGAATTTCCAGCCTGAAGGTGCTGCGGCCCCAGTTCCCAGGTGAGGGCCCTTCAGGACCAGGGCAGGGCAGAGACATGGGTCACTGTTCGGAGTCTGGGTGCAGCTCCGGCCACTGTGCAGCCTCCCCCTCAGAAGCCACTGGGGCTCTGACCTGCAGCTGGGCCAACACGGGGAGTAGGGACCCACCCACAGGCCCAGTCTCTCCCCCATGACCACCCTGGGGGCGGTCCAGCGGGCCAGAGCAGCAACTGGCACCAAGCCTGCGGCCACCGCAGAAGGACGCTGAGGTGGCCTTCTCCCCCCGTGCCCCATCACACGGCCTCTTGCGTCTCCCCGGGTACCAGGCACGTGGGAAGGGCACAGGCTCAGCCCCGGGCGAGGCGCCTGGACCGTGGTCTCAGCCACGCCCAGTCCTGCCGCACCCCCCTCCTCAGCCTGTTCCTGGGAAGCCACCACCCGATCCATACACTGTGACGGCTGACTCGTCCCCGCACACGCTGCCCCTCCGTCTCCCAGGACGGTGCCCGGCACGCAGGAAGCGCACCGCACGCTAAGTACGGGGTCCGGCCCCAGTGACGCCCCCTTTTTATGACAAGCGTGGCATTCTGTAATGTGGCAGTATCCCAGTCAAGCCCAGCATCTGACATTTTAGGTGAAACGTCCAAATTAAAACTACAAATCACTACGTCCGTGTTCCGACCCGCCCCACCGCCCTCGGGCGGCCTCACTTCTGCCAGGCCCTGTACTTGGAAACACGCTCGGTAGAAGGCCTCGAGTTCCACCACCCGCCTCTGGGGGGGGGGGCCGGGCCCCTGCAGGGGGCGGGCGGACACCCACCTTCTGCGAACTTGTTCTCCAGCTCCGTGTTCCCGATGGCTTTGGCCGCCTGGCACATCTGCCGCAGCAGCTCCTCCAGGCGCCGCATGCAGCGGATGATGCTGCCTGTCGGGGGGGACGTGGCGCGTGAGGCGGGCTTGGGCGGGAGGCTCGGGGCGTCCGGAGGGGCCAGGCGGCCTGCGCTGCACTGGGCAGGGTCTGCAGAGCTGCGGGCTCCCCGCGGCGACACCTGCTCCCACGGAGCCCAAGGAGCCCAAGGGGCAGCTAGCCTGGCCGTGGGAGAGCAACTGGGGCACAGGCCGACGGGCCCGGACACGCAGGGAGGGCTGACAAGCTGCCTGGTCAGGGTCCCGAGCGCAGGGCTAACTGGACACCCGGGCACTGTCCTGACACCAGGGGCCAACGGGTTTTCCAGCAGGGGAACAACAGGGTTCCCTGCCAGCTGAACAGCGCAGCCCATCATTGGGGCTTTCTCCCCACCCCGCCCCCGAGGCGGCAGCAGGGAAGGGGGGCCGGCCCCACCCTCCGTGGGCCCTGAGCCCATGAGTGTTCGTGGAGACGCTGAGGCTGCAGTTTCTGGTCGGACTTCAGCAAGGGCAGCCTGGGTCCCGGCCCCCGAGAGCTGCCGGGCCGGGCTCTTGGCGCTCGGGTCTGTGCCTGTGACCCTGGCACACGGCAGGAGCGTCAGCGAGGGCTCTCGGGCAGCTGTGAATTCACTGAGGCGTGCTGTGCTCCCCCTACCCCGGGGCTGTGTCCTCTGAGATGGAGCCCGACTCTGGGGAGGCTCAGCCCTACAGGACAGGAGGCCACAGGGAACCCTCCCGCAGGCACAAGGCCCTCGGGGTCCCGGGGAAGGCCCCGCCCACCCCCAACAACGCCACTCAGCTCCCAGCAGCCAGGCTTCCTCGCGGGGTGTCCACAGCAAAGACAGTGGGACAGAGACAAATGACACAGAAGCCAACCAAATGCGTGGGCTGAGAGGGACGCCCCTGCACACAGGCAGCCGAAGGGCCTCCTCGCGCTGGAAGAGGGTGGAGTCGCTGCTGGTCACTGGGTGTAGGACGAAGGCGGGGCGGGGCCGCACACGTCCCGGTCACAGAACATGGGCGAGGCCCAGCACCTTCCGGGCACGCGTGCTGGGGCAGGGCCACAGTCTTGTTAGGTTCTCTGCGGCCTGTGCCTTGCCACCCCAGGAGACAAGCACTGCCACCCTGCTCCTACAGCCAGGGAGGCAGAAAGGGCCCCGGGGAAGTGGCGAGGGCAACAGCCTCCGGGGCGCGGCTGTGCCGTGGGGCGGCTACGCCAGTCCCTGCGCAGTTCCAGGTCTCCCTGTCAGACCACCCCCACTGTGCCACTCAGGCTCAGAGGACAGAATGTCACCCACAGAGTCAATCTTGCAGGGGGTCCTGGATCCCCAGGGCCGCCGCCCCGACTTTTCTCAAACTGAACAACACGGAGCACTGTGTGTTATGACGCAGTGTGACTTCTCACAGAGGCAATGACAGACGGCCTTTTCCGTCCACTGTCTCCGTGGACCACACAGCAGGCTGCCATGTCGGCACCAGGAGAGCGAAACCGGAGCGTAAACCGCCCCCACGACTGAGCAGGCCCCTGTTCGGTCTGCGATCTGTGAGAAGGGCTTCCCGAGGAATTCGGAAGGAGCGGACGACGCTCACTGAACAGCACAGAGGACTGTGGGGAACATACTCGATCTGCACAGGCACAGGACTCCGTTTCCCCCCCGAATTTAAAGGGCTGCAAGGCTCACACTCCGTTAAAGCGACGCGCACGGCGTCCAGCCTACCTTCGAAGACGTCGGTCATCTTGCAGATGTGGGCGAACGTTGCTCCGGTCGCCCAGGTGTGCACCACGTCCATCAGGTGAGGTTTGAAGGAGCTCAGGTACGTCTCCTCGTCAATCTCCAATTTGGCCTCTGCTGAGACTTTCGCGATTCGTTTAGCACATTCCTTGGAAGACAAAAGGGGACACGCCCCTCGCTGAGCTGCCACACCAGTGTCTCCTTGAGTTCCAAAGCCAGCACCCACAGGCTTCTCCTCGGCCGGCGGTGCGCCTGCCGTCTGGACTCCCTGCTCGGAGGCAGCCACGGGCCCTTTCCGTCCCACGTGGCACCTTCCCATCACGTGGAAGTGGTCGGCCACAGAAAGCAGGCCACGCCAGGCTCTCCCGGCGGCTGCACCTTTTCTACCAAAACCGGAAACTCTCCAGGGCAGCTCTTCCAGAGCAGCACGGGGGCTGCTCCCGCGGTCTCACTAACAAACCAGACTGGTGACACCGCGGGCGGGGGGAGCCATGCACCCTGCAGCGCCACGGGGCTGCCCCCCATGCGGACAGACGGCATTCTTTCCCCCCGCGAGACACTCCTCCTCCTCTCCTTGGTAATCTAGGAGGTCAAAGACACCTGCGAGCACAGAGACCCCCGTGGCCCTGGAAGTTCAAACTTCTTAGTAACACCAGGGCACTTCCGACGTCCCACTGAGGGGCCGTCTCTACGATTCCCTTCTCGTCCCTGACACGTTGGGAGGCTCACCTTCCTGTACACTACTGAACGGGGAGACAGGAGTCACTTCGCCCCAAGAAAACTGACACGCGGGGCGCCGCTCCCGACCCTGAGGAAGCAGAGCAGCGCCGGGCGGTTGGACGGCCCGTCCACACCAGGCCCACTCGTCCGCACTCGGCAGCTCCACACGGTGAGCTGCGTGGTGAGGACGGCGGCTGGGTCACGGCCACAGAGCTCCCCCCACAGGACGTCGGAACCTGCCGTGAGCAGCACTGCGTGGTGTGGAACGCCACCCCCCAACGTCTTTGACCCTGACGGGGGCTGTCCCTGGTGAGCGGTAAGCGGAATAAGCAGACCGTCTAAAAAGGTTTGTTTACAATACCCTACTTGGAAAACCCGTGGTTTAAGAAAAACCTTACCTGCATTTGACGGAGTGGGCCTGCTAACTGCTCTGTCAGTTTGGGCATCTCGCTAGACTGTAAAAGAAAAGGAGGTCAGAGGCGAAACCCACGCTGAACGTGCCGTGTACACAAGCTGCAAGACAAAGTTTTTACGATACCCACTGACGTCAGATTACAGACCTCAGGCATTATTTGCCTTTATTTCTGAAAGATTCAGTGTGCAGAAACACACTGTGCTCGCCCTGAATTACCACATTCTACCCCGTTTCACAGGAGAGCATCGCCCCACTCGGTGTGCAGAGGCTGCGAACCCAGCGCTCTGAGACCACGGACGGGGTCGAGGGACAGCGAGCAGAGTCAGCCTGCAGAGCAGCGAGGCCCCGTCAGAAGGGCTGTGAGCGGTCCCGTCGTGGTGTGGCTTCGGCGCAGCTGTGGCTTGTAGGCCACTCCCCGTCCGCGGAAACCGAGCTCCGGGCTGAAGGGCCTCGGAAACAGGGCCTCGGCTTTCACCCCATCAGAGCTCCACCCAGGGCAGGGCAGTCGCAGCTGGAACCTGAGTGGGCTCCTGACGGCGACGGCCCACCAGTGGGAAGCGTGTCAGTTTGTTGGTTAGCAGGACAGGGTTTCGGGCCTGTCACCAAGAACATACACGAACTTGGACAAGCCGCTCAAAGGCGGGGGCTGGCTTTCTGCCCATCCGGGAGAAGGCCAGGGACCAAAAACCTGCTGTGATGAGGACAGAGGCAGTGCCGGTGAACAAGTCTGCACAAGAGACTGACTCCACAAAACAAAACCGCGTCAGAGTGGACTGTACGCGAGTGTGACCCGAAGTAACCCCAGGTCACTGTGAAACAGCAACTGTAGGCGAGTTGCAGCAGATGTGCCTTCACTGAAAGCACCACCACTGAGACTCGGTTCGACCTGCGCCTCTCCCTCTCACACTCACACTCACACACACGCGCGCGGCTATGATCGCACGCCAGGCTCCACGTCACTCCTCGCTCAAACAGGAAGCTGGAGGAAGGATGAGAAAGCAGAGCTCTCCGCTCCGCAGGGGAAAGAATGAGAGACGGCAGGGGTGGCAGGGGTGCTGCGCTGGCCCTCCCCGAAGCCGTGCCATGGGGGCACTGCCAGGCGGGTCCGCCCTGCGCTAACCTGCCCTCACGCCGGGGCGGCCCCTTCCAGACCCTGCACGCCACTCAGCACCCGCCCAGGAACCCGTCTGCCCTGCGCCCCTCGGCCCACCTGGTGTGACCTGTGTGCACCCAGACACTTTAGGGTCACGAGGGGGAGATTCTGGTGCCCCTGCTGGTGCAGCTACGACGCTCACAGGGACCAGGGGGCATCTGTGCCAGCGTCCCGCTGACTTCCGCTCCGTGTTACCCGTGACGGGTCAGTGGGAAGTGAAGCTTCCACGTCCACGCCGAGCACGCAGCACCGGCGTCCGATCACGGGAGGGCGCGGGGGCGGAGGCGGGACATGCCGGGCGGCACACACTCACATTCTCCTGGAACACGAAGCAGCTCAGCAGGGCGGCCGCCTGCTCCGCCGACAGGTCGTTGAAGAGGCCGTTGAACATCATCTCGGTCAGGAGCAGCTCGTCGGCGCTGCAGCCGCGGGGAGAGAACCGGCCCACACGTCAGTGTGCAGACAACCTTCCGGCACACGCTCCCTGGGCGTGGGCTGCCGCCCAAGGGGACGGCGGGCCCTGCGCCGTCAGCCGCACCCGCCGGTGGGGGTGAGCAGCCGCCCCCCAGCCTGCGGCCGCCAGCACAAAGCCGCCCCGCCCATCACTGCCTGGCCCCGAGGGCCTCCCCACCCGTCTGCACCTGGAGACCTGGCAGACGACTGTGAAGCAGAGGAGGCCGCAGCCCCGGTGCCCCCGGAGCAGCAGAGCCGCCCGCACACCGTGGTCACTCATCGAGGCTGCCCAGCCGCCCGCACTGCACTGCCCCTCAGTGTTTTAACGAGGACGCTAAATCGTCTACAGTGAGATGACAATTAAGTAGAAATCCCACACGCATGACGATGGAGATGGAATCAACACGCCAGTGGTGTCGGCGAGGGCGGCCCGAGAGGACTTAAAAACTGTCCCTTTCCAGTCCCCCCTTTCCTGGTCCAAGCCCGCCCGCCCCACCGGCGTGAAGGAGACCGGCGCCCGGGCCAGGCTCACCTGCTGATCTCACAGGCCACGCGCCCCTTCATCTCGATGACGTCGGAAGACGTGGCAAACCCCAGCCGCCTCAGGACGCGCTTGCGGCACTTGAGCTCGTCCATCTGCAGGACTGTCCTCGCTTTCTTGAGCTCTCGCTTTGCCGACTTAATGTCCAGTGCGATCTGCGGTGGGCACAGGGCAAAGGGGCTCAGTGCGGGGACGGGGCACAGTGGGCTTCCCCCGCGCGGTGAGACCAAAGGCAGCGCGTAAGGGCCCCGCGCCGCACGCTTCACCGGCAGAGTGTCAGCAGGGAGGTGGACGGCGAGAGCGGAGCAGGTGTCCGCAGTCGTGGGACATGAGGGAAGAGGGTAGTGACCGTATGGGAAGTGTCAACGTCCACCTGAACCTCGGGAGGCACAGCAGGGAGCTGTGGTTCTTGCTGAAAAGCTCCAGGAGTTGGGGACGGAGCAGGGTCCTGCCTGAAGGCGGAGGGGCCTCGGGAGGGGGCGCTGGTAGGTGGGGAAGCCCCAGGAGGCAGACGGACGGGCAGCGGGTCACGGCCTCTGTCCCTAGAGGTGGGGAGGCTGCTGGGTCAGGGCCGCAGGCCCTTCGCATGAGGAGCGTCGAGGGGTCGGGTTCTGAAGGCTTCTTAGGTTTGGCTAAGGGATGTGAACTTTATCCTGCACTCACTGGAGGTCACCAAAGACGGGTTGTCCCCTGAAGTGTTAACTCTGCAGTTTTCATTCACTAAAAATTTGAGCCCTGGCTGGTGTGGCTCAGTGAATTGAGCACAGTGAACTGCCAACAGAAGGGTCGCCAGTTCGATTCCCAGTCAGGGCACATACCTGGGTTGTGGGACGCTTGAGGGGCAACCACACACTGATGTCTCTCTCCCTCCCTTCCTCTGTCTAAAAATAAGTACCTTTAAAAACATGTCAGTGAAAGCACCTTACAGATGATCGGGTGGGGGACACTACGTCTGCACTGCCCCAACAACTACCGGAGGCTCCCCCTCCAGCCTTCCAGGTGCACGTCCTCATTCTCGCCAAACCGAGCTCACACTCCCGCGGTTGTGGGCCCCGCCCACTAACGTGATGCTCCGGCAGCCGCCGCTCTCTCTGTGCTGCAGAGTCTCTGCAACAATGTATCCAGCCCGCCCCTCAGCCACCTCCCAGGGCCTCCTTCGGCCCAAGTGGCTCGGACAACGGACAACGGACGCCTCTCTGTGATTCCCCACCACGTTCTCCTCGGAGCTTTCCCACCACCGGTCAAGCTCCCATCTGCCCCACACTGTGGGACTGTCCATCCAGGGGACCCGCTGGTGGCCACGGGCAGAGGCAGGGCCAGCGCAGGAGCAGGCAGGGAGCGGCTCTGCTGAGTCAGGCAGAAAGAGAGAGCCCTGCTCACCACTAAGTGGTGAGCCCCCAGGACCAGCTGTGTCCGCCTCCCTGCGGTGACAAGAGCCTTCACAGTGGCCAAGCCCGGACACCCCGTCCACTGAGAACACAGCTGCATGTCACAGGCCACGTCAGGTTCGCTCACGGAAAGCCAACACTTGAGCTGCACACACTACCCCCCAGCTGAGAGGCTTCTACTCAGTTACTCCACACATGCCACACGCCTGCTTCATGAAGACAGATCAGTGTAGGAGCGGAGGCGGGACACCTGACCCGAAGCAGCTTACTGTCTAGTCTGGGAGGACGAAGAGTGTGGCCGAGTGGCGTGTGAGCGAAGGCGAACAGGTGCGCTCACAGGAGCCGCCCGGCCCAGGAGGAAGCAACACGCGTGCAGGACGAAGGTCCCGGCTGCAGGGAGCTGGGCAGCGGAAGGAACGGGCTCACGTCCAAAAGCTTCTCCTAAATTCCGTTCAGAACACCTGTCGGACGCCTGTTCTGCCCCAACCACAGCCAACGCCCATGAAGAGCCGAGTGGCCGGAGCCTCCTGCCACCAGGCTGGCCGCACGGCACAGAGAACGGCACGCAGAACAAGCGCTGCGCCGGGCGCCGAGCCTGGACGCCGCCCACACTGCCGGTGCCGACGGGAAGGGGCGCGGGCCCTTGGGAAACCAGCTGGGCGGTCCCTCGGAGCTGGGCCTCGAGTCACTGCGCGGCCCAGCCTTCCACCGAGTCCACCCAGGAGACATGGGAACGCACACCCGCATGAGCACAGGGACACAAGCGTTCACGGCAGCGTCACTCCTGACAGCCACAGGGGACCCCAAGGTCCACCAACCAACGTGCGCCCGAACCCGACATGGGGCGCTGCACGGCGGCTGAGCACTGCCTGGTACACCCCCGGGAGCGAGCCGCGCAGACGCCACGCGCAGGGAAGGGGCGGACACCAAGGGTCACGTGCCGCGGAGTTCAGCGAGGGGCACGCCCACGGGACTGCAGCGCCAGGGCCGGAGGGAGGGGCCGACTGGCACGAGGCTTCTTCCACAGGTGTGGAGAGGTTCCGGAACCTGACAGTGGTTACGGCTGCAGACAGCTGCGGATCGACTAAAGACCACTGAGCCGTGAGCTTTGAAAGTGTGAACATCACGCTACGTAGCGTGTGTCTCATTAAAAACACGGCTAAAAAACCCCATCAAATGCCACACTAGAGTGAAACGCCCTTCGCCGCGCCCGCGCCCCCCGCACCTGCGCCTTCCTCTCGCAGAGCGTGTACACGGCCTCCAGGCTGGGGTCGCTGTGCAGCGGGTGGGAGTACATGCGGTGTTCGAACGCCTCCACCTTCTGGATGACCTTCCTCAGCCCCTGGTCCTGGATGCCCATGTCGTCGATGGGGTCCAGCAGCGGGACGCCGTCCGGGAACCGCTTCTGCACTTCCTGGAAGGAAGGGTTGGAGGTCACTCCACACTGGGAGGCACCGCCCGACCGGCCTGCGCAGAATCAGCGCTTTCTCTCGTGTTCCTCTCCGAGCACAGACACGGGGACGAGCAGGCTGCTGCGCAGCTGGAGCTCAGACCTGCCCGCCTCTGTGGGGGCCTGTGCTGGGAAGCCCTGGGGCGCGCCACGCCTGGTTAGCGATCCGGCACAGACGGCACGCGTCCGGGGAGCGGCACGCCTCTCCCACAGCCCGTCACGTCCACCTCGACGGCTGCTGAAACTTCCTGTCCTCTCGGACAACCCTGTCCTGAGCACCTCCTACCAGCAGGAGCTGCTTTCAACCTTCGGACTGTGTCCTTGGGGCTGACTCCCGGGGGGCCTGTCTGAGGCAGAAACAGCCCCTTGTACAGGGCCCGGATGCCTACTGCTGCCTTTCCTCACGGGCCTGACGGCACACAGGGTGGGGGTGAGTCCACAGAGAGGGGCCGCTCCACGCGGCCGGGTCCCCGGGGCCTTCGAGGGTAAGACGGGGTTGGGCGGTCAGGGATTAAACAAACAGGTGTGTCCGTGAGACAGTTTCAAGGACTGCAGCCTGGAGAGGCCCGGGTGGGCGCCCCACCTCTGTGCCCAGAGCCCCTCGGGCCCAAGTGCTCATTCACCAAGCAGCCAACCAGGCCCTCCTTTCACTGAAAATAGAATGCTCCAGAAAGCCATATATATATATATATTTTTAAATAAAGCTATTTCACCCACTTACTAACTACACCAAAAACAGCTGAGAGGCCGGGGAGGTGACCTGACACATCGCTGTCACTCCTGTTTGGCGTCCGGTGTGAGGCCCCACTCCGCCGCGGCCCCTTCAGTGGCCCGCTGCGGGAAGACCAAGAGGGCGCAGCCTGCCGAAGCTGGGCCACCGCTGCTTTTACTGTAAAGAAGCAGCCCCGCTGGTGGTGGGCACAGCTTCCTGAAAGCCAGCCCCACCTTCGGGAGGACGCCATTGCCTTCTCGCGTCCCTATTTGCTCAGAGTTGATGTCCGACGCCGTGCGCCCACCTGGATCGACTTGAGCACGCTCTGCCTGTTGTCCAGCGGCCGCAGGTCTCTGGGGATGTACAGCCGGACGCTGCTGATGGCAGACAGGAGATGCACCAAAACCGGAACCACCTGCCAACAAGCGGGCTCAGTGTTATGATCACCACTGCACGCTGCTAAACCCCCGACACCGCCTCCCACATCCGGCGTCGGTCCCTGAAAGGTCCCCTCCTGTGTTCCCTGACGCCTCTGCCACTTGCCCAGAGAGGACAGAACGCCTCGCGCTCCTCACAGAGTGGAGGACACGGGCTTGGTGCCCGCCGCTCCCTCCGCTGGGATGCACCGCTGCTCGGGCAGAAACGCTCCCACCGTCCTGAGGGGTGTTTCATCTCTCACTTCTTCACAAAGCCTTCCCTTTACAAGCCCCCCCCCCCCGTGGGAGGATCCGTCTTGGATGTTCACCTAGCTCCTTACCCACGAAGTGCCCCCCCTGCCATTAAGCTGCAGCCAGAGACCACACCTGACCCTGCCAGCACAGCCCCTCAGTGTCCTTCGCACTGCGGGCGCAGAGAACAGGAGAGAAAGTGTCCCAGGACAGCTCTGTGCCAGCTGCATCTCAATCAAGGAAAACTGTGCCAGGAGCAGAAAGACACTCTCGGGGGCTTGGGGGCCGGGGAAGCACCTGCAGAGGCTGTCTGTCCCCACGACACCTCGTCGCCGTCGGCAGCGAGAGCAGAGTGCCAGGGCGGCAACACACTCGCTGGGCCACGGGCAGGAGCTCCGAGGCCCCTCGGGCACAGGGAACACACGCCCAGCGTGTGAGTCTCGGCCTCGTTAGCACGAGGGAGAAACCCACACAGGCTTCGCAGGAGCTGCAGCTGTGCAGACAGACCGAAGACCGAGCAACAGAGGCCGGCGGCTAATCGCAGCCCGGAACTCCAAGTGCACTTTGAAACCCTTATTTAAAGTGTTTCATGACGACAGTCGTCTGAAATGCGCCCACTCTGATGCTCAGGCACCTGGCCGACCCCGAGCGGCAGCCTGTGGGGCTGCAGCCACAGACGCGCCTCCCCACCAACCAGGCTCCTTCGGGGCGACCGAGACAACACGCCACACGCCTGACGGGGAGACTCAAACCACGGAAACCCCACGGCGTCGTTGGCTCTCCATTACACCCCTGAAGCCTAAGTGTTCACCTACAACCATTTTAATTATTTTAACGTATAAATAGGAGGCGTTCAAGAAACATGGGCCCTCCTATGGCAAACTGAATGTCTCGCGTTTCATCAAAGGCATGTGAGTTAAATGACTTTAATTACGGAACCACAGGCAGGAACTACTCGTGGTCAAATGGTGCTTCGGTTGTTCTCACAGGAGTGCAACATGCCACATGGATGGAATAAAGCTGTGTAACTGTCAGATCATAAAAATAACGAGAAACGGTTTTATGGCCCAGGTAAAACCCAACTTCGTGTGAAAATGCAGGTTCAATTCTTTTTTATCTTTCACTTTGTCGTTATCAGCCTTGCCACAGACTTGATCAGAAGAAGAACCTTAAGTCCGGGCCTCACTTTACTGATGGCCCCGACACCCCTTGAAGTTGACCGTGGAGCTTCCCATCTGGGCACACGACGACGCCTCCATCACGGTCGCTTCCCAGAACCCGTGGCCGCACGTGGCTCCCAAAGCGCCTGCAACAGCAGGAGAGAACCGAGCGCACCTGCATCTCGCCCCTCTCGTCGGGCTTGGCCGGCTTGGCCGCCTCGGTCGCGGAGTTCTCCAGGCTTTCTCGGCTGCAGCGCAGAAGCACCTCCACCACGTAGAGGGGGTCCAGCTCCCCAGAGTTGGGCTGGAAGAACAAGGACAAGGGCGTCACTGACTCTCGGGCCGGGTGCGGGGCCCCGAGCATGGCGACCAGCACACGCTGCCAGCAAGCGCTGACTCCGTGCAACGCAGGCCCCTCGGCCTTCGGCTGCAACACGGGGCGAGCAGAGAGAAGCCCCCGACACTCACTGTGTCCAACAGCAGCACGACCCTGGGCGTACCACGCCGTTCTGAGTTTCTGCCGCAAGTCTGTGACTGTATTTGTTAGTAGACTGGAGTGTTTTAAAACTGAAGTTACCAGGATCACAAAACCAACCCGCGTCTCCGAGTCGCCCGAGTAAACAACATGAACTGCAAGTAGGCGAGTCCACAGCCTGCCCACACCGGCGCCTTGCAGTGCGGCTTCACACCCCACCACTGAATACTCTCTCCGGAGGCCTCGGTCTCCAACGAGACCCCGACTCCCGGGACCTAAGGGCTAATGGCGCCTGCCGCACCGCAGTGGTGCCTTCAAGAGCGGCCGTCCCGACAGCGACAGACCCTTCCTCTCTTCAGCGAAGGGCCCCTCGGGTGAGGCCTGCACCAACCCAGCCGCCAGGTCAGGGACTCCTTCCTGCTTTTCAGTTCAATACTTGAATCATCTCCTTTGCATAAAGTAGATAAAGACTATTTCAACTGAGGGACACATGGCAAAGAAGTGACTGCTCGGTCCCTCCTCCACACAGTTCCTGCTCAGAAACGAAAAGTATCCAGAAATGACAATGAATCCACACTTAAAGTCTCTTTCTGCAACAAACTACCGACTGCTTAGCGCGTACTTCCAAACGCAAACCAAAACCACAATGGTAATCACACCCCCGCGCTCCCCCGCACGGTCCTGGCTGCGTGTCCTCCATCCGAACCCTCCCGTGTGTCCTCCCCCCCCCCCCCCCCCCGTGTGCTCACCTTGAAGGAAGATGAGTCCCCTTCACTGACCTGCGTCTCTGCCCAGCCAGTTCTTCCGGGACCCTTCAAACTCCTTCTGACCACACCCGCCTCTCACACAAGGACCTGGACACACTCACAGAACCACCGCCTCCCACGCCTGCCCCGCTCTCCAGCACTCACGCCTGTGCTTCCGCCCCGACCTGCGCCAGCCCGTCCCGGCACCGGGAACGGCCCAGGCCCACGGGGCCCGCGGCCTCTCCACCGCCACCAGGCAGCAAACCAAAGTCTGCCCCTTCTCCCAGGTTCCCTTTACCGCTTTAAACCCCCTTTCTTCTCAGACGTAACCCCCCCACTACCCCACCCCCACTCCAGGTGCCCTTTGTATCCACCTGCCCTGAAGTGGCCACCACCAGCTGCCCCGACCTCACCCCGACTCCCCACGGACCACCACAGACGGAGCGCGGGGGTTTGTGTCCAGCGTCAGTGCTGAACTGGGGCAAAGGAGCTGCACTGGCCCTGACAACCCTTAGAAAAGTCCTGTCAGTTCATAATCGGCAGTTTGTACACCAAGTATCCTCAGAAGCTCTTCAGTTGGACAGTCACCGGTCACTCACCGTGACACCTGTCACAGACCTCCCAACACACTCGCTTCTCCACAGCAGTGGCCTCGCCATCTCCAGGTTCACTCAGCCCAGGGCCGCCTCCCACCCAGAGCACGGGTCCTCACCGCCCCTGCGCACAGGCAGGGCGAGGACGTCCGGGACACCGAGCCATGACATGGCCAGCCGCGAGACACACCGGCCGCACACCCCTCCACGGGGACAGAAAGACATCCACGGGGACACACAGCGTCTCGCTTCAGGCCTCGGGTCTGCAGACAACGGGCTGCAGAGGACGTGACGGGCAGGACGGCGGAGCCCAGGTCCAGGCGTCCTCAGCGACTGGCAGTCGCCCTTCGCTGCACATCTAACCAGTCTGCTCCAAACGCTGGGGTGCCGACCAAAACCGCCTTTACTACCGCCCGCACTCGGAGAACCAGTAAAACCGACCGGCTCTCCTCAGTTCTCTAACTCTCTCACACCCAAATCACAATGCCAGTCTTCAGAGTCAAAAGCTGGTTTTTCTTATTTCCAATTTTAAAATGAGTATAACATAAAGGACTGATAAACTCTGCGAAAAAATATAAACTGTCATGAAATTAAAATTTGTTCTTTTATTCAGAAAATAGCCATACTATTTTTAGAACAAAACTTAAGATTATTAAAAAACTAATTCCTTGTGGGAAAATTTATTATATACTTCCTCTTAAGATAATACTTTTTTTATACCTTGGTCAATTTTATGAATCTAAAAAACAAACATTCCACTAACGATCTATATAATATTGTAATTTAGGAATAACGGTTTACCTTAACATTTGACTTTTTTGAGAAATTCACCACCACTCCCCAACCAAAATCATCTCCTTCATTCTTCACCTGAGAGAAAGAAAAGGAGGTGAACAAGAACATTCACGCCCAAAAGGCAATCTCAGAGTTCCTTTTACCGGCTAGTAAAACGGAGTCTTCCCGCGGAAGCATTTGCTCGAGTCGCAGAAACAGTACGACCCCCATGGGGAGAAGTCGCCCGCACTCACTGCGAAGGCCCCCGGGGCGGCGGCAGCACGGACCTCCCGCCTGGCAAACCTCAGAGGTGACTCTGCTCTGAGGACGTCCGGCTTGTTGGTGGACTCGCCTTAGCCCTAAAGCTGCCTTGGTTGCAACGAAAACTGCCTTCGCTTTTAGACTTTATAACCAGAAGTATTCTGAATGTTAATTTCCAAAACTGTCTGCTTCAGTTTGTATCCCCCCAAATGAAAATCTGATTAATGACGCCCCTTAACCAGAGCCACGTGAAACCCAGAAAACAGTGTAATTCCGGTGGATGAACTACCGCGGCAGGAAGCACTTTTTTGACCCAGGAAACAGCGGAGCAGCCACCCAAGCCCACCGCACACCCGAGCACCCGAGCGTGCCGTGGGGCGCAGCCCACCTTCACCAGACGGCCGGGCTGCAGAAACGGCAGGCAGTACTTGGGCTTGTGGATGTAGTCCTCCACCTCCTTCCCCAGCCTGGCCAGCTGCTGTCGGATCTTGTAATAAACGACCACGCTCTCCTCGTTCGGGATCGCTATTTGGTTGTACTGCTCCTCCGAGCTCTTCACCTCTGTGAGCAGAGCACACGCACAGGGCAGAGACACAGGCTCAGGGACTCCCACTGCAGAGACACCCCCACCCCCACCCCCACGGTGGCAGGCCCAGGCCGTGGGCAGGGACGCCAGGTCTGGGGGACCTCCTCCTCCAAGGACCACCTTCTCGGCCCCCCCAGATCCCCATTCAGTGACCGTGGGCCCCTGCAGCGTGGGCCCCCTCGCCTGGCAGTGTTGTGCCTGGGGAGGCGGCTCTCCCCTGCGGTGGGGGGACGCCCCCTGGGGACTCTGGCCCTTCGTCCCTCAGCTCAGCACGGTCCTGCGAGCCCGGTGGCGGCAGAGGCTTCCTCGGCCAGCAGTCTGGCAGGGCAGCCAGGAGGCGCAGGCGCTTGTGGTCATCTTAATGGGTTCCAGCGGCAGCACCGTTTCAAGTGCGCAGCCGCTGCAGGGGCTCTGCCCTGCGTGCGGGAGCAGCGCAGTCCTGGGCTGTTTGCAGCGCTGGCCTGGCGTCTCTGTGCAGGATTACAAACTGTGCCGACCGTCTGCTGTGCCTCTGGCTGATTTGTTTTTTTTTTAACGTGACTTATGCATTCTTTTTAGAGGTTTACCCAAACCAGTGTTTTCAACGTTTGCCTCTATTTAGGTTTTCCTCAGCTCTGTGTGACCAGCCACAACATCCTCTAAGACAGAGTGACCACACGCTCTACTTGGATGTGATTCCCCCCCAGCACTTGCTGGCGGGACTTCAGGAAGCGCTGCCCGGACACTGGGGGCTCGAAACTGCACGGGCTCAACTCCAGGTGAAAATGCCACGGTTTCAACCACGCGTCAGGTCGGGGTCGCACGCGTGGACCACGGCGCTCCTCTCCAACGGGAGAGAGACCGAGAGGGAAAGGCCCGCCGCCCACACATGCTTCCCACAGGGAAATGCATCAGCAGGCATTCGTCACCGCACCGCTCAGGACCTGGGTCGGCACGCTCTGTGACAGCAGCCCACACGGAACTGGAGCCCACCCCCCCGGCGGTGTCCTGACGGGCTTTCTCACTGGGCTGGCCAAAATCTTCCTCTGGCTTTTTCCATACAATGGCTCGAGTAGCATTTACTTGTCTTGAACTTCATTCAGAACAATGCTGTTAGACTGTATCGTGACAGCTGTCATATCAGCATGCATTAAAAACATCTTATCAAAACCGGTGAACTTTTATGTAGCCATTTAAATATTAAAGATGGCAGAAAATATGCAACGTTTTTGGTAATTATTTCAGGAAAGGTAAAAATGCAAAAAAAGACTTGTGTAGCGAACGGAGGAGGTGCTGTGACTGAATGTGTCAACAGTGGTCTGTGAAGTTCCTTGGTCCTGTTGACATTTTGTTCAAACGACTCCTGGCTGTGGGCCGTCTCCTGCACTGGAAGGTGTGGAGCAGCCCCCCGGACTCCACCCACGGGAAGCCAACGGTGGGAGAGAGCCGAGGTACTCAGAATATACCCAACTCAATCAAGTTACTGGTGAGGATGAAAAACGTGTCCTTCATTTTATGGAAGAAACTGAACGGATTTCCCGCTCCAGCCTGGTACCTCCGCTCTACAACAGCCCATCAGGCCCCAGTGGCCAGGCCGCAGCGCACGCCTGACTCTGCCCGAGGACCAGGACCTGCCCCACGGGGGGGGAGAGACGCGCGGCGCGTGCGCTCAGCGCAGGGGCCCCACTTACTGTCCACCACCCCCGGGATCGCTCGGTAATGCTGAAACTGGTAGAAGGACTTCTCCAGCATGTACTCGGGGTTGATTTCCTCCACGCGGAGCAGGTTCAAAACCATGTTGTAGGTTAGATGGAAAGCACTATTCAGAGGGTCAGCCGAGCCCTAGGAGACAAACAACAAGTCAGTGTTTTGGACCAAATAATTTTACACAAAAACCTTTCACCTGTTAAACTGCTTCATAATTGATCTCTATGTTAATGAGTACTGCTCTTCCCCTTAAGATGAGCAACACAAAGCGACGAACAGCTCGTCTTTGGGAAGGTGAGGGGAAAAAGCAGGACTGCTAACGGGACAGAACAGGGCAGTGCTGTCCGCTGGCCGTTGTCCCGATGCACCAAGGCTGCAGGTTCGAACCCTGGTCGGGGCCCAGACAGGAAGCAACCAACGGAAGCACCGATGAGCAGAACAACAAACCGATGCTTCCCTCGCTCTCCTTCTCTCCCTAGAACTCGACTTTTAAAACACCTGTTTGCCAGTGTGGGTGGCTCTCTGCCATCTATGCATCTATGCACAGCCTTCCATTTGGTGGCCCCCACCCCAGCGGGTGGGCAAAGACGCCATGGAGATGTGTCCCTGCCTGGCCAAATCGTTAACTGCTGGTGTAAAAAGCGATGTCTCTCCTCCTGGCACAGTGACCGATAGGTTCACACGGCGGTTCTCCACCAGCTCCCACCCGCAATCGACGCTGATGAGCGTCTGAACGCGTAAGAGGAACAAGCCTCAGGGGCCGAGCGGTGGGCCCGTCACCATGGCAGAGCCCACCCACCGTTCAGACTGGCGGTCAAATAAAAACCGGATCTTGAAACCCCCAGCTTCCTAGAATGACAGTGCCGTTTCGGGCTCCCACCCGGCACGCCAAAGCACCGGACTCTCAGGGGGTTGGGGGCTCAGGGGCTCCGGGGCCGAGACCCGCAGGCCCGCCTGGCCGCGTGCAGAACCGGATGCCGGCGGGTGGGGGTTCAGGGGGAGGAGGGGCAGAGCTTCTGCCAGTCTCAATGGATGGTTCCCCTGAACGCCCCCAAATCAAGAGCCAGTCACCCTAGGGGATAGTTAACAAACCCTTCAACCTTGAATTTTAACTACTTTCCTTGAAAATTGGGCCAAAGAGAGACCTGAGGTCAATATGAAAAGCACATTCTTGGGGATGAGAAAAATCAAAGGCAACCTCAGCCGCTTCACGATTTACGAACGGACCGGCCCCCCTCTTCCGCCCCTTCTCCGCGACCACGCCCCCCGCAGACGGCCCTGTTCTGGACGCTGCGCAAGTGCAGCCGAGTGCCCTGCGGCCCCGTCGCCTGCAGCGCCTGTCGCACACTGTCCCTTCTCACCGACGAGCGGCACCGCCCCCTGTGGACACACCGCACCGCCTTCCTCCCTCGCCAGCCGTGGACATCTGGGCTGTCTCTGCCCTCCGGCTACTGCGCGTGAGGCTGCGTGACCACTGGGGACCAGTCCGTGTGCGCGTTTCTACTTGGCTGCGCGTGCCTGTGCGTGGACCTGCGGGGTCACGTCGCGACTCTGAATCTAACCTCTGCCGACCTGCCGGGCTGTGGTCCCTGCACAGGGACCGTTTCACACTGCCACCAGCAACGCAGGCGGGTCCGACTCCCTGCACTCCCACTGACACCGCCCCCGTCTGTCAACTCATGGCCACTCCTGCGAGTGCAAGTGGCCGCTCTCACAGACCAGGCCGCCCCTCACACTCGGCCTTCAGCGCACGCCCACGTGGGCGGCCTGAGGGGGCACGAGGCTCGGTGTCCCACGCCGGCCACAGAAAGACGGACACTGCGTGACTCCACTCATGCGAGCGTCTAACATGGTCGCAAACGTGGACAAGGGGGGTGGGGAGTTGCGGTCACCAGGCACGGAGCCCAGCACGGGGAGACGAGCCGCCCCAGGGTCCCGGGGCCTGCGGACAGCGCCGCACCTGCAGACGGGTGTCATGCACGCACACTCGTGCTCGGAAGGCGAATCTCTCATGCTCCCCCCATGGTAACGCTTTACATGAGGGTTTTTTTTTTTTAAGACTTTATTTATCTATTTTTAGAGCGGAAGGGAAGGAGAGAGTGAGAGAAACATTAATGTATGGTTGCCTCTCGTGCATCCTCTGCTGGGAACTGGCCTGCAACCCAGGCATGTGCCCTGACTGGGAATTGAACCACGATCCTTTGGGTTGCAGGCCAGTTCCCAGCAGGGGACGCGTGAGAGGCAACCACACATTGATATTTCTCTCCCTCTCTCCCTCCCTTCCCCTCTAACGATAAATAAATAAAATCTTTTTTTAAAAAAAGCAAAATGAATAGGCTAATTTGAAGTAAAGCTGAAAACTACGAAGTCAGAGTCTGGTCAGCTGCAGCCCATCACCAGGTGCAACAGAAGGGCAGACTTGTCAGCTCCCTGGGTGGCCGCGGGGGGCGACTGCCCACACCCTAGGACCCCCGGCTGCACCTTCTGTCCTGAGGGCGGAGGGCGGCCCCTGCGGGGAGCAGCACAAGGTCCCTTACGCTGGAGTGAAGGGCAAAGTGACTGCCACCCCCCCCCCTGCCTGGGGTCTCCACGTCCCCTCCGTGACACCAGCCACTCTTCAGGGGGCGGACGGACAGCAGGTACCAGGCGGCAGCCCCCTCCCCTAGTCCACCCCCCAGGCCCAGACAGCTCACTCGGAAGGGCCCCTGGACCAACAAAACCAACTCCGGGGGCCCCTGAAGAACCGCCCCCGGCCTCCCGGTGCCCTCGCCCGGTCCCTCACCTTGAGCAGCTGCTTCCCCACGGTCGGGCTCATCTTCTCGTCCACCATGAGGATCACGATGCCCCTGTCGTCCATCCCCCGCCTGCCCGCACGGCCGGACATCTGGATGTACTCCCCGGAGGAAATCTGCACGGACGGAGCCCGAAGATCCAAGTTTAGGAAACGCCAGGTGAAACACAGTCGCACCATTTTCCTTACAAGACACACAAGCCACAGTTGCGTGTCCCTCACCCGCCCCCACAACAAAACCACTCCCCCGAATCTATTACTAAAAACATGAACTTTTAGGAGAGTGTGAGTGAAAACACAAAAATGCAGAACACACTTACAAATAACGTTTAAATTTTAGCTTCAAAATGATCAAATACACCAGACCCACAGGGAAATACTAGCGTATTTACTGGTATAAAAATCTGTGTCTTTAAGTTAGATATTCTGAGAAACAGCAAAGTCTAAAAAAGCCAGCAATGACCAAACTGTACAAAACACTACTTCTGATTTGATCACAGAACCTCTTGCTTCACGAAATGAGACCCATGTAAAACCAGCATGTGCTGTGGAGGAGCCCAATCCTCTCCCACCCAGTGCGTGTCCACAGCGGGATTCAGCGGGGGCCACATGTCGCTGACGACCGCCCAGGTGCAGCTTTCAGGGTGGCACCGGAGCCCCCCGGCGCTGGGCAGTGTTTCGTCCCCACGTGCTTGCACACTGTTCTCTGGGGAGGGACCCAGTTTCCAGAGTCTCGAACCCCATCTGGCTCAAGCAGCAGTGAGAGCCACCGTGCTACCAGGCCTGTTACTAACAGCATCAAACTCAGACCCAGCTTCCTGGGAGCAAGGAAGGCACCAAGAAAACGGCGGCAGCAGCAGCAGCAAAACCAACCCCAGGGAATACCAGAAAGGAATTTGCAAAAGGCAGTCCGATAAAATCCCACGGGGCCAAAGGGCGTCATTGTGACACATTACGATTTTTAGATTTCACAGTCGGGGTTTGGACCCCTCAAGGAGCAGCTCCTTCTTACATCCAACTCCCCCACCCCAAGTCCCCACCGCGGCTCCACGGGAGTCACAAGACTTGTTTACTTATTTTCTTGTGGTGGTGATTCTGTTTGGAGAGTTCTTCTAAACTGACAGACTAGGAAGAACTTTTTAATTTACATTAATTTAAAATTTAAAACAAAAGACTTTTAGCAGCTTCAGAATTAAAACTCATATTCAACGTGCATTTTTAAAAGTTCAGTTCAAAAAAGCTACAAGTTACAGAGAATTTCTGAATGCTATGGAAAAATTTCTGAAGAGAAATGGCCCCCACACATTTTAAAAGCAAGCAAATAAAACACTTTGCCTTTACAATCCAATCAAGGGTGCTTTCCAGTGTTTAGATGGTTACTAACTCCTGCCACAAACTTCTTCAAGTGCAAAAGGACCACCCTTTCCAAGGACACGGAGTTAACAAAGGAACAGCTGGCCGCTCTAAATCTCCTGTAAAACACCCGAGGGTGTGCGTGTGGGCTCGCACCGACACTCGGCCTGGGGGTCTCCTCCGTCCGCTGGCCCTGCGAGGTACCAGCTGCTGCCGCTCAGGGTCCGGAGCACCTTCTCCAGGAGGCCCTCCCAGCAGAGGTCCGGGACGTCCCACGACTGAGGACACGCAAACCCTGCGTGTGTGAGAGCGTTCCAGCCGCCCCAGGTCACTGCCGCTCTCACCGGGAGGGTGTTTGTGGCCACAGGAGAAGGATGTAAAGGATCTGAGGTTTAACCCCGATGAACATGTCATGTTAGCTCAGGTACAAGTTCATGAGCATTTCAAACTGAAAATCTCAAAGACTGCATGAGTCAAAATCACCTTAGGTAAAACAATTAAAGACCAAGGTTATTCAGCATCCGAATTACTTTACTTACCCATCGAAAATCTTTCCCATCAAATTTTCGGGCATTTGTAAATAAAACTGTTCTGGCTGGCATGTTAATTCCCATCGCAAAAGTCTCCGTTGCAAATAAGGCCTAAATAAATGAATAATGATAAAACTAAACATGTACTTTCAGCTGAAAAACCAACTTTGTAACAGATCATCACTTTTCGAGGTTAGTTGTTACTGAGACTCTATAGAAATAAGACAAGCCCTTCCCAGAAACACTTCGGTCTCTCGCACATGAAATCACGAAATCACGTGTAACGTCCTCTGCGTCCCAGGAGACCTCGGGCTCAGGGAGGGGGCTCCCTCCAGCCCCAGGGGCACAGGCTTGAGAAGCACTGGCTGGTCGAGGGCGCGGCGGCAGCCGGAGACCCTGTGAGGGCCCCTGGGGGGGCACCGGAGTCAGCGGCCCTTGCAGTTGACGTCTAGGGCTTCACCAGGCACACACGTGTGCAGTTCGGGCGCCCACGGCTGTGCGCTCGAGCTCAGCCACCGCGGTCCTGGGACGGGACCTAGACCCCACCGGAGGGAGAGGTGGCTGCAGGCACATGGCTGCACGGAGGCTCGAGGCGGTTTCTGGGACACGCGGGCAGCGGCGGTCGTGGTGTCTTCACTGTGCGCACCGCTGTTCTGACGTGTACAGCCGGCACGTGTCCCCTGCACACTGAGGAGACTAACACGGGCCTTAATGAACCACTCGAGGTGGAAGGAAACATCCCCCGGGCCCGACCAGACCCAGGACTCCACAGTGACCAATTCTTCACCTGGAATCCCTCCAGCTGTGTTCTTTAGAATGAATAAAGTCCTTTACATATTCTCCTTGGTACTGAGGTTCTCCCAATAAATTCTCATCTGGTTTTTAAACAGAATCACCTGAGTCACGCAGAAGCTGAGTTCATTTTGAAGCTGCACCCACCCGTCACATCCCATTTCCGGGTACGGACACCGAGGTGACCACGAGCAGCAGGCCGGGCTGGCTCCGTTCAGAACGCCACACGCCCACCCGCGGCCCTCTGCTCCCGCGAACCAGCCTCGGGGACTCGCACACAGACAGGCGTGCGTGCACCCACAGAGTCAGACCCGGGCCTCCCAACAGCACCTGCCACCACCAAGTGCCCCACCCCGGAACCACCTGCGTCACCACTTCTCACCTGAAGAATGAGGAGAGAACACCAACGACTTTCCACCCACAGCCCAGAATTTAGGAAAGGAGGCGGCCCGGGTTCTGAGAGCGTGCGTTACGCCCCTTCACTAAAGACCGACACGGGCAGTCCTCGCTGACTGAGGACACCGCGGGGGATTCTGCCTTCGCAGAAAAGGCGAGAGGGCGGGACAGCGGCCGGCGTCCCCCGTCCAGCAGCAGGAGCGCCTGCTGAGCCCCTTCCCGGGGGCCACACTGGGGAGCCACTGCGTCGGGGAGCCCGTGCTCCACCTGGGCTCACACTGCGTGTCCCTCAGCAAGGCGCCCTGGGGAGCCGGAGGCGCCCGAGCACTCGTGAGGACGTCACACGCCGGAAAGAGCCCGGTGCGACCCCGCATCCTCACGGCGACGAGTGAGACAAACACTGTGTGTGTGTTGCATTTTGGGTCTGGCAATGCTCAAAAAAAGAAAAAATTCCCATGTCGTTAACACCAATGCGTCTTTGGTTGACGGATGCCATCTCCACCTGGGAAGGGCCTCCCGGCGCGCTCGGCACCCAGACGTGGGACGCGGCGAACCCCGCACAGGACCCCGCAGCCGCCTCGGCCGCACGGCACTGCCCCGTCGGCAGGGCGAAGCAGCAACGGGAGTCGTCTGCCGCGGAGTCCCCAGCGACTTTCACACCGTTCAAGGTGCGATTCTGGGGCACAAGGAGTAAAAGCAAAACCGTACCTTTATCAGCCCTTCGGAAAACAGGATTTCTATGGTTTCTTTCAGAATCGGGAGCAGACCACCGTGGTGAATGCCGATCCCCCGCTTCAGAAGAGGAAGCACGTGTTCCACCTGCAGCGGGAAGAGCGGCTCTGTCACCACGTGAGGGAAGCGGGGACCGAGAGAGGTGGCCCTGCGACCTCCTCGGAGTGGAGGCGGGGGCTGGCGCCAGGAGCCCCCGGATGGAACTGCACGAGGTGTGACCTCGCCCTCGCGTCCTCTGCGAAGCCCACCCGTGAACAGGGCTGAGATGCGAGCTTTAAACCAGCTCCACAGACACCCCGCTGCCTCAGGGAAACACTCCGGCATCGCTCTGACCCTCCAACAAGTCAGAAGTTACGAGGGCAACGTTGTATCTGCACCTGATACCCTGGAATCCTGGCCAACTCAGACCGAAAAGAATTCGGAAACCACAGACATTTAACATCGAGCTCCATCTAAAGATCAAAAGCCTCGAGAACTCGGGGGACCCACTACTGGCGCCGTCAGCACAGAGGCCAGAGCGCCCCACCAGGCCGCTCGACGCCCCTCTGGCCCCCGGTCAGGAGCTCGGAGACATGAGTGAAGGCGGCGTCCCAGTGCGCAGTGCGGTGTGTCTGCTGCCGCGGGCAAGCGGTGTGAGGCAGTCACGCAGCCTGGAGGTGCGCAGTGAAGGCGCGCTGTCTGCTCCCGGCCACCCCTTCCCCGCCGACCCTGCACAAACCTGGGGGAGCTTCTTATCTTCATCCGACAAGCAATCGATTGCGTTACTGAACACCTCTTCCACCATCTTCTTCTCTTCACCTAAGACAGAGAACCCATGGGCCTGTCAATGTCTGCGCAACTCAGGGGTCCCCACTTCCAACATGCAAAGGGCCAGAGTCTGTGATGAGTAACCGGGAGGAGCTGGCACTTGAGACGGTCAGAAGGGAAAGCAGGTTAGAATGACCGATGACTACCTAATGAATTTTTCACTGCCTTTCAAAACCTATCTGGCAGACTGAACCCCTTCCAAGCCCAACCCTGCACAAGCAGGGCCGATTTCACCGCCTCAGGCCCCAGGGCCACGCTGCCCCGCCCCCGCTCGGGCAGACGCGGGCACCACGCGGGGCCTGTGTGCTCAGACTGCACGCCCCCTCCTGTGCAGCGTCTGGGAGGGAACAGGAAGTCGGCAAATTCGCACCAACTCGTCCGTGCAGACCCTGCACCCCGCAGTAGCCTCAACACTGGGACGTGTAAGAACACACTTCTAAACAGAGCCATTTGCTCATTCAAAAAAATACAGGACGTTCTCACTTCAGAGTCTAGAGGTTCTGTTCGTGACTTTAGAGACCAATTTTACCGTAGGCTAAATGCTATAAACAGACTTAAGTTTCTACAGCATCTCGTCAGTGTTGTAGCAAAACATTAAAGAAAACTCGTTTGAGGACCTGCTATGTTACTGGCTTTAAGAGGTTATCTGTCATTTGTTACTTTTACCCACGGGTAAGTAGCTAGCTATCAGCTTTAATACAGACGGGTTTAGTTCCCTGATGTATAAAGAAACAATGTAGCTAATACATAACTTCGGAAGCATCCACATCTCCCGGTGCAGGGTCACTCATGCAAAAGGCGAGGGAGGCTGAGGGATGGCCAGGCTATGCTACGGCCTCACCGTGTAACCTCAAGGGAGCTGCACTTACAGCTAATGTGAGAGTAATTTATTCATCTGTTAGGAGTTCTCTTCCTTTATTCAAAAACCAGGTCCGGTGCAGGGCAGTTCTGCCTGGTGTGGGTTCCTAGTGCACAAAGCCCAGCGCTCTCTGGTGTGGAAGGAGCCCGGGTGGAAGGAAGCAGGGCACTCGCAGCTTCCAGCAGAAGACGGAAGGAAGGGGAGAAATGACAGACAAAGGCTCCCAGAGCTTTTACAAACGGCGAGCACCTACTGGTGCAGCGGCAGGGAGAGCCGCATACCCAGCGACCCACAACACACGGCTCACCGGGACCAGACCACATCCGTCCACACGGAACACTCAAATACACGGAAGTTGCACGGCACCTGTGTTGAAGTCCAGTTTGGTCATCTGAAGAGCGTAGGCTTCACAGTCCTTCTTACTGAAGCTGAAAATGATCACGGGTTGAAAATTCCTTTCCATGATCATCTTCACAATCTTGAACACATTTGACGGTCCTGCAGAAAGAGTGTGCACAACCAAACCCGAAATTAACCCGACACGGACCGCAGACCTAGATACGAGAGCGAACTCTGTGCAGCCCCCGAACACAGACAGGGGCCCCGCAGGTTGGGAGAGGGCCCGTGCCCGCAGCAGACGAGCGGGTAGAGACGCCGTGGCGCACTCGCCGGGGGAACACTGCGTGGCCGCAACGAGGATGACAATCTCGGCCTCTCCTGAAGCAGGGACGGGCCTGCAGAGCACCAGGCTGAGTGCGGTAAGCCAGTCAGAGAAAGACAAACACCTTCTGACCTCACTGGTCTGTGCAATCTAACGACCAAAGTACACCGACAAATGGAACAGACACAGGCGTGGACACTCAGAACAGACTGACAGCTGTCAGAGTGGAGGGGGCGGACGGGGGAAAGAGTGTGAAAGGGTCGGCTCAGAACCCCTACGCATGACCCAGAGACACAGACGACAGCTTGGGGATGGCCAGAGGGAAGGGGGTGGGGGCGGGGTGCAGGAGAGCAAAGGAAGGGAAATAAAGAGAACAGGAAAAACAGAAGTATACAGCAGTAAATCTTCACCATATGGAGCTGTGCAAGGCACTCTTGGATATGATTCCAAATGCACAAGCAATACAAATAACCGCAGATAAACTGATGTCATCAAAAGTGAAAACTTCACCCTGGCTGGTGTAACTCAGTGGATTGAGCTTGGGCCTGCGAACCACACGACTGCAGTTCGAATGCCAGTCAGGGCACATGCCTGGGTTGCAGGCCGGTTCCCTGCAGGGGACACACGAGGCAACCATACATTGATATTTCTCTCCCTCTCTCCTTCCCTTCCCCTCTAAAGATAAATAAATAAAAATAAAATCTTTAAAAGTAGATAAATAAAATTAAATATGTTTTTAAAAAAGTAAAAACTTCTGTACTTCAACAGATGCAGACGATAAAATGAAAGGACAACCGTTACTCACAGAATGGGAGCAAATATTTGCAATCACACATCTGATACAGGGTCTAGTGTTCAGAATAAACTAGGAATTCTCACAACTCAACAACAAAAAAAAATGTAACTTTAAAATGGGTAAAGAGTTTGACCAGATCCTTCTGCACGAGACACATGCAAGTGGACCCTGGCTGGGCAGCGCAGTGGCTACAGCACCGCCCGTGCCCCAGAAGTTGTGGGTTTGATTCCCGCCAGGGCGCAGGCCTGGGCTGTGGGTTCGGTCCCCCGTCGGGTCCCATGTGGAAGGCAACCAATCGACGTTTCCCTCTCTGGTCCCTCTCTCCCTCCTTCTCCCTGAAGTCAATGAAAAAACGTCCTCAAGCCGGGGGAGGGAGACACAGGAATGGCCGACAGGCAGGAGGACAAGAACTCACAGCACCGGCTGCAGTGGAGGGCCCGTCGGGGCCCGGAACTGACGAGGGCGCAGGAGACACACCCCCTGTGATTAATGACACATTCGCTGACTCGTCCTCACCAAGGACGTGCCTGCTTATCTGAGAGGACGAAGGGAGAGAACCGTGGGTGTGAGAAACACACCGCCTGCCCCTCGTTCACGCCCAATGGGACCGAACCCGCAACCAAGGCATGTGCCCTGACCGGGAATTGAACCCACAACCTATTTGCTCCAACCCACTGGGCCACACCAGCCAGGGCAGAGCCACCCTTCTGAGGGGATGTAAGTGGCGCGGCCGCTCCGATACGCCGTCAGACAGCTCCTCGCAGTCACACACAGACGCGCGGCGTGGCCGAGGGGCTCCATCCGAGGCACACACTCGTGAGAAACAAGAACATGCTCACACAAAAACGGTGAGCACGGGTGTTTACAGCAGCGTTCCTGGTAACGAAAACTCGGAAACCGCCCGACATCCACGCACTTATGCACAGAGCAACAAGAAGGGGTACGTGCTTCCGATGGAATGTTATTGGAACATGAAAAGGAATGAAGTATCGACATGCTACAACATGGATGAACCATGAAATCACGCTAGGTGAAACAGGCCGAGTGCAAAAGACCACATACTATGATTCCTTCTATGTCAAATGTCCAGGAAAGAGCGATTACCAAAGGGTGAGGGTGTGGAAGACACAATTTACAGGTGAAACTGCCCAGAACAGAGCTCCAAGTTACCTTTCGTCCCTCCCCTCCGGCCCTTCTGGTCGCCTTTCGCCAGGTCCCCTGCGTCCCGCAGCACCTGCATGGCGGTGCTGAAGTTGTCCTCCCGGAAGTCCCCCTGGAACGAGACGATTTCCACGTGATTCCACGCACGCTTCCCTGTCGTCCCAACGCCTTCCACAGCCCAAAGCAAAGCGTCCCCAAATAAAAGCGACTCTGTAGTTAACGATTAGAACAGGTCACGGGAAACAGTTCAGAAACGATGTGGGCGAAAGGTAACAAAAGGTGAAAAGGAGGTTTTAAAGTTGGGAAAAGTAAAATATAAGGTATGTGAAACAAGTCCAGAATGCCTCTTCTGTTTTTAAAATACTGGAAAAGGGGGAAATCTGATTCACACGAGACAAGACAAACTTTCAAAGCGCACGAGCACGCCCAGCACACACAACCAGCCACACCGCCGCTGGACTGGGAAACTGTTTTCGGGCGGGGGGAGGAAGACCCCAGACCCCAGACCCCTGCGCCCCTTCCCCGGGGGAGCTGCACCCGAGCCCACCCCGCCCCTTACGTTCTCGTCGACCACCAGGTGCAGGCCGTCCCCGCCGGCCGGGAAGATGTAGTGCTGCAGGGGCGTGGGCCGGTAGTCCGTGTAGATCACGTGGCAGGGCTGCGGGGGGGAGACACAGTCAGCCACGCAGGCTGCACTTCCTCAATGACGGCACCGCGCATCTGACCTACCTCAGAGAGCTCGGTGGGAAAGGAACTTTCAAATTCAGCATTTCAAAAAGAAAAAAAAAACCCTGATAAAAAGCCACTCCAAGAGCAGGGAGGAGACAAATGTGAGAAAATGAGGTTTACAATCACGCGGCCATCTGTTTGGTGTTTCACCAGTGTCTTCATCAGGGCCGAGGGCCCAACTGCAGCTCCCACAACAGCGCTGGACCCGTGCCCTGTACCCGAGCTGTGGTGAGCAAAGATGCCCAGTGACCCGGGACACTCCCGGAGGCCGAGGGACCTGCAGCAGCACCGTGAGAAACACCAGGCCGAGCTTGGGAGCCCAGCAGACCAGGAGCAGGAGTCTGAGTGGGCAGACTGCGTGCGGACAGACGTCCCTGAGGACAGACGTCCGTGCAGGCACTGCTGGCAGGGAAGGGGCGGGCAGACAAAACCATGGGGAGCTCACTGCGTGGAGCAGACGCCTGTCACGAGGGCCCAGGCCACTGCTAAAGACGGACAAGAAAAGCCCAAGGGGAGAGGGGAAAGACCTGACTGTGCGCACAGGAGAAAAGCTCCTGCTCAGCACAGCCCGGCCTTCTCCCGGCACCAAGGGCTGAGCGGCAGTCGCTTGTGTTCTCCCGGCTCCCTGCACGGCGACAGCAGGACGGCCCAACCCAGCAGGTCACCAGGGTCAGCTGGGGAGCTTTAGGAGCCGGGGCCTCAGGGCCCGACGCCCAGCCGTTCCGCTCCACTGGGTTTGGGATGGGACTCAGCGCCCCTCGCTGTGAAAAGCTACGTCGGGCCACTTTGATAAGCTCGCTCCGTTTGAGAAGCACTTTCTTTCTTTAGGCAGCATTGGGAACAAAGTACAGGATGTAGTAAGGCCAGCTCGTGACACTTCGGATACTGAAGACATCGAGAAAGAGCACAAAAATACCTGTTTATGTAAATGGCAAATCCATTCAGCAAACTGCCGGGCATTCGGAATGGTGGCCGACAGGAAGACATAGTGGACGTTATCAGGAAGCAGGATGATGGTTTCTTCCCAGACCACACCGCGCTCTGAAAGGAGCAAACAGACCTGGGCCTTCAGGGTCTCTCTGCTCACGAGGAATCCAAAGTACCTTCTCTCAAACTCAACAGTGAGCGATGCAGAGACCACCTCACACGGGCCGTTTTTAGCCACAGACCCCGAGAACCACTCCCGTCCAGGCCGGGACCTGCCCCGAGTCTGCAGACTGACCCGCGCCGCACACATGGGCTCTGCAAGCAGAGCCAGAAAAGGGCGGCTCCGGGCCGAACCCTCTCCGAAGGGCCTGCCCAGAGGCGCAGAGCAGAGGAGTGGCTGCCCCCGCGTGGCTCTGAGCAGCACCAATCCACTACCCGGAGGCACCTTTCACCCCAATGACCCTCCCACCTCCGGAGATAAAAGGAAGATAGGACAGCAGCAAAAATCGAAGTCAGTTTTTATCAAGATGGAAAACGCCAGAAAAACCAGTTGGAGAGCTTCCCCTGAAAAAACAAGTCCACACAGGATTCGTGATTTTAAAGTTTTGTAAAGGTGAAATGTTCAAAGGGCACATGATTACTTGAATTGTACTTTTTCAATGTACCCAGTGCTTTAGTTTAAATAGTCAGTTTTAGCTGTGTACATACTAAACATGAACCTTCCAAACGTGTGTGTTAACATTAACCTTCCCAGCTCCGCCTAGAACTCCAAGTGCCGTTCTCCAATGAGACTGTGCAATAGTTCACATACAGAAATACTTAGTTTTTTTCTTTTTGAGCCTTTTTATTTCACTATCCCCCCCTTTACCATAAACATGCATTCCTTAGTTTAAAAAAACTAAAAGAACAATAACAAAAGCAAATTTCTGGCTAGAGTTCTAGAAATCCTTTAACGTTAGTTAGAGAGCTCTCTATTTAAAAGAAACTAGTTATAATTCCATTTGTTTTATTTGAATTTGCACTTTCTTACGTAGAAAAAGTGACTATCTAAAAAGCTGTAGCTGAATGAAATCCTACTGGAAATACTGTATCACGCTGTCCAAAACTGAGTCACTAGAACTCCAGCCACGTGAAACACCAGAGCAAATTCTGTTAGGGTACAGAACAGCAGGCAGAGGAAGCCCACGCGGCGAGGATGCGGGACAGGATGGGGGCTTCCATGGCCTCTCTCCCGAATCTGCAGGTGCCCACCAACTCGGAAGCTTCCCCAGTGAAACCCCCAGCCCCCCCCCCGGAAAACCCAGGAAAACCCAGGGCACGGCAACGCAGCAGAGGGTACCTGAGTCTCTCATGTAATGGATTTCGTCAAATATGACCCAAGCGACTTCACGCATGACTTCAGAGCCCCTGTACAGCATACTTCTCAGAATCTGAAGAAACAGACAGAATGCTGACATGCGTGTCTCACTTGCAAAAGCAAGTGAGGGAACATCAGAGTTTGGCACCGGACGCTTCAGTTAAACTGAGTGGGAAGAGCGGCTGAGGTGCCCCGGAATCACCTCTGTGGTCATGACGAGACAGGATGCCGTGGGGTTAATAGTGACGTCTCCCGTCATCAGGCCGACGTCCTGGAACTCCTCATACATCTCGCGGTACTTCTGGTTACTCAGAGCCTTGATGGGGCTGGTAAATATCACCCGCTGCTTCTCCCTTAAGGCCAAAGCGATGGCATACCTAAAAATGCAAAGGGAAAGAGTAGTTACAAAGCCTTTTCTTTAAACCCTACAAATTTAAAAGTGCTATTAACACGTAAACTATGTCTCAGTTTTCCTTAATTACTTACCCGAAACAGACTTTGCAAACATCAGTATCCTACTCTGCCTGATACCAGTGACCGGCACCGTGATGCTGCGGTGAGCCCACGTGCAGCGGTCTGAGCACATGAGACGTTTCTCCGCCTCGGGCCTGAAGCCCACGCAGCTCAGTCCTGGGCGCCCACGGACGGCCCACAGCCTGCTTCTCGTGGGCAGGGCGTCCGGACACTCAGAGCCCCAGCCCGCTTGTTTCCACACACACACTGAGGATGAACCAGCAGAAAACAATGGGGAAGGAAGTTTTTTCCCTTGGGTCTGAGGATCAACAAGTAAGCTGGTCCGTGTGCGCTCTCTCCCCGCATGTAAGAATACGGACGGAGGCGGTCCCCGACCGGAAGTTACGGGGGGCTATGATGACGTCCGGGCTCTGCCACAGCCCCCAGGAGAGTGAGACAGAGTCTGGTGTCTACACTCAGCCGAACGCCGGCGTTCAACTGGAAACAGAACTCGTACTCTCCTCAACTATCCCCCCAACAGTGAAACGACTGAAATGCTAAAAACTGTCGACGAAACGAGTTACAAGAAAAAAGAATAGAGAGATACGATGGCACATTTTCTGAAACACCCACTTCTCAGAAAAAGGGCACGAAGAGAAACAGGAAAGCGTCCCACACACGCAGGCAAAGGACGGTGGCGAGCAGCGGCTTCTGAGCGGGCCTGGCCACTGGACTCAGCAGACGAAGACCTCCGAGCAGCTATTAGAAGCGGCCCAAAACGTAAGAAAACCATGTTCTAAGGACTAAAGGAAACAATGATTCAACCAATGAGACGATAACAGAAAAAGTGAAACACCGTGTGACATCACCACCAAGTGAACTTCCACAGATGAGAACGGAACGGCTGGCGTCTGCCCGACAGAAACACGCGCACAGGCAGACGCACGCGAACGTCCACAGGAGCATCGTTAGCGGCGTGACACACACAAACGTCTATCCAGCCGAGTGAACAAACTGTCACGGGCCCACGGGATGCAGTGCTGCACATCAATGAAAAGAGATCAGCAGTGACATGTGTGACCCAAAGGGACCCCAAACACACGGTGCCGAGTGGGAAGAAAGGCAGACACGGAAGAGTCCATGTTCCACGATCCCGTTCACAGGGAGTTTCTAGAAAAGGCAGAACTACAGGCGGAACACTGATCGGCACTTGCCTGGGGTTGGAAGGCGGGGAGGAGGAGGTCTGAGGGCACAGCACGCACACACACACACACACAGAAAAGTCTACGACTGCGTGAATGCACGAGGACTCACTGAACTACGCCCTTACAGTGGGGGCGTTTACGGCACACGAACTGCATGGTGACAAAGCTGTTTCTAAGACCTTTACATGGAATAAGGAAAAGCAGTGCCAGGAAAACAACCTAATTACTTAGACGGTCTGATACCGTGTCAGTTCCGGCACCAGACTTACAAGGACCCGGAAACATCTCTATCGCCCCCGCGCCCCTGTACCCTCCTGGCTCCCCTCTCAGCACCCCCCGGGACTCCCCAGCTGGCTCCTGTCTGCAAGGATCGGCCTTCGCAGGCCACTCCACCGGACACGGGACCACCCGGGGCCGCATCCTCCTCTCGGCATGATGAGCCCGGGGCTCGTGCTCCTGGCAGCACGTGCCGGCACTTCACGGCTTCCACGGCTGCGTGCTGTTTCCCCGTAAGGACACGCCACGTCTTGCTAGCTGCTCACCAACGGACGGACCTTTGGGCTGTGTCTACCTCCCCACACTTGTGAACAGCTGCTACAACACTCACGTCCGGCACCATTTGAACAACTGGTCTCCGTTCCTTGGGGGGGCGTACCCGGAGAACCTGTTCCGCTGAGTTCTAGGGCAATGACACATCTCACCTGCTGAGCGGCCACAGGACTTTGCCACAGTGGCCCTCACCAGCTTTTCCAGAAGGCCTTTGCCTCCAGTGAATTTCGTGTGTTTCTCCTCATGGTTTCCTGCCCGAGTCTGACAGCAGGTTTCAGAACAGGTGACCACGTCCTCCACCGAACACCTCTCTCCTCATGCAGGAAAAATGCCCGCGAGGCTACAGGGGCACCCGGCACCGCGATGCTGCGTGTGCTGCCATACGCGGAGCACACCTCGCAGACCGCACGCTCCTCCGGGTGTGGCGCAGCACCGGCCGGGAGCAGCCTCGCCTCTTCTCTACACCTGCCCCAGCCGGCTACGGACACAGGGCTACGGACACAGGCGGTCCCAAGCCCCCAGTTCTGCCCCACCCTTTCCCAGAAGGCACTGGAGTCAAGCTAGCTTCCGCCTTAGGCACAGACATTGAAAGAGGCTTGCCTAAGTTCAGGTATTTTTATCAAAGTGACAAATTTTTACTGACAAATCATAGAAACGTGAACTCCAAGTGGACCAAAGACCTAATACAAAAACTAAAACTACGATACTCTTAGAAGGAACTATCCAGACTGACTTAAGACATAAGGACACACAGACTGAAAGTGAGGGATGGGAAAAGCCACTCCATGCACATGGAAACCAGAAGGAAAGAAGGAAGGAAAAGGAAAAGGAAAAGGAAAAGGAAAGGAAAGGAAGCAAGCTGGGCAGCAATACTTGTATCAGACAAAACAGTCTAAAAGCAAAGGCTGAAATAAAACAGAGAAAAGCGCTACTTAGGATAAAGGGGTTGGTCCACAAAGACCCAACACTCGTAAAATGTGCACGTACCCGACACAAAAGCACCTATATATATAAGACAAGTACTAACAGACCTAAAATTTCACTTAAAAAAAAAAAGAGATACTCACTCGGCACATACAGTCTTCCCCGCTGATGTGTGTGCAGACACCAACACGGACTGGTTATTATCCACACACTGAATGGCTTCTCTTTGAAAAGCATCAAGAATGAATGGGTATTCCTACAAAAATATACAGAGGTTAACTTCCACATGAAAATTCTAGCTACATACAAACACACTTAAAATCCAGAGACATTACTACCAGAAGTGTTCTGGGAGAGTAAGAAAATCTTTAGACAGCACAGAAGTTACTTGTGCAGTATAATCTTTCAACTATGTATCATGCTGATACATCCGTTACATTAATTGTAACAATCGCTAACTCAAAAACATGCTGTGCAGCATTTTCCACATGTACTGTTCACCTTCACAACACCCCTGAACCAGGCGCCAGTCTCCCTCTCAGACCGAGACACGAGGTGCCCGAGCCCGAGGCCTCAGGGAGCCCGCAGCGCAGGGCGGGGAGACGCCAGCACATGCTCAGAACTGCGGCCTCCCGCCTGCCCGCCGCCCTGCCTTCCAGGACAGTCCCTGAGGGTTGAGCAGGGCTTCAGAACCTTCCTCACACAAGCGCCAGAGCTTAGGGTTCACTGGGAGCTTATTCAACTTCTGAAACTATACACAGAACTTACTGCACACATGCGTGTTTTCAGAGAGAAAGATCGATAATTTTCATTAGATTCTTTAAAAAGGCTAAGAGTCACTGATTTTTAAAAATCTCATCACGTGATGCCTGCCTTTCGGCGTCTCTGTTTACTGATTCAGGTCTCGTATTTCACTTTAGGTAGCTGCTTCGTGGCGTATATACACTGGGAAGCATAAACATCTCTTTGGAAGAATTTAAGATTTTTTTTTAGGAAAAAAAGATTCACAGAACTGTAATAATTATATTGCCCGAAGTACAGACCTTTGCAGCTTTCCCAACTCGAGGTTTAAGTGGTAAATAATCTTCATCTGCAGGAAGGGCAACCTAGTATAAAAGAAAAAGAAAACAACTAAGAACTGATGCATTCAGCATTCACCCCCTAGTCACCGACGGTGTGAAAAGTTAAAGTGATGCACTAGCATTTGACAGTCGCAGGGTAGAGATTAAGTAACCGCCTCTAAGAAGGAGCCCAAACGCTGAAGCTTTAGCACTTGAAACCTCTGTGAGCACTGGATCTAACAGTAACGTCGTTAAAAGCTGCTGGTGCAGATCCCTGAAGAACCTGTTTCCGCAGGTCTGGCACCTTTCTCAGCATCTTCACATTTTCCACGCCCACGGTGTTGCCTGACATTAACAAATGGTCAAGAAATGCTGAATGCAGATGAAAACGCTATGGAATACAATGACACTCCCTAATTCCTGGAACAAGATATTAACCCCCCCCCCAGGAAGATTAAGCTATGGAGAGCAGCTCACAATTCTGTCTAAATTCTCAAAACTTAAACCACAAAGTGGATTATAATATATAAATAATCCGCTGGGGAGGGTGGGGGCAAAGTGAGGAACACAGAGAAATTACACGCGATTTCTCCCAAGACCAAAGCTCCGACAAATAAGCGGAAACACAGGCAGACCGCGGCAGCCGAGGCGCCGTGGGCAGGGTTTCCGAGAGAGGCGCCCGGCTCTCGACTGCAGCCGAGAGCAGCGGACCTCACACTCTGTGTACCCCAAGGAGTCGCACTGCTGTGACACGCGTGTCAGATGAAAGGAGGGGCTTTAAAGCGAGTCGACTGCCCAGAGATGGCGGCTGGGACCCGGGCGCTTCCCGAGCACATGCCAGGGGGAGCGAGCGTGAGAGCTGTGTGTGTCGGAGAAAGCCCACTGCTCAGGGGCAGGCGCCAGTCCTGCCCTGGAGATGGCGTGTCCCCACCGTCAGGGGTCCCGGTGGGCCGAGGGAGAGAAGGCCATTTATCCGAGAGGTAAGCGGGTGGCCCTCTTCCCTGCACCTCCGTTCCTACGAGGGCACAGCCTCGCAGCCCCGACAACACCGAATTCCTGGTGTGCACACCTGAAGACCAGACCCTCCGTCACGGCGTGGCCCTGCCAGGGCCTGACCGACCTGTGCGGCCGTGAGGGGTCAGCTGGTCACCCCCCCTCACATCTCTGCTGATGCTTTCTGTGCCGGGAACAGAGAACATGAGCACGAAGCAAGCAGGACTTCCGCGTCTCCGAGACGCGACCACAGCAACGGGACGCTGTGCCTTCGTGGGAACGAGAACGGAGGATTCCTGTCTTACTCTGAAAACAGCCTGCGTGACGCTGACACGTGAACAGGCAGAAGAGAAGAGGCCTGCAGTGACCGAGATGTGAAACGATGGAAACCAGCAGAGCGACCGGAGCCAGACGGAATCCGAGACCAGTCCTGGTATGAAACGGAGGGACGTGCCATCACAGGGGAGCACGCGGCCATTAGAGACTTAGGGACCAGCGAGGGCGGGGTGGGGGTCCGACAGGGACTCCCAGCACAGCGCCCAACAGCACTCTGCAAGGGGGGGGGGGCGTTCTCTGCTTTTCTAAAGGAGCACAAACAATGTTCAGCAGAAAAACAGGTATTTTAGAAAACAAGGTGCTAAATCTTTACTGAAAGCCATTTTTGCTCATTGGGAATTACTCTGTTCATTCAACAGACTTTTAGTAAGACTCCCAGCTCCTGTTGTGGAGCTACATCGGCCACAACAGAGACACCTCGCTGCTGTCCCACCACCCACAGACACCGCGCTGGTTTGTGCAGGCTGCCAGAACAGGCCTCTGCCCCACCCCTGAGCAAGCAAGTGAGGTGCTTTCCCCTCTTCTGGGGTGACCCAGGGTCTAGCACCCCACACACGCGGCCCTGTCCCATCCTAGATAATCCGCCTCGCTGCACTGAGGACAGCCACATCCTCTCACTGTGCCCGAGGTGCACCGGCATGTGCATTTCCTCCACACACTCCTCATGGACTGGCAGCTGCCCTCTCAGCCCAGAGAGATTCCTTGTAACACCCAGAGTAACAACTTAAAAGGTCCTATTGTAAAGACAGAAGGCCTTTGTATAAAGAAACAATGTTACACTTCCCTTGTAGCCTCATGTTTACAAACTCTCACTTTCCAAGGGTTACTACAAGCTGCTGAGACCAACGCCTTGTGACAGAACCATGAAACTGCAGAATGTGCCATCAGAGCGAGACAGGAAGAGCCGGGGCCTGCCCGCAGGACAGTGGGAAAGAACAGGCCCTGAACGCCTGCTCTGTGCAGAGTGCCCCACCCAACGTCCTTACGTAAGCTTCCCAGCCACCCGGCGACACACACCGTTCCAAATTCGTGAATTAAAAAACCACAACAAAGGTCAATGAAGTTATCTAAGGCTATACTGGGTCAGCCAAAAAGTCCGTTTGGTTTTTTTCCATGAAATAAGAGATTTTTCATTTTCACCAATAACTTCATTGATTTGGATATACTTTGAGCCTATCAGCTGTCTCCCACTACTGGCTTCCAATGGGTAGAGGCCAGGGCGCTGATAAGCATTTCACACAAGACAGCCCCACGGCAAGGCACCGTTTGGCCAGAATGTTACCAAGAACCCGTCACAACACCTTCTTCACACGCTGCAGAACTCTCTTTGCATTTCAGTTGCGTTTTTACCCTTCTTGAAATAGTACAGCATAATACACGGAAACTATCGCTAACTTCCTTTCATCTGCACTACTGCAGTGGCTACACTAAAATACGCCAGTGTTGCTGTTTCAATGCTCACTGACATGACAGCTGTCACCACACAATCTAATGAACTGTCTCAGACGAAGTCAAAGACAACTGAGTGTCACCAGAGCCATCCTGCAGAAAAGGCTAAACCAGCTATTTGGCCCGCCCAACGGTTAGGAAAAGCACTGTGCCAGGCTCCGGGCTCGGGTCTGGACACGAAGCCCCAGCCCGTCCAGAAGGCCTCGTGCACTGCGCAGGCGCTCCTTCCCGCTCCCACAGCCCCGACAGCAGGCCTGCACGCAGATCGTCCCGCGAGGCTGTCCAAGGCCAAGCCCGGCCTTCGGAGCCGACCTACCGGACGCGCACCGTCTGTGCTCACCTCGTGGGTACAGCCTTCGACCGTTTCAACCGACTGTACTTTCACTCTGGGCATCAAGTCTGCCAGGCTTCAAAAAAAAAAAGTCACGTTAGAACAGGTGGTTTTTCTGCAACTCGACCGGCAGGCCTCCCGCCCGCACTGATCAGGAAGCCGACGCCGCCCGGTGACCAGTCCCCAACGGAAAGAGCCCGGCTACTCGGAACATTAAAACACCTTCCCGTGTTTCATGTATGTGCCGCGAATTCAAAGTAACCAATTAAGATCATTCAGTACAAATACAGAACGGTCTTCAAGTGGATTACTCCAAGAATTAGGTTTTAATTCCAGTAACTATTCTGAATAAAGCACACCTCTCCAAAGCACTGTTACCAGTTCAAGCATGAAGCTGGGCACATAAAAATATTCCGTGAGAGAAAGCACGGAGTGAACTGGTCTGACACAGACGCTGCCCTCGCTCCCCGAAGCGGGCCCCGGTCTCGTCACCACCTCAGCTACTGCGTTAACGGGCAGATTCTACACGGACTCGAAAAAAACGCGACTGCAGGTAAATTAAAGAAAAGTAGATGTATTTCTGCGGTGGATTCATTACTCCCTTATTGATTGCACTTTTGATTTTTATTTCAAGTCAATAATCATGCTGTGGATAGAACCCAACGGTTACTACAATAAGTAACAACGACTTTTAAATTGCCACTATTACTCTTTAGCCCATTCTACTAGCTGCAGCAAATGGCGCAGCTTAAATATTTCAGTGGCACAGCTATGACCAGGAGCTGCTTTTGCTCACTGCACTGAAGGGCGACCGGTCTACAAAAACCGTGGTGAGCAAGCGCCGTATGGCAGTGCCAGGCCAGAACGCAGCACAAGAGAAGGGACTGGCCAAGTGTGAAGGTCATCACAAGGACACGGGTGAAGGCGGAAGGAACTGGCATCGCCTTCGAGCACTCGCAGACACGGCCCCACGGGTCTCCCTCTGAGAGCCCTGCTCCCCCACTGCTCCTGCGGCAGCGCAGGACCCTCCCCGCAGGCCTCCCATTGGTTCTCTTCTCTTCCACCCTCCTGGGACATTAACGAATACAGGAAGTTACGTCATTTTTTCTTTTATAAAAACCGAACTTCAACATTCTCTGCCAAAGTTGGATTCTAAGCGTTGGAACATCCTTTCTACAGTCTTCCATTTCCCCAAACTTAAATAACCTTCTCTACTTAAATGCTTGTGTACCTATGTATACAAACAGTATCTTCATTTCTCTAACTGCGTGTACTTTCATAAAGTAACATAGAAACAATTTTCAAAGCTTCATGCAACTAGTTGATCTATGAGTAACTAACATTTATAACGATGAAAATACTACCTTAAGTCGTCGGTTATTGACTCTTCTAGCCTGGGCTTCTTTCCAAAAATGGGTTCATCTGTGCTCTCGAAATCCACGTCTCTTTTGGTTTTCCCAACATTAGTGGACTCGGACTGTAAATTACCATCAGGACGTTTCCTGAGAAACAGACAATGTAAAATGAATTCTGGAGCATCAGCTCTCCCCTTAAGAGAGACTCTATGAAATGCTACCCCACACATAACGCACACTGTTAACAGAAGAATTCACCACACTGTTAACAGAAGAATTCACGTAAATATTGGGTTGCCCGAAAAGAGCGTTTGGTTTTTCAGTACAATGTAGTGCTGAGTTGTGCTTAGTTGCCTTTACTTCATTTGAAACAATGCTGTAACATTGTGACAGCTGTCCTACCAGCCGGCATTAAAAAAAAAAAAAAAAAAGCCTCATCAGAGTTGGTGAATGTTTGTGCAGTCACTTTAATATTGCAGGTGGAACAAGGCACGAACATTTTGGCACATTATGCTTTATTTCAAGAAAGGTAAGAATGCAACCGAAACGCAAAAAAAGATGGGTACAGAGTATGAAGGTGCTGTGACTGACTGAATGCAGTTTGTGAAGTTTCTTGGTACTGCTGACATTTTGGCCAAATAATTCCTTTCTGAGGAGCTGTCTTATGCATTGGAAGGTGTTTAGCAGCGCCCCTGGCCTCTACCCACTGGAAGCCATATTCAAAATATCCAAATCCATAAAGTTATTGGTGAAAATCAAAATGTATTTTTTATTTTAGAAAAAACTAAAAAGACTTTTTGGCCAACCCCCAATAAAAATAGCAGCAGTAATATTGAGATTAAGATATCAAGTACAGTTTGTGCTTTGTTCTGTACTTAGAATATGTCACACTAAGAACGAAAATACGATGTTTTTTAAATGTTTACATTACTAACTTCATACCTGTTAATTTGTTTCCATCTATTTTCCATTTTTAAGGATTGCCAACATATCCATTAAAAAAAAAAATTACGTTGCCCTGGCCAGTGTGGCTCAGTTGGCTGGAGCACCATCCTATCAACTGAAAACTGAAAACCGAAAGGTCCTGGGTTCAGTCCTTGTCAGAGTGTGTGTGCGAAGCAACCAAATGTTTGTCTCAGCCATCAGTGTTTCTCTCCCTCTCTCTCTCCTGTCCCATCTCTCTAAAATCAATAAGCATGTCTTAGTGTGAGAATTAGGAAAAAAGTTCTGTAAAACATTTTATGTTTCCAAACTCAGAAGTTCATAACAACAGCATATTCTTGCTTTCGTCCTTGCCTCTCTGCTCCATTTCTTCTCTCTCCTCGAGTGTTCGTTTGCCATTTCTCATTGCTGTTGCAAACACACTCAAATTGCGTGCGTGCGTGCGCGCGCACACCCGCGTCTGTCTTTAGTCCTCACTATCTGTGGCATCATAAACGATGCAGCAGGAAACAGCCTTGTGCGTGTCTGGCTTTTCCATTTAAATGTTACCTTTGTGACTGATTCCTAAAATTAGAATTCCTAGGTCAAAGGGTGTATAATTCTGCTAGGTGTTGCCACATGCCTCTGCACAGATCTGTACCATTTTGCATTTCCAACAGTCGGCAGAAGGAAATGTCCCCCTCCCAGATGTCCACGTCCCAATCCCAGTAGGATGGTCAGAACTGATACAGGACTATTATCAAACCTACAGACTTATTCAGACGCTGCCAATTGCTTTCATGAGGATTCGGTACAGGATTCCACAATTTGGTTGTCATGTTTAGAAATAACATCTACAAAGCACCTCAATAAATGAAAGTCTTATTCTTAAAGCGCAGGTTTGTTTTCTAAGGTGTTTACTTCTAGCTTTTCTACATAGCTCAGGAGACTCAAGTATGCAAGTTCCATGTAAAAAACACACCAAGCTGTAGGAGAAGTAATTGGAGATCTAGAAGTATAACAAACAGTATTCTATTTTCATGTGTCAGCCTTTCCTTGTTGTGTAAACAATTCTGCACGCTTTCCGTTAGATATCTACATCAATGATAACCTCAGTGACAGACAACTTTTGATGATTTACACGACCTGGTACTTTACACATGCTGTGACTGACTCATCACGACAACCCTGGTGGTAGGCACTATCATCTCCTTTTGAGCTTGGAAACCGTCGGTTTCTCTCCCTTCCCCCGTTGCTTCTTTCCCTTTCCCCTCCAAGTCAACTCACGTCGGTTTTTCTAAGCTCCTTAACCCCGCATTCAACTGGTCTCTCGTTCCGTGTAGCAGAGATCAGCCGCCAGACGCTGCTTCGGAGCTTCACTGCCTGGCACCCGACCTCACCTGCTCGCAGGCGCCCCCCCACCACAGGCGCAGACACGGGGAGGCGGCCACGCGGGTTTCGACGCGAGGCCTGGGCCCACAGCGCCTGCGCACATCGGGGACGCCCGACCCGGCTCCCTCAACCGCGGCCGCCCCCGACACCGACTAGAGGAACTCCCTGTTTCCTCGGGCGCTTTAAAAGGCTCGTGCTTTCTCCCGTCAGCACTAAAAAACAGAAAGGGGCCGTCGGGCGACCCCCTTACCCGGCCTTTTCCGCAGGCCCTGGAGGCGCCTTCCATTTCCCCTTGTCCTTGCTCTTCCTGGTTCCCGGCGCAGCGGCAGAGTCGTCCTCAAACACGCTGAACAGCTCATCGCCGAAGGCGTCCGCCATCTCCCGCAGCCGCGAGCGCGGGCCCCTCCGCCCCGCTACACCCGGCGCCCGCACGGACCGTGACGCCAGCAGGCGCCTACGGTGGCTGGAGCGAGACAAAAGTAGTCGCCTGGCACGGCCTCCGGGAAGCTTCCCGGCCTTCTCTCCGCCTCCGATCTAGCCTTCCCCTCCGAGCCTAGCGACCTTCCTCCCCTCCGAGCTCTGCGACCTCTCCTCCCCTTCCGCCGCCGCGTGCGTGGGCCGCTCGGGGGTCCCGGGGGAGCGCGGCGAGCCCGACGCGCCGGGGGCGGGGCGGGGGCGGGGCCGTGGCGCTCCGGGCCAATCGCGAGGCGGCGGCCGCCCAGGCCCGGGAGGCCCGGATGGAGGACGCTGGCGGGCGCCTCGGGGCCCGGGGAATGTGAAGCGCGCTCGGAGGCTGTTCCGGGGCCGGGCCTGCGCCGGGCGCCGTCTTCCGCTGGGCTGCGTGCGCCATGGGCGGCAAGAACAAGAAGCACCGGGCGCCGGGCGCCGCGGCGGTGCGCGCCGCCGTGTCCGCCTCCAGAGCCAAGGCCGCCGAGGCCGGAGCCGCCCCCGAGGCCCAGACCAAGAAGCCCGTGGCCAGGCCGCCCGCCGCCGCCGGCCCCCGGGAGCCCCGCGTCAAGCCAGGTACGAGCGGCCGGCGGGCCGGGCGTCGGTCCCGAGGGAGGGGGCGCCCGCCCCGCCGCGCTGCCTGGTCGGACCCGCGGCGCTGCCGCGTCTACTCCCGCTCCTCCTCTCCCGAGAATGAGCCGCCGTTCCTCCACCCGGGCCCCTGCAGCCGGGCCCCTTTTCTTGTACCTGCCGCCGCGCCGCCACGTGTCCCGAAAGTCGGTGCTTAGTGCGGGGCGGGCGCTGACGCGCCACCTGCGGGCCGACACCCCGGGACGCCGCCCGCGGTCTCCGGCGCAGCCACGCGTTCGTGCCAGTCGGAGGGTAGCTGCCGGGCAGTGACGACTTCCGAGCGCGACAGGTCCCTGGGGGGCGGGTTTTTTAACACGAGCGGTCACTCGCCGTGGGCTCAGCTTGTCTGCGCGTGGTCGTTACTGGCGTCTGCCGAGCACCTGCCGCGTGTCGGGCCTCTCGCCCACCCCACCCCGCTCCGGACGCCGGTCTGCCGAGGAGACCGCGGGCTGCGAGACCCACATGGGCGCGAAGAAAGGCCCAGGCGCGGAGTGTAACTGGTGCCCCAACTTGACGGCGAGGGGCACGGGCCCTGGTTGGTCTCTTTGGAAGGGACAGCGCTAGGCCTTGCACTTTTCATTTGCACTCTGCGCACCCAGTGTAGGCGCTCGTGAATTCCGGGAGCACCGGCCAAGCCCTCTTTTCTTTTCCCTGCCCTGGTCCTCCCTGCGCGGGCCATCACATGGGGTGGGAGGGACCCTGCATTCTCCACTCTCTTGCACAGCCTCCGTGCGGGTGCTGTGATGTCATCCGCGCTGGTCAGTGGCAGCCAGGACCTTCCTTCCATCAGGTCTCCTGATCCCCACATTCGGCCGCACAAACCTGGTGTAGTGTCGCTGCTCTCGATGCAGCTGTGGGCGCTCTGCCTCCGCGGGTGCGTCCTTGCCATTTTCTCTCAGTGGAACGCCATCTGTCCCTGACACTGTGGACACAAATCCTGGGACACCCACCCCCCGTGTCAACTGCTTGTTTCATCCCCCTGTGTCCACCCACAGCTCACGCACCGTGTTGTTTGAATGTTCTTTCTGGTATTTAGATCTTGCCTGTGGTATGTGAGGAGCTGTGTTATGGAACGTGGTGACATCCCCCAGTGTCCACTCCAGTGCGCTCCCTGCACATATTCAAAAAGCTGTTGGACAAGTGGCAAGGAGCAACTTAGAGAAATGGTCAAGGCCGAGAAATTGAGACAAAAAATCGGAGGGTTCTACTAAATTTGTAGGGGTTTTTTTAATAACTCCAAATTAATAGTACATAGAATAAATAACATGTTGCTACACAGAGTGCTGCATGATTTTTTTGTTGTTGTTATTTTGCTTTGTGTTTCTTTTTGTCTGGAGATTTTCTTAAATGACATAATAAGACTACTTTGGGGGACAGAACGGGAAATGTAATCATTGGCCTCCACTTCCACTTCTGTCTTTCACGCAGTTTGGGGGGGGGGTCGTATGTAGCCTGCTCTCTCAGAACCGTCCCGTCCTCCACAGTGGCTCCTGGCGCGATTCTGGTGGTCTGCCACTCCAGTGTTCGTTTTTTCTCATTTCATTGGTTCATGAAATAATTTCTGAAGACTTGCTATATACCAGGCGAGAGGTTAGGCACAGGGACAGCACACGAACAAAACAGACTGAGGTCCCTGCCTTCACGGACTTTCATCCTGGCTGGGGGGGGGGGGTGCTTGTACCCCCAGGCTCGTGTTTGTGAGGGTCCCTAGACCTAATCAAGTCTGACAGTCTGAGTAGGGGGGTGAGACTGGGGGCTTGATAGCATGAGTGCACTCTAAAAGCCATCACCAATACAGGGCCCCCAAAGTAAAACAGTAAGTACTGCGACGGTCAGAAACCAGGGATTGGCCAAGAAAAACTGGGTGGCGGGTCTCTTGGTCTGGACAGGGATGGCTTCCCTGAGGAATCCTTTAAGTGGAGGTGATTGGAAGCAACCAGCTTTGGGAAGGTACATGTTCGAGGCCTGGGGAATGAGGGCAAAGGCCCGGTGCCCCGCTAGTTGCAGGAAAACCAGAAGACAGTCCCCGGGCGGAGCCTCGGAGGTGATGGGCTTGGGTATCAAATGGGGGAGGGAGGCCACAGCTGGTGCACCTGGTTAAAGGGATCAGCAGGTGGTCTGGCAGGACGGGCATCCCCCAGACCCTGACCGCCCCCTCCTGCACCCGCATTTACTCCCTGTGTTCCCTGCACCCCACCCCCCCAGCCTCCGTGGGTGCTTAGGTGCTTGACGGCTCCTCCGGACTGTGACCTGTGTGAGGACAGGCACTGGGTCCCTGTGCAGACGGGTGCTGTTGGCCAGAAGGGAGCCCACTGGCGCCGGGGCACCGGTCACCAGCACTGGCGGCCTGTGTGGCAGTGACAGTGGCCACCACGGTCCCTGGGGCACGTGCAGCACAGCATGGCGTGGAAGCAATGCCTCCTGAAGACACTGGCGCTGGCCGTGCCCTTGTGTTGGCTGAGTCACCCTGAGGAAGCTGTTGAGTTTTTCTGTGCATCAGCGTCAATAATTTGAGAGCCGACTGTGTGTCGCATTGTTCCGTGAATTTTCACTTACAAATTTGAAGTCCATAGTACCTTTTGCCTTGGAGATGCTGCATCCCAGCATCTTCGCTTCCCGTCGTATTTTCAATAACTCCTCCATCTGAACCAGTAAACCAGAGACTCAGGAGAACAGCCTCTCAGCAGCAAGGAGAGGCCCTGTCAAAAATCTTAGGAACCGGACGTGGCAGCTGAAGAAGAGCCGTCTGCCTGCCATGGCCTGTTGACTTTGACTTGTACTTGGAAATGGGGTTACTGATTTCAAAGTCTGAGTACCTGTTGTCACCTGGTCCCTTCGCTGTTTCCTAGGCCACAGGGTAGGAGCCAGGGTGGGAAGCTATTGGGTTGACAGCTGACAGTGGACCGGAGAGGGGACCAGGGAACATCCAGATAGAAACTTAGCACGTCCCTGGCAGCTGAGTGTGCCCAGCCCGTCCAGCGGCCTCGCCAGCCTCTCGAGACAGCACTGGCCGTCCTCGCAGGAAGGACCCGAACCTTTGGCTCTGCCGGTGGTGCTGTGTAGTGCGGCGGCAAGTGTAAAGACACCCTGGAAGGGTTTCCGTTGGGAGTGACTAAAATTCGCGTTTCAGACTCCGGCGTTTTCCCTCACCCTGGTTAAAAACTATGGGAACGTGTTTCAGGGGAACTTGGAGATGAAAGGGCCTGCCTGGCGAACCTGGTTTAGTGGGCGATAGCTCGTATCGCCCGGCCCCTCGGAGAGTTGACTGAGGTGAGCACGCTTCAGCGACCTGGACTGACACCCAGTGAGTGTGCAGCAGTGTGTGTGTGCGCGCCCCCCGCTCCCAGGTGGACACACGCAGGGCGTGTGCAGAAGGAGGCAGACAAGCCACGTCTGCGGCCACTGTGAGCCTGGAGAGGCAAGGAAGGGTTCTTGCTGGGCCCCTCGGAGGGCACGTGGCCCCCGACCTCCTGAGTTTGGACTTGTAGCCCCCGGAAGTGAGAGACTGTTCAGCCACCAAGTTGGTGGAGTTAGTGGTGGTCCTCCGCAGCCGCCCTAGGGGCCTAGCAGCGTGACCTTGGACTTAATAGGAGACGACAGAGGAGCTCTCCCTTCCCTGTTGCCCAGGGAGAAGTGCTTCTCTTCCCAGTCACCCCTCTTCCCGGCCAGGCATCTGGCTGCTGTTCCTGGGGCCTCGGTTCTGCTGAGGTCCAGGCAGAAGAGCACCCAGTTTTTAAAATAAGGTGAAGACAGGTTTCCTTTGAAAGCAGTGCAGGTGTTGTGATGGGAGCAGGGCTGCCCTCGAGAGTGCTCACTGGTCTGCGTTTGCGGAAAAATGCAGGGGCCCTGGGGACTTGTAGGAGGCAGGGGGCGGGGTGAGGAATGGAATAGTGTTTGGCAGCCGTTACAGGGAGAGTAAAGCAGTGTGACGGGCAGTCGTCATTGAATTGCCCTGACTATTCCCTCTCTGTTACGTACAGGTCCGAAGATTTACAGTTTTAACTCCGCAAATGATTCTGGTGGTCCTGCAAATCTGGATAAATCTATTTTGAAAGTAAGTACCAAGCTTTTGAATCATTTCAAGAAATGTTCCCTTTAAAAAAAGAAAAGAGCCCTGGCTGCTGTGGCTCAGTGACTGAGTGTGGACCTGCAAACCCCAGGGTCGCCAGTTCGATTCCCAGTCAGGTCCCCAGTAGGGGGTGAGCGAGAGGCAACCACACACTGATGTTTCTCTCCCTCCTGTCTCCTCTCTCTAAAGTAAATAAATGAATCCTTTTTAAAAAGATGTACTCTTAAGTATAAGGAAAAGATGGGGAATTTAGAGTTTTTGTAAAGAGTGTGCCTACGATGCACTGCGTTAAGTGACGCAGGTCACACAGGTGTGCTGCGAGCTGCCGAGAAGTCGGCCAGGCCGGGCGAGGCCCGGCTGGGGAGCTCGGTGCTCCGTTCGACTCTGCCCCGGTGCCCTGGTCGGCTTCCTCCCCGCGCAGATCGCCGGTTCCCATCCCGTTGTTCGCCTGGGCCCGCGGGGCTGCGTGACGGCAGCCCCCTGCCCAGGGGGCCCCGTCTCCCCGCCTCCGCCTGCCCGGTCTGCAACCTCAGTGAGTCCGTCGTGAGTCACCAGGCTGGTCTTCTGGGTGGTTCCATGCGCTCTCGTGTGACTTGTAGGATAATTGCCCTGCCAGGGTACAGTTTGTTGTTCTGTGTGTCGCCTGCACTGTACTGGGTCCCTGGGGTCTGGTTTTGTGCTAATGCAGGAGGTGCTCAGTGGCGTCGTCATGAAGCGGAGTTTTCCACGCAGGTGCTAGTGCGGCCCCTGGGTTACAAACGGGGAAGCGACAGAGGATTAGCCAGCTGATGGGAAGAAGCAGGAATCCAGCTGCAGAAGCCAGAGGACTGTGTGGCCTCGTCAACATGGGCACAGACCTGACTGTCGCTGCCTGTGCCCCTCCTTAGTGTGGCCTCTGTCCTCTGGGGCTGAGATCGGCGAGCTTACTTTCAGGCGGAGTCCCGGGCTCCACCCGAGGGGTCCGGCTCGGTGGTCAGTGGTCAAGACGCTGTGGAAGGGCAGCCCGGGGAGGCCCGAGGGTGCTGTCCTGGAGAGCGTGGCTCCGGGAGGCTTTCAAAGAGGGTTTTTCTCACCATGTGTTGTTGCTTTTTCTAGGTCCCCTTTGATTAAATACATGGTGGCAGTGTCCCCTAACGGGTGGTCGTCCAAAATGCGGCAGCTTTCAGCTGAAAGTCTGGCCTCAGTTGGCAGGAATAGAGAAAACTGATGGACTTCAAATTACTTGCTTTTGCTAAATATGATTTCATAGCTTAGGTTTTAATTGGTCTTCTCTTGCCCAACAGGTGGTGATCAATAACAGCCTGGAGCAAAGGGCAATCGGGGTGATCAATGAGCACAGGAAGCAGAACAGTGACAAGGGAGTGACTTCTGGAAGACTCACTGCCAAAAAGTTACAGGTATTTGGCACATTTCCTGAAGCTCCTTGTTTTCCGTGGGGCCTTTTTAAGGCAGCAGCTCACGTGAGACACAATCACTTTGTCATCGGGTCGTTTCCGCCTTCGAGGGCGGAGCGAGGGCCATGCGGGGGGCCGGGCCACTAAACCGCACTCCGGGGTCACATTGCTCTGCTCAGCGCAGAGGTCCCGGCAGACCTGCTGCCCCATCTCTCCAGGGAAGGGCGTGAGGCCAGGAAAGGTCGCGCGAGGTGCAGCCTGAGGTGGTCAATGAGCCAGGAGCAGGGGGAGCGGAGTCGGGTTGTGAACCCAGTCCCGTCCAACTCGAAGATCGTGCTCCGGCAGCGTGTCAACACGCCCTCCTCTGCACACAGCCCTGCTCGCCGAAGCGCTGCTGGTAGCAGACCACGAGTGCTCACACCCCTGGGAAGACCAGTCGGTAGACCCTGCCCGTGGCTGTGGGAAGTGGGGAGGTTTCGATGACTTAGGAAGGTGCTCATGTTATGATGTTCAGTGAGGTTTGTCTTTGCAAAATCAGAGAAACATGAGTGAGAGGAAACATTACGTTGCAAGAAGTGTGTTTAGACAATGAGAATATGGGCGAGTTCACCTGCAGTTCTCAGCCTCTCGGTGCAGTGGGCCCATCTAATTCTGATGCCGGAAAAAGGAGCAAAGAACGGTGTTTCCAGAGTGGTCATTGGAGTCGCAGACTCTGGGTTAGAGTGAACGGGGGTGAAGCCAGCACTGGCTGGGGAGGGCACTGGCGGAGTGATGCGCCCGCTCCCCGACAGGACCTGTACATGGCTCTGCAAGCGCTCTCCTTCAGGACCAGCGACATCGAGGACGCCATGAGCCACACGCTCCTGCAGGGCGGCGACCTGCACTCCGCCCTGGACTGGCTCTGCCTGAACCTCTCCGACGGTGAGCGGTGGGCAGCGTGTGGGTGGCCAGCCGGCGGCAGGCAGCCCTAACATTCTTTCTGTTTCCAAAGCAGCTTTGGAACCAGTTGCAGAATGTGTGATATTTACATGAAGCCTTTGACTTGCACTTAAAGTTTTTCACTGTTACAGTGATTTTTTGCTAGAATGTTCTCACTCTGTTTTTCTTGGTGTGGCCTCCTCAGAGGTGTGGTCTGTGCAGGAAGATTGTTTTCTCGTGTGTTGTCGTCAGCTGTGCATTTACAACACACTTAATACTGCAGACTCAGGGTTTGCCTCCCTGTGGCCTGTGAGGCTGGTCTGCTGCTCTGGGTTGGCACTGCCATTCACTGGAGGAGCGCCTTAGGCGTGGGAGTGGTTGGGTTCTTCTTATGGACACTTAGGGGTCGGCCACCTTGAGGGTGAAGTGCAAGTGCCGAGGGCCCCGAAGTCTGGTGTGACAGTGACCCGGGCTCGTGGCAGGGCTTCTCTCGAGAGCCGAGGGGTGGGGAGCATCCGGCGCCCGCTGCCCAGGCAGGGTCTGTGCGTGTGCGTAATGAGACTGTGTCTTGGGGGGTCGAGTGTGTTTATCTGCATCTCAACTTCTCTTAAGACTCGCTTCCTGAGGGCTTCAGCCAGGAGTTTGAGGAGCAGCAGCCCAGAAGCAGGCCGAAGTTCCAGCCTCCTGCAGGACCAGCCGCTGTGTTGCCCCCATTGCACCCCAACACCGGCACACAGGGGAAGGACCCTAAGAGTCAGGTAACTTAGGGATTCAGTGTAGGAAGTTGAACAAAACTGGAATGAAGCCCACGTGGCGGTTCCCAACGGGATGCGCATCGGGTGGCCGTGATGCGTCTTCTCACCGCACACGGCCCGCCGGTCTGTGGGCTTCCCGTCCCCATCTCCTGCAGTGTCCGTTGCTGCCCGACAGTCCACCCCACAGCGCTGTGGCGGGGACCAGCCACGCGTCCTGCCTCAGGACCCCGCAGGCCGGCCGGGCTCGGTCGCCCTTCCTCTGTCCCACCAGGCGTCTCCGGGGGCTGGAGCGCCCAAACGGTGGTGCCCGACTCACAGGAGGAGTGCCCCAGTGGGCGGGGCCAGCCCGGACCAGCGGGCTCTCTCACGAGTGGGGCTTCGGACGGCGTGGGCTTCTGAGGGCAGGTGTCTCAGTCGAGCAGCCCTGGTGTGCAGGCCGTCAGGCCCCTGTGGGTATCGCTCTGGCTGACATGCATTTGTCAAAGTGACTCACAGAGCTACTTCCGACGTCAGTGTGACGGGCCTTGTGGGGAGCCACCCAAGCACCGGGAGGTGTAGCTCACTGGGCGTCACGCTCAAATGTTCTGCACACTGCAGAGCACCTCTGGACCTGGGTGAGCCAGAGCACGTGCCAAGGGAAATGAGCTGATCACGGAGGGTCTAGGGGGTCAGACCTACGGCAGCAGGGCAGGGCCGGCGGTCTCTGGAGGTGGGGGCCGGGGCGTGGGGGCTGGGGCGTGGGCAGCTCAGGCACGCAAGATGAGCGAGTCCTGGGGACGTGCGGCCCCCCACTGCACCTGCCCTGCCGGCACCGCACCGCGAACTCGAAAATGGGCTAAGAGGAGGGGTCTCAGGCTCAGAGGTCTGACCACACCCTCCCAGCCTCCGGCCCCAGCATGCACACGAGAACACGAGGTCACTGGGGGGTGGGGGAGTGTTTATGCGTGGCAGTGGCGTTGTGGACCTGTGCACGTGTCCGAACCCAGCACCACGATGAGCTCACACGTCACACATGCGGTGCAGTTAGTGCGCAGCACGCAGTGTTTTCACAAATGCCTCGAATGTGCCAGTTATGCCTCAGTAACGCTGAAAAGCAAACAAACAAAACACAAGTGTCGGCCTCATAAAACCACTGTTTTTAAGGAGTGAAAACGGGCTTATGTTTTGGTTCTCAGCCGTCCTCTCATGTTTTGCCCGTTACGCAAACGTATTCTTCGGGTTCTGCAAGTGTACGTTTTCCCGGGGCAGTGCTGAGCCTGCTCACAGGTCCCTCACTGGTCACCGAAGGGTGTGTTTCGAGGCTCCGTGTCCACTGCTTCCGGGCGTAAAGAGTCGTACAAGTGGTGCCACTTGGTTGCAGTGCTGACACCCGTTTGTAACTTTCTCAGATATTTGTTCTTTTGTTTCTAGCCAAGAAAGGAAGAAAAAAATACGGAAGTGAACGTGAAAGAATGGATTTTGCGGTATGCTGAACAGCAGGACGAAGAGGAAAAGAGTGAAAATTCTGAAAGTTTGGAAGAGGAGGAGAAGTTCGACCCTGTGAGTGGACGTTTGCGTTGGACTGTGGCAAACTGGCCCCTCTGTGGAGTTAAACACACGAGTCCCACGAGGCCCACCAGTCCCCTTCCTGGGGACGGGTTTAGTCAAGAAAAGGGAAAACGTGTCCGCCGAAAAGTCGTGCACACACATAAGCGTGCACAGCAGCTGTGTTCACAACGGCCCAGCTGTGGGTGACTCACAGGCACCGTGTGCAAGTGGGGGTGGGCGGGCGGGCGGGGGGGAGGCGTGTGCTGCCAAACAGACGCCTTCACTGCTGATCCCAGCAGAGCGGTCGGCACACACCAGCGGCAATGCACACGTTTGCAGCCTCAGTCGCCCGCACGCTGTGCAACGGGTGCGCTTTACTGCATTGCCTGCAGTAAACACGCCTTCTGAGGTCGGCGTGGGAGGAGCAGAAGGCGGGGCTGCAGGGCAGCACGAGTTGCCACGGGCCCCCTGTGGTGGGCAAGCGCAGAAGGCAGCTTTTTGTGGTCGCGCACGTGCGGAGGACACTGGGAAGACCCGCAGGAGCCCTTCCTGGCGGTTAGGTGGGGGTGGCGGGTGGCGGGGAGACTTCTTTTCCGCGGCCTCCTGAACCGGGACGGTCGGAGCCGTGTGCCGACTCCCCCGTCCGTTTTGCCTTGTCGCTGTCCGCCTCCACACGAACTGTCCCCGGTTGTGTGGGGCGTGTGCTGGGTGCCCTGTCCTCGCCCAGCCCGGCAGGGGCTCTCGGCAGCCCTGTGCGCCCCCATCTGCCCACCCTGAGCTGGGTGTGCCTCCTCTGCCGTCCCTCGTGCCCTCACCAGGAAAACACCAGGTGTTTGAGCGTAAACCTCAACTCAGGCTGGAAAGGTCCTTCAGTCTACAACACCCGCTTCCCCGGGGGCCTGTTCTAACGTCCATTCTCCTGTGAGACAGGCCCCAGGGGGGCAGCCGGGAGAGGAGCAGTGTTGTGTTGGAGTGTGTGCGGTCCTCCCGCGACGTGTGTGTCTGAAATGAGTGCAGTAAAAACGCACTTTTAGAGCAGTGAACTCACACACATTGGGCTCCGCCGATGTTTGCTTTGTCATGTTGAAGACGCCAGGACGTCGCTGCGCGTGGATGGCCCTCGTCCTCAGCTGACTGGCTGTCCCTGTAGACAGACCACACTCGGTGTCCCGCCTCCCTCCTCAGCCAGGGACTCAGCGAGCTGCCTCCCCCTGCCGTCTGCACGTGCGTGTGTGTCTCTGAAAGCTCCCACGGGCAGATCTGCTGGTTCGGCGGTGAGGCTGGGGAGCCCCGGCTTCACTAGCACACATCGACAGATGATAAAGTAACCTCACTCTTCCTGTTTTCTCCCCTGTTGGGACCAGAACGAAAGGTACCTGCACATTGCCGCAAAACTTCAGGACGCGAAGGAGCAGGCGGCCACCTTTAAGCTGGAGAAAAACAAGCAAGGACAACGGGAGGCCCAGGACACAGTCAGGAAGTTTCAGAGAGGTACACGCGCCCTGTTCCTTGGAGCGTTGCCGTCTGCCCCTCGCTGGCTGTGCTCGGGTGGAGGTGGTCACCTCTGAGTGTCCGCACTCTGCCGACACTGTGCCTGCACCAGGCCCCGTGCGACTGGGTCACGTCCCGCGGGCCACGCAGACGGTCCCTGTCTCCGCTCTGCCACGGCAGGGCAGACGCAGGCAGAGGCTCTCCGCGGGCACGTGGCCATGTTCTCCTAAGACTTCACACGTGGGCCCTGAAATGTGACTTTCATACAACTGCCACTTCACCGAGCATTTCTGCTTGTCTTTTCACCCAGTTGGAATGTAAAATCCTCCTCAGCTCAGAGGCCAAACAGAAGCAGCTGCAGGGGCCTGCAGCCATGCTCTGTGAGCGTCTGCTGTGCGTGCAGCTCCGCACAGGCGGAGGAGAGCCCCGCCCCGCCCCGCCCCGCCCCGCCCGGCTCGCTGTTGTCCCTGCTAGACAGTTTCCCGTAAAACTCTTTGTGCACTAGGTGAACACAAGTGCAGATTTCTAATAGGCGTGGAACGATTGGTAAAAAGGAAAAAGATGTTTTTTAAAACCATCTTCGCAAAGTAGAAAGGCACGAGAGCAGCCACGGTAAATCTGAGCGTTGTGCTTTTTCTTGGTAGAGATGGAGACCTTGGAAGACCACCCAATGTTCGACCCGGCTCTGAAGGCCTCACAGCGGCAGCGGGACAGGAAAAAGCCTCCAGTGGCCGCAGGGGGGGAGAGCGCTTTGAACTTCAATTTGTTTGAGAAGTCTGCAGCTGCTACTGAAGGAGAGAAAGGTACGGCCAAGGGACTGTGTTCCAGGTGCAACTTGTAACCAGTAAAGTGTCAAGGAAGGTAGAATTAAAATGATGTTACTTTGCATTCTAGCCAGCAAGGTAAGATGAGAATGAAGTTTGCCTCCACACGCCGTCTTGGGAAAAGAATAGTAACAGTAACTCGCCTGTGCCTGTGTAGCATTCTGTCCTTACAAAGGTCTTGCTTCAGCCTCGTCCCCCTCCACTCTGTCCTCCAAACCCCTGCCAGAATCGTCTCCACAACAGGTCGCAGTGTGAGCTCCTCTTAAAGAAAACCTGTAACCACTGACATGTGCAACCCGCTTATCGTACCACTGAAGACCCTTTGCGGCCTGCCCCGGTCGGCTTCCACATCACGTTCTGTGGTCCACGGCCACATCCTTCTTCAGGACACGTGGCTGCCTGGGTCCGAAACACAGGCTCTGCCTCGTGGCTCGTGCTGGCAGCCTCTGCTTGGCCAGCTGCGCCCCCCTTCACGGCGCAGGCGAGCAGCACCGCCTTCAGCCTTTCCTGACTGCTGTGTGCGGGCGTGTGGCTCTCTGTGTCATGTAAATCACTGGGGAAGCCAGTACCGTGTTTGTCAGTCTGCAGCGTGGCCCGGTCCCTCTAAACTCGCAGTTCCCTTAAGTGTGTGTTCTCCCTGCAAGACTTACCGAGTCTGTGCTGTCCACAACGTCGGTGCTGCCTGTGCGGTTGTGACAAGATGACCGAGGTGCACAGGCCAGGAGGGAAGTGAGCTTTCAGCATACACAGGTGGGGCGTTACAACCTGGCGCGTGTGCTAGCGAAGAGAGAGTCCCCTGCCAGTACCAGAGGTGACAAGGGGCCTGATCTGGACAGAGGAGCGCCACGTGCCACTACCCTGCCCTGGGAGCCGAGGGACGATGGGTGTTCACCTGGCGATGGCTGGGCAGGGCTGACACAGGAAGTCTCCAGCGCAGCACCATCCAGGGCGGGGCTGCTGGCCAGCCCTGAGGCCCAAGCGTCGGAAGAGCTGATTGAGGGCACAATGAGCTGCTGTAGGCAGACCGAGGCCGGTCTGTGTCAGGAGCGCTTCCGTGCCACCTTCCTGCCTGTCCCTCCTTCCCCTGCTTACCCTCCGTCTCTTCCCAGAAGCCAGGGGACTGGAAGGAGTGCGCACCGCCAGAGGCAGAGGGAGGCTGCAGTAGGGAGCCCAGGCCGCACCGGGTTGGCGGGCGCCAGGCCTGCTTTGCCCACCCTGTGCTGCTGCACGGCCGTGGTTGACAGCCACTGTGTCTGTCATTTCAGAGAAAAGGAAGGAAACTCGGGACGTTCGGAATCTCGACTACACGGCTCGGAGCTGGACCGGGAAGTCCCCCAAACAGTTTCTCATCGACTGGGTCAGGAAGAACCTTCCCAAGAGCCCGAACCCCTCCTTTGAGAAAGTTCCAGTAGGTCGATACTGGAAATGCAGGTGTGTTTTTGGTTTCTTTGGGGTTTTTTTGGGGGGGAGGTTGGTTAACTGAAGGACTTTTAGAAAAATCAAAGATGAAAATCTTTTTTGTTTGTTGGGAGCTAGGTTGACACTGAGGAAGCTCTCTTGTTCCACATCTTGGGTTGATAGCACTTATAAATCATCAAGTACATGTCTTCCGTGGAAACACTTCATTTAAGGAACTAATGTAAACTTAGGTCTGTGTTGAGGGAACGCTGGCCAGCTTCGCTTCACCGACGTCGTTTATGGTTTCCTGGTGTCCCGCAGGGTGAGGGTGGCCAGGTCCGAGGAGGACGTGCTGGAGGTGTGCCCCACCATCCTGACGGAGGACGGCATGCAGGCCCAGCACCTGGGGGCCACGCTGGCGCTCTACCGGCTGGTGAAAGGCCAGGTGAGACTCCCGCTCGCGTGCTTTGGAAACACCCGAGGAGCGGTGGCTCTGCGTGTTCTGTCTGCGTGACACCGTGTGTGTACACGGAGGCGGCGCACACTGAACTGTGGCCTCTGTGCCAGCTTGCTCCCTGCTGGCTGACTCTCTGGGAGGCCCCGTGTCTCTGTCTTCTGACTTCCTCTCAGTCCCGGACCCAACCCGGCTCGGTCTTTCTCTCCCTGGAGGCGGCGGCAGCCTCAGACTTTGGGGCCGTGCCACTTACAGACTAGGATCACTGTGCTGGGGAGGGGCAGGGAAGGAGCATTTTTCAACAGGTTTCCTTTAATGGTACATTGTCTCCCAACGATAAAAAGCTGTGGACGCTGGTTCTGGTTTCAGTTGAAGTTATAGTAACTGGAAGTTTCCTGTTTAAGGGAAGGTGGAAGGAAGGTACTGCTGAGGAAGGAAGCACCTTTGGGAGGGTACAGTGCTCTCTCGGGGGACTGCCCGTGTCCTGTTTCTACAAGAAGTGCGTGTGTCCGTGTTCGTTCAGGGGAGGTTGGAGCCACTGACTATCTCAGACACCCAATAAGTGGAACTCCACACGATGCCTCCCTCCAGTTTTGTCAGTGCAAGTTCCCAGTGTCTTTTTTGTTTCCCTCGTTCTGCAGACTGAGGCGCCAGGAGCCCAGCTTAACCGACAGCAGTGAGCACCGGTGCTGCAGAGGGGCCTGGGCTCCGCTCCAGCACAGACCGGGTGCCGTCGCCCCGGGGGCGAGGCTGTCTGCAGCTCTTTGCCCCGGAGCCCTCACAGCGGCCAGCATCTCGGGGGCTTTGCCTCGGAAGCTGTGGGGCGTCTGTGCTGCTCAGGCAGCGCCAGGGCGACATAGACAGACACACCCGCCCAGCTGGGTTCGCGGGAAGCACACCCCGTGCGCTGGCCTGCAGTTCCCCTCGGGGGCGCCAGGGGGCACTCAGCACCCCACCTCCCAGACAGAGAAACCCGGAGGGGTTAAGCCACTTGCCTGAGGCCACACCGCTGGCAGGTTTGGGAGCTGCAGTTTGATAGGCTGCTGATCAGTTTGCATCATGCGCATGTACATCTTCCCTTAGAAGGAGCAGCTGACCAATTTAAAAGAGAAATTACGTTTAAGAGGAAGGTAGCCATCCTCCTGCGTTCTCCCCTGAGTTTTTGTGTCCACAGTTGGTGACACTAACTACTGCTGTTTGTGTCCCGTGTAGTCGGTTCATCAGTTACTTCCGCCCACCTACCGCGATATCTGGCTGGAGTGGAGCGATGCAGAAATGAAGAAGGAGGAGTTGAGTAAAATGGAAACCAACAGACCACGCGACCTGTTCATTGCCAAGCTTCTGAACAAAGTGAAGCAGCAGCAGCAGCAGCAGCAGCAGCAGGTGCGCTCCGACAGCAGGAGGGAGCGCTCCGAGGACCCCGAGGAGTCCTGGGAGAACTTGGTCTCCGATGAGGGCTTTTCGGCACCGCCCTTGGAGCCGGAGGCGCCGGAAGACCTGGAGCCGGTCAGAGCGCTCTTCAGAAAGCTGCGGGGCACACCCAAGTACCAGCGGCTGCTCCAGGAGCGGCGGCAGCTGCCCGTGTTCCGGCACAGGGAGGCCATCGTTCACGCTCTCAAGAGGCACCGGGTGGTGGTGGTGGCCGGCGACACGGGCAGCGGGAAGAGCACGCAGGTCCCGCACTTCCTCCTGGAGGACTTGCTGCTGGCGGAGTCGGGGACGCGCCGGTGCAGCATCGTCTGCACCCAGCCCCGCAGAATCTCAGCAGTGAGCTTAGCCACCAGGGTGTGTGACGAGCTGGGCTGTGACGGCGGACCTGGAGGGCGGGTAAGGGTCCCCACCACCCTGGGGGAGGGCAGCTTGGCTCATCTTTGCTCTTGGGGTCCAGACAGAGCCGGCACCAGATGGGAGTCTGACCGGCACTTGCCACATGCCGTGTGACAGGCACGCGGGGACGCCACTGTCCTTCACATGGGCAAGGTCGTTAGTCTGTCGTGGAAACTCTCGTGGGAGGGAGAATGTGTCAGGTCGATAGGTGAGCAGTCAGATGTGTTACAGACGAAATGAGCCCTCAGAGACTGGGCAAATGCAAACCTGATTCTGCTACCACGTATCTCAAGTTTTTGCGAATCTGTTCTGTGGAATGTGGCCCTGCACGGTTTTCATTCGTTTTTTTCCATGAGCAGAAGGGAACACCAGTGCACTAGGAAGTTCTAGACCATTTTGTAACAAATAGAGAAAGCGTTGAGCGCCCACCGTCGTGCGTTTGCCACGTCACGCAGGGGCCACCGAAACGCGTTAGACCCCGGTGCAAATGCCGAGCCCGTGGGACTCAGCTTAGCTGCGCTTGGAACTGCTCTTTCCAGCGGCTCTGTCTGTCTTTAAGGTGGGGCCCCTCCGTTAACAACTGTTTTGTGTAGCAAATTGTTTGGCTTCCTCTCATGGGATGCGGGAGGAAAAAGACACTTTGTCTCATGAGGAGCTCACATGAAGGCAGTGACAGCCAGGCACACAGATGACACAAGAGTGTCTGAGGAAGTCAGAGGGAAAACGTGGGAACTGAAGTCAGGGCTGCCTCGGTCCCCTGCGCCATGCTGGCCACTGCCCTTCCCGGAGGCCGCGTCAGTGACCGTGGTGGGACCACAGACCGAGCGCAGGAATGCCCGGGCCCTGCTCCTGCCCCACTCAGCCCAAAAGCCTGGTCACATTCTGCTGTCACATCACAGTGCTCGGGGCAGAACGGCTTACTGTCTTCTCGTCTCCACACTTTGAAAAGAACTGAGGAGTTTCTTGTCTAAAATGAGCAGAACCAGGGTCACAGTCGTCTGTGACTGAGGCCGTGGGGGCAGCACTGTGAGCGCCAGCTGCAGGGGGTCCATCTGCCCCTGCCCCCCGCCAGCAGCAGGGCCAGCCCTATGCCGCCCCCGCCCCCGTCTGACTCCTGGCCCCGTGTGAGACCTCACCTCGCCCCGTTGCCCCCCAGGACTCCCTGTGTGGGTACCAGATCCGGATGGAGTCTCGGGCTGGCGAGTCCACCCGGCTGCTCTACTGCACCACAGGGGTTTTGCTGAGGAAGCTTCAGGAGGACGGCCTGCTGACCAGCGTGTCTCATGTCATTGTGGACGAGGTGAGTGGTCTGCAGCCGTGCTCGCGTGGATCCCGGACGCTCCGTGTCGCAGAGATGCTGCTCGTAACACCAGCCGGCGTTCTCTCTGTGCCCACAACGCCAGACACGTGGTCCTTTCGTTTTCCCTGGTGAGCGTGTCTGGGGGGTTGGTTTAGTAAACACCGAACACCCTCCGCCGGGTGCCGGGTGCTGCTCTGAAGGCCCTCGTGTAGCGACCCGTGCACTCCCAGCAGCCCGTGCAGACAGCACCGCCTCTGCGTCACCGCGCAGGGCCCGCGGCAGAGGTGAGACAGCGGGCCGCTTCACGCAGCCCGCCGGCTCCGCGCCGGGTTCCAGGCCCACGGCAGGCTGCGTCTGCGCACCGCGGGCACACTCACCACCTCTCCACCACATTCAGACATCAGAGGGCTTCCTCCAATTCCTCCAAACCCAGGGACTCCTTTGTCAACGTGTCATTCTGTCCCTAGAGACACCCACTTGCATCGGGTTTCAGTGCACACTTACATTGAATTCTGCCAAAAGTTCCACTCGAGAGTTATTTCAAATGGCATATTGACCTGGTGTATGTAAGCTGATTTGCCTTGCACATAATTTTCCAAGAAGAAATAATGTATCTGGCATTCTGTTCCAAAAATATTTTTTAAATTTTCTCTGATTTAAAACCTTTGTGAATGTACGTCAATTCACTAAGTTCAAAGACAGTAGTGAAACTTCAATTATTCATTGGTTTTTAACTAATAGATTAATATTGGCTATTGGGCTATTTTGTTCCTTTTAGTTAGAAAATACTAGAAGTGTAGAAAAATACAAAAGTGAAAATAAAAATTATAGTCTTATGGTCTAGAAAAAATGTTGACATTTAATTTGTGTATTTATATATGTATACATGTAGTTTGTATGTCTTCTATACTTGTTTTATGTTACTAGTTTACAAAAGCATAATTTTGTAGTAGCTTTATGGTTATAATTTGGATGCCCATATTATTTAACCATTTTCCTGTTGTCAGACAAGTGGATGTTAAAATGTCTTTTTTTTTTTTAAATATTTTATTTATTTATTTTTAGAGAGAGGGGGAGGGAAGGAGAAAGAGTGGGAGAGAAACATCAGTGCGTAGTTGCCTCTCATGTGTCCCCTACTGGGGACCTGGCCTGCAACCCAGGCATGTGCCCTGACTGGGAATCAAACCAGCGACCTTTTGCTTCACAGGCCTGTGCTCAATCCACTGAGCTGTACCAACCAGGGCAAGATGTCTTTTAATAACCTAATAGTTTGGTGGTAGGTAAGTGGTAGGAGGTCGTCTTTCCTTAGGAGTCCGTTCTCCCACAGAGGGAGAAACTGCTGTCCTCACTCAGGGGGAAGGAAAAGGGTGTGGGCTGCGGGCAGGCCCACAGCGCCCCCTGGTGGCGGGCGGGGCCCCAGTCACTGCCCCGCTCTACACGGCCAAGGCCGAGACTTTCTCAGTGTCAAGGACAGCATAAGCAGAGTGCCGATCTGTCCGTTTATAATGAGACACTGTTACTGTTGGGTGAGTTGAAATAATTTGTATTGGCTACTCAGTGAATTTTCTTGACGCCCCAAGTACCAGAAAGGTAAATGTGTGTCGGAGTGGACCCTGGGTTAAGAGCCAGACCAAGTTCAGGAACCTGTTCCTGACGGTGCAGTGTCAGCAGATTGCAGACGCGGCTCACTGGGTGGTCCCACTGCCACTCTCCTGAGTGACACAGTGACAGGAAGAGAAGGGCCCCGAGGTCGTCACTGTGTCACACCTGAGGGTGTATGCGGTACAGCGCCCGGAGTCACTGCGGCAGCTCCTGCGCCCAGCTGCCTCGCCATTCCCCAACGGTGCTGGATTATACAGCACAGGTTCTCATTGGCCCTGCTTTGCATTCCGGCCTCCTCCTCTCTCTCTCTCTCTCTCTCTCTCTAATCACTGTATTAAGTTCCATCTATTCGATGATATTCCCCAGATTTGTTTCTTGCTTCTTCTTTCTCCCACATCCGCACCAGGGGTGTCCAACCTGCAGCCCAACACAAAACTAAATTACTTAAAACATTATGAGATTTTGTGTGTGTGACTACAATGTCGCAGTGTATTTAATGTGTGGCCCAACACAATTTCTTTTCCAGTATTGACCAGAGACGCCAAAAGGCCGGGCAGCCCTGCCGAAACTCTGAGACCTGTTACAGGGTCTCCTTTGCTCAGACTCACTCACTTCCCTCTGGACTCACTGGGACCGCTCTCCTGTGGGTCGCCGTTATCTCTTTAATTCCTGTGAGAGCCTCTGGTTAAACGTCCTGCGTCCTGCTGTGCGCTCTCCTCCACGGCGTTCTCCACACGGGAGCCGGAGTGTCTTTTTAAAAACCAAACACTCGTCACTCCCCCACTCGGGGTGCGGTCAGCCCCTCCCCTGCGCTCCAGGCCTTCTCGGGGCAGCTCCTGAGCCATGTCCCTGGCTCCCCACCCCCGCCCGTTCCCCACCACCTGACCCTCACCACCGCGATGTGGCCCAGTCTGGGTTCCGTGACCACTTTCCCCCTCGTCCTGTTCCCTCCTCCTTTCATTCGAAGACCCCTCCAGTGCTCAGCACGAGGGCAGTTTCTCCCTCGGCCTCCTCAGCCCCAGAAGCAGCCCCCTTCGGGCGTAATCTCGCGCCACCCTGGGCAGTGTCCTTGTCTCGGACAGGCACCGTCACGGAGACGGCTGCAGGCGTTGACACCCCAGTGTGGAGCGCGGTGCTGGAGCTCCCGCATCCTGGGCTCCGTTACGGAGGCTTTGCTCAGCCCCGTGGGGTTGTCGCAGCCACACAGGAAGTCTGCCCTTCTGTGCTCTCATTTCCCGGGGGCAGAAACACCCCGTTTCCTAAAGCTGCACCGCAAGTGACCAGCGAAGAAGGGAACCCAAGGGTCGAGTCCCGAGCCCCAGCACTTACCCACCATCCTTCCAGCCAAGCCAGCGAGTAGACCACTTTCTCCCACAGTTCCTGATGCGCTGTGGCCGCCCGGAGCCCAGTGGGGCAGAGAAGGGTGGGGTGGGGCTTGGGGAGGTGGGCCGGGCAGAGGGTTCTGGAGATTGGCTGCGTTCTAGACACCCAGCTTCCCCCGCTCTCCGCGTGCACAACACTGAAATCGCAGCCAACTTTCCGACATGCGTGTCTGGTCACCTGAGACTTCTGACAGGTGCTGAAGATCCGCATCCCTGTGTACTAGGTTCACGAGAGAAGTGTCCAGTCGGACTTCTTACTGGTCATCCTGAAGGAGATTTTGCAGAAGCGCTCCGACCTGCATCTGATCCTGATGAGCGCCACTGTGGACAGCGACAAGTTCTCCGCTTACTTCACACACTGCCCCATCCTCAGAATTTCAGGAAGAAGTTACCCCGTCGAGGTGAGTGTTCCCACAGCATGTGTGCCAGCAGAACCTGCGTGCCCCCCGGGGAACAGCCCCAGCAGGGGCACTCGGGCAGAGCGGGAGGGACAGAAGTGTGTGCCTGGGGGTGCGAGGCCACAGAGAGGGCCACCGGGGCCCCGGAGGCAGTGCTGCGGCCCTGGCTCGGCGGATTCTGCCGGGAAACGTGCCCTGCAGCCCATGACGCAGCGGCGCCCTGTGCAGGCGGCCAGGCCCCCGGGAGTGGCAGCTAGTGGGAGGGGCTCCCTGCACCGCCTCTCCCGGGCAGGCGGGGCTGTGTGGCGTCCTCTCTGCCCTGCGATTCTTCCTCAGTTTTCACCGTCAGACACAGACACCATGACGTCATTCGTCCTGAGACCTCCAGGGACAGACTCCTCCTTATGAGCAAAGCTCTGCATTTCCAAATAATGCAGATAAAGCGTTTTTCATAATATTCTGAAGTTGCATTTGGTGACATTCCAGAGTTATGAGTCCCCTTGTTCTCTTTAAAATGGTATTTACTGATATGAATGTAAGTTCCCCATTTGCATGCCTTATTCTATTGCAGGTTTTTTATCTGGAAGATATAATAGAAGACACAGGGTTTGTACTGGAGAAAGACTCAGAATATTGTCAGAAATATCTGGAGGAAGAAGAGGAAATAACCATTCGTGTTACCGGCAAAGCAGGGGGAGTGCAGAAGTGTCAGGTACACAGGACCCTTTGAAGGACGGCTCACAGTGCTCTCCAGCGCTGGGCTGCCGTGAGTTCGAGAGCCGTGCTGGCACCATGGACGCGAGTGCGGTTGGCAGGAGGGGGCGGACCTGACGAAGGGTCCCCTTTAAAGGTCAGCCTGGGCTCTGGTGTCTCGTCATTGTGGACTTCTGGGCCACAAAGGTGCACATCCAGAATCAAGGGCTGTGAGAGGGAAGAGAGAGGTGGCGTTGGTGGGCGAGGACCCCCTCTGCGTTACCTGGCCCCTCCAGAGGTCAGGACACGGCAGGCGCCAACGCCTGGCCGGCAGCTCCCAGCGGCCTCTGCCCACCATGTGCCCGCCTCAGCTCTGCAGTGGAGCTGCCCGGGCGGCGCAGTGCTCGCTGCAGAGCCCGTTTCCAGTGTGTTTTCGGAAAGGGCACAAAACTGTATGGTCCTGTGTTTGGTCAGCTGTATGGTCAGCCAGTGGCCCCGTGCCCAGCAGGAGTCTTCCTTTCGTTCGCGAATCTGGTCTGGGGGGGGCCACAGGTACTTTGTCCTCTAAGCAAGCAGGTGACTGGGACTCAGCCACCACAGTGAGACCCGGGCAGGAGGGGGCAGTTGCACACCGAGACAGCGGTCCGCAGCGCCGTCTCAGCCTCCTGCTCTCCAGCGGCCTCGGCGCAGTGTGCGCAGTGTCTGCCTCCTTCTGTTCTTGGGCCTCACACGTCCCTGGCGAGATGAGAACTTCGTCGTGAGTAGGGGTGGGATGAGGTTGAGTTACAGGGCAGAGGTGAACTTCCGTGCTGTTTCCCACGGTGAAACATTGTATTCCTGCTGTTTTAACACAGTAACACTGGTGACAGTGAGAACTTTCCCCTCCTCCGTCTTAGGAGGGCACTTATGTTTGTCCCATCTTTTTCCGCCTGTTTCCGTTAGGAGTACATCCCGACTCAGACGGAGGCAGGCGCGGGTTTCAACCCCTGCTACCAGAAGTACAGCAGCCGCACTCAGCACGCTCTTCTCCACGCCAACCCTCAGAAGGTCAACCTGGACCTCCTGGTGGAGCTTCTCGTGCACCTGGGTGCGTGTCGCCTGTCACGCGCCCGCGTCTGCTCTGATGGGACTTCCTGTTGGCGGGCGGTGTTTGGGTAACGCCTCCCGCGCTGCCCCTTGTCTGCCTTCTTATCTGGAGTAGCCCGTCCTTTCTGACTTGCAGAGAGGAGTCCCCGGTTCCGAGACACGGAAGGAGCCGTGTTGATCTTCCTGCCCGGCCTGGCCCACATCCAGCAGCTGCACGACCTCCTGTGCACTGACAGGAGGTTTTCTTCTGAGCGGTGAGTACAGATCTGAGCACTGTTATTTCTGGTGGTTTTCAAGTTCCAAGAGGTTCCATACATGAAAACTCTGTGAAAATAAGATGTCATTTTTTTATTTGTAGAGAAAGGGAGGGAGAGAGAGAGGGAGAGAAACATCAGTGCATGGTTGCCCCTCATGCGCCCCCCACCAGGGACCGGGCCCACAACCCAGACATGTGCCCTGACTGGGAATCGAACTGGCAACCCTTTGCTTCCCAGCCTGGTGCTCAGTCCACTGAGCCACACTGGCCAGGGCTGTTCCGTTTGCTTCATGTAATGAAGAGGGGGAGTCCTGTGGGTGAGAGCAGGACGGGGACCCTCCCCAGCCGCCGGGTGTGCAAACCCACACACACTGGTGGGCAACGTGCCTGCTCCGGGCTTCGTCACGGTGCACAGCTGCCGCGCACCGCGTTGGGCTTTTCGGGCCGAAGTCAGGCCGTCCCGAAACCCAGGGAGCCCTCTGCTCCATGTGATCCATGTCCGACTTCCCTCTCCTCGATGACGTAGGGGGTTCACTGCACCCTTGTCAGAACTTCCGTGTGTGTGTAAAATTTTTCGTGATAAAACATGTTCAGGTTGCTCCCTGTCTGCCAGTACGTTTGTTCTTCTTTGCAGTGTCTCCTAAGGAAACTTTTGCTAAGAACTGTGGTTTGAACTTTCCAGATACAAAGTGATAGCTCTGCATTCCATTCTTTCAACCCAAGACCAAGCCGCGGCCTTCACACTCCCGCCTCCAGGAGTCAGGAAGGTAACGCTCGGCGCAGCCGGTGCGGGGCCCCGTGGGAGGCGGCGGGAGGCGCTGGGACGGCCTCCGAGGCCGTTACCGTGCAGGTGGCCCGCGACGGCGAGGTGCTGCGGCCCAGCACACACAGAGGCCAGCCAGCGTGAGGGCACAGCGTTTGGCCACTGGCACCTTATCAGAGGGACAGGACTCTCAGGAGGAATGTCGTGGCTGTCGCTCGTGAAAAGAACGTCGTGGCCCCGAGCAGGCGCCGTAAGGGACGCTGTGGGTCAGGAGCCCCCGGAGTCCAGGCAGAGGCCTTTGTTTTGGGGCTGTTCAACCTCACCCTGATGTTTGTTTTTTTGTGACAGTAGCACACAGACCGTTAGGTCGGGGGAGTCTCAGCACTTCCATCGGGTCCAGGATCCTGGAGGAAGAAGAAGGGAGCGTCTCTGGTTTTGAACCTCTGTCAGCGGGGAAGAGGGCACAGTGCAGGAGCCTCGGGGACACCGTGCTCCCAGACAGAGCCAGGGCTTTCCTGAGGGGGCCTGGCCCACCCGAGCGGCTGCCCCGTCTGTGGCCCTGGGCGACCCAGTCCCCTCAGTCCTCCTCTTCCTCGGGCACGGCCCGGCCCCCGCAGCTCTCAGAGCGCAGTTAGAAACCGCTGGTCCAGGTGGCTTCCCGGCCTTTTTGCACTCTGCCTGGGCCACTTTTAGGGGGCCTGGCTAGAGTTAGGAAATGGTGTTTTTGTTGCATTGAAAATTTGTAACTTAACCAGCAAGCCGCCCCTGTGACGAGCGCAAACTAATTAGAACAAATTAAAATTACACAGCAATAAACAAGTAGATTGTGAGTTTTTGTGAACATTGAAATTCCCTTTTTTTATCCTCACACAAGGACTTGCTTATTGATTTTAGAGAGTGGGGAGAGACAGGGAGGGAGAGGGGCATCGGGCGGCTGCCTTTTGGACGCGCCCCAACCAGGCACCAAGCCCACGACCCAGGCGTGTGCCCTGGGCACCCAGCCTGCAGCCCGCCGAGCTGCAGCAGCCGGGCCTGAAGGCCGCGCTCTAGGTTCCCGGGCTCAGACTCCGCAGAGCGGTTCTCGTGGCGGCGTGTTGCCGACAGTCACTCCCGAGACATTTTGACTTTTCTCCTTCAGGTCGTTCTCGCCACCAACATCGCAGAGACCGGCATCACCATTCCAGACGTCGTGTTTGTGGTCGACACCGGCAGGACGAAAGAGAATAAGTGAGTTCGACTTTCCCAGGTGAAAGCGCTTTTAACCAGAAACGCATGCGGGGCTCTTGAATTCCTAGGGAAAGTCACGGGTTTTAGAGGGGGACTTCCAAATATCCTAATTCTGCCCAAAGCAAAGCTGCAGGAAATTCCAGGTTCGAGGCCTCCCGCTGCCGGTTTTCCCGTGAGCAGCCAGCGTGCGCTGCTTCCAGACACGCGCTCTCCGAGAGGATGTTCAGAGCCTGCCTTTGTGTAAATGTGTTGGTTTGTGAGACAAACTGCTTCACAAAAGCATTATTTTGAGATTATAAAAACGAGTATGGGTTTTGGAATTACAGCTGGAGTCGAATCTTTGATCTATAAGCTCAGGCAAGTGACACAACGTGACCCCGGTCGTGACCATCAGCGTCCCCACACGCAGATGAGGAGGGCGAGCACTTCGTGACGAGGAGTGCCCCGGGCCGTCACCGCACGGCGGGTCACTGAGCCGGGCTTCCGCCGGGGAGGCCGCGCCCCTGCAGCTGTGTGCGTGTCTGTGCCACACAGTCGGCCGGGGCCACCGCCTGCACATACCGGCCCGAGCAGCACAGGGCTGGCACACTGTCTGGAAGAGAGCACAGCTGCCGCGTGCAGGGGAGGCGTGTCAGGGCCTTGCGGCCCCTGTGACGAGCACGGCGACACTTCTCAGAACTCTGGGGGCTCCCGCTGCTGAGCTGGTAGGCGTTCCACCGAGATCAAGGAGGCGCCACGGTCAGACTGACCTGCGAGGCTGAGGCAGACAGGCTCTCCCCGTGTGCCAGGGCTGTAACGTGGTTGTGGGAGTTAGTGTGCGGTGCTAACTCTCTAGATGTGAACCAGGATTTGGAAAGCACCGCTTCTCAAGGATACTGGACTCGTCTCCGTTATCTTCGACTCCACTTCCGGAGCCCAGTGTCGCAGCTTTTCCGGAGGCTGATTTAAGTTGGTGACGCGCACACTCTTCCTCGCCCATCTCTAGGTACCACGAGAGCAGTCAGATGAGCTCCTTGGTGGAGACGTTTGTCAGCAAGGCGAGCGCGCTGCAGCGCCAGGGCCGGGCCGGGCGGGTCCGCGACGGGGTCTGCTTCCGGATGTACACGAGGGAGAGGTACGGCGCGGCGTGGAGACCCGGTCAGTGCGCGTGGGGCGAGGACGCGAGCGACGTGTGCTGCTGTTCGGTTTTTCAGGTTCGAAGGCTTCATGGACTATTCTGTTCCTGAAATCTTACGTGTGCCTCTGGAGGAGTTGTGTCTTCATATCATGGTAACCCTCGGAACTCGGATGAGTTTGGTATTCCTCACCCCCTCTAGAAAACAAGATTAAGACCCCGAACTTACCTCGTATTGCTCCAGATGTTTGAGACTTTTATGGGGTCACTGCGAATAAGCGGCCTCCCCACTCCCCTGTGCTGCGGTCCCACCCAGACTCCCGTGCTCACAGGGCAGCACGCGCCTCAGTCCCGCACTGGTCATTCTCAGCCGGGGGTGACCTTATGCACCGGGACAGGGGGCTCTGTCTGCAGGCATCTCATGGGTGGGGTTAGAGAGGCTGCCAAACCTGCAGTGCCCCGCACAGCCCCCCAGACGTCAGGCGTCTGGTCCACGGAAACCACCCAGCTGACACTGGGACGCCCTGACCCAGTGGAGGGCTCCGCGGTCGGAACGACCTGCCACGCTCTTTAGTTCTCAGGTTTTCTCACCGTAGAAATCGGGCACAGAGACTGAGCCTGTGGACCAGAGGCCCCCCCATGCACCCCTAGCACTCCACACAGGCCACACACACGCACACGAACTGCCAGTGACGGGAGAGGCGAGGGGCTCGGACGCTCGCCCTCCCGCGTGGAGGTGCTGTGTCCGGCCTCGCCCTCGGGAGTGCTGACTCGCCGCCCCCTCCGTCGGCAGAGGTGCAACCTGGGCTCTCCCGAGGATTTCCTCTCCAAGGCCTTGGACCCCCCTCAGCCTCAAGTAATCAGCAACGCGATGCACCTGCTGCGAAAACTTGGTGCTTGTGAGCCGAACGAGCCTAAGCTGACTCCCCTGGGCCAGCACCTCGCAGCCTTGCCCGTGAACGTCAAGATCGGCAAGATGCTCATCTTCGGAGCCATATTTGGCTGCCTGGACCCCGTGGTAAGAGAAGGGCGCTGTGGCGCTGCACTTGGAATCCCACTTTGGCTGAGAAATTACCAGGTTTGGGAGTAGCCTTTGACCTCTCACTCGGTTCCCTAACTAACTGGAAGGTACTGACATGAAGGAGGAGTTCTGAGTGTTTAACTTCACATCCAGGAAAGTGTATTGTCCACGCCCATGGGCTGTCACATGGGCCGTGGGCTTGTCTGGACGCTGCTGCGAAGCGTCCCACTCGCAGTGTGTTATTCGACTGAATGTGTAGCAGACCGGAGGTTGCCAACCTTTCTTGTCTCACGGCACACGTAGGCTAATTGCTAAAGTTCTGTGTCACACCAAAAAATCCGTTTTTGCTGACCCGACAGAAAACAGGAGTGATTTTGACTCCTTTGCACTGGATGGCTGTTGTGTTGGCTGTTGTCATTTCTGTGTGACGATCTATGGGACAGACATCAGTGCCCGGACCGAGCAGTCGGGTGCCGTGCGTTTTGTCCGTTCTCTCTCGGCGCACCGAGTGCACCCCGCCGCAGTGGGCTGGTCTTGGGCAGCTCGGTGCCCGCAGACCCTCCCGTGCAGAACCAGACACGCTCTTCCTCCCACCTTTCCGGGTTAGGTCTCTGCCTTCCTTCAGCCACAAGTACTCCGACTGCAGAGCTAGGATTCCTAAAGGCCGGCAAGCACCAGCCGTTCTGCTCCTCACAGCGTCTCAGACTCACCAGGCTTCCTGCCTCTGCCAGACCCTCTGGGCCCCCGCGTCAGCTGGGCCACGGCAGCTCCCCGGCACCGCCGAGGTGTGGCCTGATCTGGGACAGCCAGTCGAGGCTGCTGCAGAGGCTGGACAGAGAGTGCGGCTCTCTCGGGTCTCTTTTTCTCTAGCATTAGAAATAGATCCTTGCCAGAATCGTGTCAAGTCCAGAGAGTGACCTCTGCCTCGGCCGCCAGTCTGAGAAGCTGCTGCCACAACGCGGGTCGTCAGGAGAGGCCATCAGCGACACGGAAAGGGAGCCCACCCAGTGGGAGAACGGATTCGCCAGCGGTACCTCGGACGAGGGTTTAACCTCCAAAATGCACGAAGAACCTGTACAACTCAACACCAGGAAGGCAACCCAGTTTAAAAAGTGGGCAACAACCCTGGATAGACACTTCTCCAAAGAGGGTGTACAGATGGCCGATGGACGTGTGAAGATGCTCACTAGCCATCAGAGATGCAAATTGAAACCACAGTGAGATACCACTTCACACCAGCGAGAATGGCCGTCCTAAACAAAGCAGCAAACAAGTGCTGGAGAGGATGCGGAGAACAGGGAGCCCTAGTGCACTGTGGGTGGGAGTGCAGACTGGGGCAGCCCCTGTGGAGAACAGTGTGGGGTTTCCTCAGAAAACTAAACATGGACCTGCCTTTTGACCCAGTGGTCCCGCTGCTGGGATTGTATCCTAAGAACCCTGAAGCACCACCCGTAAGGACCTGTGCACCCCAGTGTGCACAGCAGCACAATTTACAAGAGCCAGGTGCTGGAGGCAGCCGCAGTGCCTGTCAGCAGATGAGCGGGTATAGAGCTGGGGTGCGTTCACACAGCGGCACGAACACCGCTCAGCAGAGGGAAGGGGGCGCCTGCCTTTCCTGAGAGCAGGGTGGACCTGGAAACCGCGACGCTGAGTGAAGTAAGAGGAAGACAAACGGCGTATGATGTGTGCAGTCTAACGACCAAAATACACCGACAGGTGAAACAGAGGCGTGGACAGACTGACAGCTGTCAGAGCGGCGGGGGGACGGGGGACGGCGTGAAAGAGGGTGAAAGGGTCGGCACAGAACCCCCATGCATGACCCAGGGACACGGGCAAGTGTGGGGATGGCAGTGTGGGGAGGGAGGGGGTGGGGGCTGGGGGGAGGTGGGCCAAGCGCAGGAAATGGGGGCAGCTACAGTAGTGTCAGCAATAAAAGTACAGCTTTTAAAGGCCAGCGTGGGGCCCTGGCTGGTGTGGCTCAGTGGACCGACCAAGGGCCTGTGAACCGAGGGGTCGCTGGTTCGATTCCCAGTCAGGGCACATGCAAGTACAGCACGGGCAAGAGTAGGTTTACAGTTATGAGTACGTGAAACAGAACTTGTTCTTGCACTGTTAGTTATTCAGCGTTGCATTCTTTCCCATCGAACAGTTAAAAGCCTGCTTCTGCCCGCCCTGCATTGAAGAGCATTGCAGGCCATGGGGGTTGGCCGGGCGTTGGGTGTTGGAGTGAGTGCCCTGGGACGGACCGCGGGTCACTTCCTCGGTCCCGTTTGTCTCCGGTGCCAGGGGTGCTGCCTTCTGCCTCCCAGAGACGGTGTGGGAGCAGAGTGGTGTGTTTTCTAAACTCCCTGACGTGACACTTACATTTCCGAATTGAGACGGAAGTGCGCCTGCTCTCACGGAGCGTGGGACTGCGGAAGGCCGCGGCACGCGGCCCCAGAGCGCGGCACTTCCGTGGCGAGCCTTCTTCGACCACAGACCCTTGGCCTCCCCGTGCAGGCGACGCTCGCCGCGGTCATGACGGAGAAGTCCCCCTTCACCACCCCGATCGGGCGGAAAGAGGAGGCGGACCTGGCCAAGGCGGCGCTGGCCGTGGCGGACTCCGACCACCTGACCATCTACAGGGCGTACCTGGGGTAAGGCGAGGGTCGGGGCTGCCGGGCCTGGGGCGGCTCGCTTCTCAAACACGTGTCGTTGACTTTCGTGAAGAGATTTGAGTTCATAACTAAGTTGTAAACTTGTTCTTAGGTAGGTCATCTTTCAAGGGCGTAACTAACTGTACTGCAGATCCATAGTTTTATAACACTCCTAAAGTTTAAGAACAGTGCGTTCGTATATTATGTGTGTTTCATGTGACGTTAATTTGCTGCAATACATAAACAGAAAATGTGCATTGTGGTTGAATTCTCAAAAACAGGCGGTAGCTCCCATTGGCAGACCACCCTCCTTTCACGTGGTGGTAACTTAGCGCGTCCTCGGGGGTGTCTGAGGACACGGGTTTGCCCAGAGAGCAGGCGGACCACCGCCCTCGTATCTCTGTAGGTGGAAGAAGGCGCGGCAGGAAGGCGGCTACCGCTCTGAGATGGCGTACTGCCGGAGGCACTTTCTCAGCCGGACCTCGCTGCTGACGCTGGAGGTGAGTCGGAGGACAGCCCCCCGACGGGCCACCAGGCCGAGGGATGGGCGGGTCCCGAGGAAGGAGGGTCGGCGTCCGGGCACCGGGACGGGTGCCGGACTCTCCCCTCCCCAGCAGTTCCCGTCACGGGTCAGCCCCCGAGCATCGCCACAGGTCACCCGTGACCGTTGTCTTCTGTAAAATCGTGATGACTCTAGCGACTTAAATGCCATGTGTCTGATGGGTCCCGTCCTCTGTGGCCTGTTTTCGATCCCCAAACTGTCGCCTCTGGACAGCGGGCGCCGCTCTGGGTTCACCCAAGCCCGTCCCACACGGCCCGAGCCGTCTGACGGTGCCTCATTCTGGGAGTGACCAACTGCCTTGGGGGGCTGCCTTGGCGTCTCGTGCTCTGGCTTGGAATCGGTCACTCTCCCCAAGCACTGATTCCTTTGGACAGACTTCGGTGGCGCTTTCCCAGACGTTGGCCAGCTGCTTGGTTGCCGTGTGGGATGTGAGCCTGGAGAGGCACCGGGGCGTCGCGCATCCAAGGCTGACTGGGACCAGCTCCTAACCCTGCCCCTGGGCAGGGAAGCCGGTGACTCCGGCCGCCCCTGGGGTTTCGGCCGCCCCAGGACCAGACTTCCCATGGAGGGCAGAGTCCGAGGGGGTCGAAGCGGAGAGACGTGCTGGGAAAGCCGGGCTCCTCCGCAGGCCCAGTCCCCTGGTTCTTGGCATGTGGGGCGCGGTGTCGAGTGTGGCCGGACGCTGTGAGTGGCCTGATGGGAGGGGTCTGTCTCACATCAGTCCTCTTCCTGTGCTCACATTCTGAACCGTTCAGAGCACTTTCCCCGGATAACCCGGCCCATTCCTTCTTGTGACCTGGCGTCACTGCCGGGACGAAGGACAGCAAGGCCCTGTTCTAGGGGACAGGCCTTGTCCTCCCGAAGCAGGCGGAGGGTGAACTGAAGAAAAGCCCCTCCAGGCCGCTGACTGGGACCCCACCGCAGTGCCGTCCACACGCCTTGGCCCCCCCCCGCCCCCCGCGCCGCCCCCTCCTTCCCAGAGCCTCCCCCCCCCCCAGGCCTGTGTTGTGGCCGCAGCGCCTGTCGGTTCTTCCTCCCCCGGAACCCAGGTCCCCTAAGCCCCCAACCAGACACCTAAGGGAACTCCTAAATGGAAACATCACCTAGTAATCGCCTGTGTCCTGTTTGCTGTGAAGAACACTCGTCCTTCCTGTAGAGTTTTAGGTGGTTCGCCACTGAAAGCAGAAAAGGGTTTTAGGTAACAGTTGCATTTCCTTTGTTTTACTGTGTGTGGGGTGACATTGGTTAATAGGGCCGTGTGGGTTCGCGTGTGGGTCCTGTGATCGTCAGACCCCCACTGCCCTGTGTGCCCGCCCCCCAAAGTCAGCTCGTCTTTCATCGCCGTACATTCGTCCCCCTTTCCTGACCTAGGTGACAGTGTCAGGGTAAACGAAGTCGCTATCAGTTAACTTTCTCCAAGTTCTTTAGGAAGTCAAGGCGAGACTCCCAGAGACACGGGCAGGGGCCCCGGCAGTCTCGGTCCCTCGTCACTCTCCCCCAGCCCCGCCCTCAGCGGGCGGGAGCCGCAGGGGCAGCTGCTGCCGTGGGGGGCGTGCTGGGCGGCGGCGGGCTCAGCCACATTCTCGTCGCTCTCCCCCTGCAGACAGCCGCGTGTTTCTGACGTCCGACGTCTCGGGGTGGTGGAAACAGGTGGCGGGCTCATCCCTAGCTTTCCGGGTCTTTGTCCTCCCTAATGTAATCTGGGCTGTAGTGACGTGGATGGTCACTTGGCATCTCCCAGGTTTGACGGGAAACAGTGATGGAAGTTGGGAGGCCATTTGGCAGGTTCTCTCTTTTAATCAGTTACATTACAGCCTCGTCTCTTTCTCCCTCGACCCCTAGGACGTAAAGCAGGAGCTGATAAAGTTGGTGAGGGCGGCGGGGTTCTCACCACCCGCACCTGCTGGCGGCTGGGAAGGCGGCAAGGCGGTGCAGGCCCTTTCCTTCCAAGAGACCGCCCTCCTGAAAGCCGTCCTGGCCGCCGGGCTCTACGACAACGTGGGGAGGGTCGTCTGTGCGGAGTCGGTCGATGTCACGGAGAGACTGGCCTGCGTCGTGGAGACTGCCCAGGGCAAAGCACAAGTGCACCCGTCCTCCGTGAACCGGGCCCTGCAGACCCGCGGCTGGATCCTGTACCAGGAGAAGGTGGGGCGCCCCTCCTCCCACCGGGCCGGGCGGCCAGCGCGGCCTCTGGCTCTGGAATGGAGCCCAGAACGCGCATAGTCACTTGGTGGAAAACAGCCCTTACTCATCGGTGAAAGCAAAGGGTTCCTCGGGGACCGCCGCCACCCGCTGTACTCGAAGTGCAGAGAAGGCAGCAGAGACGACCTCCAGTCTCCTGCCGCTTCCCCGGGGTCTCGCTGAGGCGCTCTCGGTGGGGAAGGGCCGCCCAGCTGCGCTCCCAAAGAAGGGGTTTTGGGAGACCTGTGTCGTGGGGCACGGTGTGAGTCACGGTGTAGCCCTGACATGAGGTCACACCGCACGTTTACAGGTCACAGCTAGGACAGTCGCCCGAGTCAGCTTGTTAGGGTGGCAGGGACCCGGGATTTCAGCCCCACCTACCATCACTCCTAAATGTAAAACACGGGAAGTTCCCGACCCACGGTCACCGCTGGACACCAGAACCCGTGAAACTGCATCGCAGTTCTCTTCTGCGCGAATCACTTCACTGGCAGCGTCAGCATCGTGAAGGTGCTTGTTAGTCTCTCGCGGGTTCGAGGTGCGGAGCGGTGCGCGTGGAAAACCACACAGCGATCAGTAAGCAACGACACAGGAGAGGGCTCCGTGCTGCGCAGCCGCCACTGCAGACCCGCCTCTGCCCACACCGCGTGGCCCAGCGCTCTGGCGGGCCTTCGAAGCGCCTTTGGAGAACAGGAACCCACGGGGGGCGGCGCACGCAGGGGGCTGTGCGCACGCGCGTTGCAGAACTCAGGCCGCCTGTGCCGAGTCTCCGAGACGCGCGCGACCGCGATGCGCACGTTTCGTCCGCGTTCGGGCTGTGAAGGTTTGTTCTCCTGGTCGTTCCCACGCAGGTGCGGTATGCCAGAGTGTACCTGAGAGAGACCACGCTGATCTCCCCTTTCCCGGTGCTGCTCTTCGGCGGCGACATTGCGGTCCAGCACCGGGAGCGCCTGCTCTCCGTGGACGGCTGGATCTACTTTCAGGTGCGCGCTGCCGCGGACAGACGACTGGCGACGTTGCCGTTCCACTCCCGTGCGGCTGGGAGAGTTCTGGAAACATTTTGGCATTTGTGTAACTTTTTCCTGTGATTTGCCTTAAAGTAGATTATAGTATCTTGCCCCTGTGGTCTTAAATCTGTTAAATTTGAAAATCAAGTCACCTTGCTGTACAGACCATGCTCGTCTCCAGTGATAGTGGCCACTCGTCACGGGTTGCAGCCGCAGCAGCACGGCCTCCTCCCTGTAGGTGGGGCGTGGGCTCAATGAGAAGCGGCTTTCCTGGGTCGCACTGCTGCTCCTGGCAGAGCAGGGTCTAGCCCTAGGACAGCCTGACCCTCACACCCACGCTTGTCCTTGCTGGTGTGTTGTCTGAAACTCTGGGAGAGCCAGGCTGGCCTCTGCCACCAGCCAGGAGGCTTCCCCTGCAAGCCTGTCACCACCGCCCTGTGCGCACCAGGCACATCTCACCCAGGGAGCCCCGGGGCAGCGGTGTGTCCAGGCCGGGGCAGGAAAGACGTTTCCAGTGTAGTTCGCAAAGGAGCTGAGGTGGTGGCAACGTCCTGTCGCTGGACCTCACAGCTCTCGCAGTTTTCTGCAAGTGGCTGAATGGTGCACTTAGGATGAGGACCTTTTTACAGCTACAAATGATGCCTCAGTGAGCTGTTTTTAAATATGTGGTCAAATCTGTGGATTCTTAGTAAGGAAATTGAGGTTGGTGTAGCTCAGCCACAGGAAGGAGCCTGCCTCTGTCCTCCCAGAATGCCCTGGGCCAAGCCAAGATGCGCAGACCCGGGTCCAGGCGCAGGCTCGGTGCCCGGAAGCAGCTGCCTCCAGCGCCCTCTTCCCTCCACAGGCCCCCGTGAAGGTAGCCGTCATTTTCAAGCAGCTCCGAGTTCTCATCGATTCTGTCCTCAGGAAAAAGCTTGAAAACCCCAAGATGTCCCTTGAAAGTAAGTGTCTGACCACAGCGTTGGTAGGAACAGCGCACTTTGCAGCGTTGGAGTGCGCCCTGTAGTGCTGGAGTCTGAGGTCCAAGCGGTTAAAACTGTCACTAAAACGTGTTTAATGCTGACTCCCATCAGACTCACGGACAGTTGCTCGCAGCCAAACGGTGCTGCTGAGAGCCCTTTAGTTTATTCCGCCCCCTGACCCTCAGGTCTGCGCACCTGGCCATTCCACACAGCAGTAAACCGGGAGTGTGGCTACTGGAAAACGTAGGAATGAGGGGACCCCCCCCCCGCTGCCCGCCTCACAGGTGCAGAGCCTGAGTCTGCGCAGCTGCCCTCCCCAGATCATGGCAGACGCTGAGGTTCCCGTGAGCCTGGCGCAGGGCCCTGGACTGGCCAGGCACGAGGGGGTCCTCAGGTGGTCCCAGCAGCTATGAAAATACAGTCTGGAGACCCTCCGGGACACAAGGGGTCTGCCCCGTGGGAGGCCTGCGGCCCCGCGGGTTTCTGGTCTGACCTGAAACACCTCCCTTCCGCTGCCGCCTGCTTTCTGAGTGACATCACGGCAGCAAATTGGGCGGTTTTCCGGGTGGACTCCCCCCCCCCACTCAGGATGTGGTCCGTGTGTCTTCGTGCTCTGAGCTGACGTGTTTCCCTGCTCTGCTCCTTGCAGACGGGGAGCCCTGTCTAAAGGGTTGATTAGGGTCCGGTTTTCAGGGAAGGAGTGTTTCTCGTTGGCTCTAGACTCCCCCTTGCTTCGCGCCAGGAGCACCTGCATTGGGGTTTTCTGCTTTAAGGACTGACTGGTAACTGTCCCCGCGGTTCTCACTGCTGAGCAGGCGGCAGGGCAGATGAATGTGGGTGAAAAAGCCTCTCGCGGGTGTGGTTCTTCTGGCTGTTGGAAACCAGACTCTGTCCACTGTCCACGAGTGAGGGGTGCGGCCATCCCTTGGGGACTTTGTGCGTCACAGCGCAGCCTCAGCAAGGACGGCCTCAGCGAAGGTTGGTAGGGCCTCCACCTTCCGTGGAGGCAGGTGAACTATAAACGGATTCAGTGTCTCCCTTTGCCGGCAGGAGAGAGCAGCGCTCACCCGAGAGGAAGCCATTTCTGGCTGGCGAGGGGTCTGCCAGTGCGCTTGCTCCTGCCCCCCCCCCCGCCCGGACTCCACAGGGAGAAAGATTGGGGCATAACTAATGCCCAGCTTTTGAAAAAGAAGTAGCTAAAGTCCCTCCCGTGCTGCCGGTTACTCTGCTCCTCCACTAAAAATCACGGTTCTCCTTAGACCCGCAGCCACTCCCCGGGCAGCAGCCACTCCCGGGGCAGCTCGGAGGTTTGTCTCTGCCCCCAGGAGCATCAGGCCACGCCCATGGTCCCAGTCCCCACTGCACCCAGTCGGCCCTGCAGCCTCTTAGTCCTGCCGCACTGATGTCACAGCGTCCGAGGAGTGGTTAGGAGGTCACAGCGTCGGGGCAGCTGTCAACAACACCTCCTGAGCAAGCAGCGCCTCTGGGGTCTGTCTCTGTGGTGACCGGATGTGGCTCCGTTGTGGTGGGGCGAGGCTGACTCCTCGCATTGACACCTCTGTGAGCCGGCTTCCCGGGCAGCCCTTCCCTCTTCCGCTCCCTTCTGCTTCCTCCCCAGTAGACGAGGAGAGGGGCAACATTCCCCGGCTGGAGGGAGGGAGTGGCGACAGGCCGGTCCCTCCCAGGGAGTCCCCGCTCTCTGAGGAGCCCACCCAGCCTTCAGAGCAGCTGCGTAGGTGGGGAGTTAGCGGGCTCTCGTTGTGAAGGGATTTGTAATAAGTAATTCCTCACAGAGGACTAACAGTCACATCGCATCTTCCCTTTGGGCCTTCGCCTGCTCTTTGCCAAAGTCGGTGTGTGGCTGTAGCAGCAATTAAAGTAGCATTTGTAGGGCAGCAGATCACGCAGGCCAGTGGTTTTCACCTGGTGCACCGCAGGCACTGAGACACAGGCAAAACCTGGCTGCGGAGTCGGGGGCGCGACCTCCTTCCCTCTAAACCACCCAGTGAAAACGACGGCCACCCACACTGCAGGTGTCTGGGGTGGACACATCAAAGTTACTCCTGTTTTTCTGTCAGGTCAGCAAACACGTCTTTTGGTGTGATGCAGAATTTTTGTAACCAGTGTTGATTCTGCTTTAATTTAATTAAAGGAGGAGTTGTTTAGTTGTAAACAACATGCCTGTTGTTTACACAGGTGCACACCGGGAAGTGAGCTGCTGATGGATTTGCTTTTCTCTCCCATGCAGATGACAAGATCCTACAGCTCATAACAGAGCTGATAAAGACAGAGAACAGCAACTGAACCGACGCCCGTGGCCGCCTGCTGCGGAAACACAGATGAAGGTGCGGTCATGGACTGACTTGACAGCAGGCCGTCCCCCTGTGAGGTCTCTCCATCCCGACGGTGGCGGCGTGGGCTGGCGCAGGGGCAGCGGGGGACGCGCCCTCCTTCCACACCTGTGATTCCCACTTCCCTTCCAGTGACGATGTCACTCGGTGCATCTGCTGCTGCGCTCACAACAAGCCCTTGGGGGCCACCCACTGTGCGCGCCCCTTTGTGCCTTACGGGTGGGGCCTGCTCTGGGGTGCCTGTGACTTGGTGTCGGGAGCCCCCGTGCACCCCCCCGCCGCACCCTCCAGTGCCAGCCCCTGGAGAGTTGGCACCTCCCTGACGCAGAGAGAAAGTGGCCCCAGACCAGCTGCAGTCAGACATCTGTGAGCGGGCACGGCTGCAGAGGTGGGCCCTCCAGCACGCGACCCCCCGAGTCCACACCTGAGCAGCCACTCAAGTCCTAGGCACTGGGCCTGAGCCTGAAGGCACCTGCGCCGTGCGGGTGGCAGTGCCACCTGGGAGCACATAGTAGGTACTCAGTGTTTCTTGATGAATAAAGTTTTATTACCTAATTTCCATGTAGAAGACAGAATTTGGAAACTGGGGGACACACACACACACTACATTTAATTGTAGAATGGAGTTACTCGCCCCAAGCCACAGTCTGGGGGAACTAAGCAGGCCCTATTCACTCACAGTCCTGGTGGGAACCCAGTGGGCAGCTCAGGAGGTCGGGGCAGGGGCTGTGCCAGGAAGGGCCGAGGGCTCAGAAAAGGGAGTGGGGTGAACCTGAGACTAGCTGGTTTGGGGGGGCGCCTGCCTGGGAGAGAAGGACGGCCACGGTGCGCAGCGGCGGGAGGAGCAAGGCCAGAGGGAGCAGGGAGCCCAGTGGGGGGGGGGGGGGCGTGGTGCCAGTGTGTGCGGTGCCCGTCCCTGTCGGTGCTCCTGGCGTGAGCTCTGGGCGGAGACAGCGTCTCCCTGTGCCTTTCACTGTGGCGTCCCAGCGTGTCCTTCCCTCGTTCTCGTTCGTGACACTTGCCCCAAGTTTTCCCCCTCTGCCCCCTCCACCCCCGCACCCTGCCGACTGTGGGTCGTTCACACATGTTCTTTGGTCCCTTCTTCCTGCCCTTACCACCCCATCATTCCTGAACCAAGGCCAGCGCACTGGGTGTCCCAAACCCAAGGCCGGCGGGCTCCTGGAACACACTTTGCGGAAAGGGACGTGTGTCGTTGACACACAGCTCCCTGGGGTGCTCCACAGAGTGAAGGCCGGGTCGCGGTGGACGGGGAGCTGCCGCTGTTGGAAGTCTCGAGCGCGACAGCCGTTTCATGCGCCCTTTGTCTCCCTCCTTCAACAGCCGGCCTCGCCCGGGGGCCCCGACCCGGCCGCTCCATCCGTCCATTTCTCACCGCACTGGGACCTGGAAGTGCCAGTTGGTGGCCCCACCTGCCACCTGCGGGTGCTCCCAGAGCCACAGGCCCCCGGTGCCTTTGCTCACAAACTCAGAGAAATGTGTGACAAGGTGGCCTCCCCTTGTGGCTTTTGGTGTGGGGGTTCTTTTACTGCAGACGAAGGTGCTTACTGCTACCGTCTGTTTTCTGGGCGGTAGAGGAAGGAGAGACAGACAGGTCTGCCCTGTCCGCCAGCAGCAGCCAGCTTCTCCTCGCACGTGGTGGGGAGCCCTCTGAGCTGGCAGGGCACCCCAGATGACCGCTTCAGGACAATGTGACTGGGCCTCGGTGGGACCGCCCCCCACCCGAAGTGGCTGCTCCCCAGTGTATGGGGTTGTAAGCAACCTTTCACAAAAAAGCCCTCACCCGGGGAGCGGGGGGAACAGCAGGGGAAGAAAGGGACTGATGGTTCGGCCTGTGAGCAGCAGGAAGCCAGTCCTGGCCGGCCAGTCGGGGGCGGCCCGGCGGTCCCCTCTGGCCAGCACACTGCCAAGTCTGCACAGACCTCGGGCACAGCTGGCCGTTCTGCCCCCCGCCTCCCACTGCCTGCTCTGTGTAGGCAGGGGCCGTGTGCGTCTCATCCACCCTGCAGAGCTGGGCCATGCCCAGCACTTAGTAGGTGCTTGCTGAAGAGTGGGTGTGGGAGGGCAGAGACAGAAGCACAGCATTCGGGACAGCTGCGTTCCGGTCACGGGAGAGTTCCGAGACAGCGTCCTGGCATGCGTTGTCTCTCTGGGTGGGACAGACAGAGGTTCACACCGGCAGCGGAAGGTGCGGCGCGGGGGGCGCTTTTTGCCAGCCAAGAGTCTGGCTGGAGAACAGAAGAACAGAGGCAGCTTCCCTCCCGCTGAGGCTGCCTGCTCTCAGTGCCCCCCTCCCCACGCGGTTGCTGGGCGGCAGACTGGCCAGGCCTCTCTGTCCGGCACTCCCACCCTCTCAGCGCCTCCTCAGTGGGGGCCGATCCCAGACATCAGACTCGGCCTGCTTGGCGCAGCTCCAGTCCATGGCCTGTGTCCTCTGGCCAGAGGCTCCGCTTCCCTCTCTCCCCACCCCGGTTCTAGGTCAGCCTGCACCTGCAGGCTCGTGAGGCAGCTCTGCCCGCCCTGCCAAACCCCACGCAGAGCCTCGGGGTTCCTCGCAGGAAGTACAGCCCGCCCTGACCCCGTGGTCTCCTCCTGGGGCCCCGCAGTCTCAGAGCCTTCCTTCAGCATTCAGCAAGTGCAGGGCCACTCTCCATGTGAGTCCCGCAGCCACAGAGCAGGGACAGTGCCTGCGCCTGCCTCTCGGGGCGCAGGCACTGATAACACGCTGCAGTAAGTGTGCGACCTTGTGAAGCCAAAGACCTCGGGGGAGGCCAGCAACCCAAGGTCTTACCTGCCCTGCTCCCGTGACCTCTGACACTCGGGGTGTGCTGCCTGAGTCTGGAGGCCTCTGTGCCCTGCTGGGCTACCTACCTACCTGTTGGTCCGCGTGGCTGATGCCCCCACATCCTAGAGCTCTGGGCCCGAATCTTCCCAGTGAGCCTCCTCTGACCAAGTCGCCCCCTTCAGCAGCTGGCGGCCAGCGCCCCAGGGCCGGCCCAGTCTTGTGTGTGGCCCCTGTGCTGCCACCTGGAGGTCCATGGAGGCAGGGGGATTCGTCTGCTCCGGTCGCTACATCCCAAGTCCCAAGGCAAGTCTCCCAAGAGAAGAGGCATGGCTCTTGCCCCACGAGGGGCCAGGCCGTTTCACTCTGTCCACTCCTTTCCCATGTCCACTCAAGACAGATATCCACACTTTTCGGGCCTCACCCGGGTGCCCTGCTTTCTACATAGCAAATGCCCCAAACAAGTCTGAGGGTGCGAGTGAACGTCAATGCTGCAGATGTTACACCTGCCGGGCCGGGAGGCCTGTCCTCACCTGACCCCTCCGGGTCTACAAGGAGGTGGGCTGCCCCTGAGAGGGGCCACAAGAGAGGGGGCATTGCCACAACCCACCCCAGTCCAGGGGAACCCTCCCAGGCGCCCGAGACAGCCCCCGGGGCTTCCAGGTCCCGGAGCTCTGGGGCCTGAGCTGTCTCGCCGCCGTGCCCAGCTGGTGTGGTTCTCCTCTGTTCCACTGCAACCCAGGCCCCACAGGGCAGGTGGTGGCTGGGGACGCCCACCCGACGTCACACTTCCCTTCCAGCCTTGGAATGGAGCGCAGCGTCTGACCGTGACGACACAAACTCCACGGAGGGAAAATGCCTTGTCGTTCCCCCAGGCGATGCTCACCTGCAGGGCCGCACCTCCGGGTCGGCAGCTCCAAGACCTGCCTCGGGTCCCAGAGGGAGTCCGGTGGACTAGGGCAGGAACATCATAAACGCCCGCTGACACGCAAGTGGGATGTGGGACACGCGGCCTGTTTCAGGTGTCAGCAAACTGAACCACACGTGTTATTTTTCCCAGTGGCAAAGAGACATGTGCCTTAGCTTGAATGAAACAATCGCACTGAGCACACTTCATGCCTCACGCAGCCCTCAGGGCAATTTTATAGAGTCCTCTCACCACACTTTTAAAATAAGATTTAATTTATTTATTTTAGAGAGAGGGGAAGGGAGGGAGAAAGAGAGGGAGTGAAGCATCACTGTGTGGTTGCCCCTAGCACACCCCACACTGGGACCTGGCCTGCAACCCAGGCATGTGCCCCGACTGGGAATCAAACCGGCAGTGCTTTGGTTTGCAGGCCTGCACTCAATCCACTGAGCCACACCAGCCAGGGCCACCCCACTTTTTTAACACTGGGAAAACCCCAAGTTTGTGGAGCTGGGGTGCTGCGTGGCCTCCTATCCACGTGGATTCCAACCCACGGGGCTCGACTCCAGAGGGCGAGTCTGAGCTGTCATTGCGACCACCTGTGCTGGGCGGGCCACCACAGGTGGGTGTGAGCCCGGAAGAAAGGCAGGTGTGGGTGAGGGGAGAAGCGGTGTGTGTGAGTGTGTCTACGGACGGTGGTGAACTGGCAGGTAGGCAGGTGTGGACACTGGTGGACATTGACACGTGTAAGTCAAAGGTCAGGCTTTAAAAATGCTGAAAATTCCTGCCCTTTGTTACTAAATACCAGCAATATGTGGTATTTGTGTGTGTCTGACTTTGAACACCTTAATTTCTTCTGTTTGGGCACTTAAATACATTAACAGAAAACAGCGTCTTCAGCGAATGTAACTTTTAGTGACAGTCAAGCCTGCGTTTGAGGGTCATCTGAGGTGAGAACAAAGCCGTCCTCAGCCGGGTGGCAACCCGCTTGTTTCGTTTGCTACGAAAGGCGCTGTGGTGCGGGAACGTCCTACTCCAGCCCCAGCCGGGGGCTGGGCAGGCTGCGGGGTGCTCCTCGCTGAAGCCGAGGTGCCGACCTGGGAACACAAAACACGGCGGGCGAGAGGCCACCTCGGCCCGCGGTGCTCACGCCCGGCAGACGTCATGCCCCGCAGCTGGGCGGTCGGCTGGGCGGCTCTCGGCGCAGAAGCCTGGTTTAATTAGGTTTGGCATTTGACAAGTATTTTAGGGTTTACCCACTGCCTTCAAAGAGCGCCGGGCCCAGGGCCCAGAGAGATTAGGAAACAAATTAATTTTAAAGACCCTTCTTAGGGAAACTAAAAAGCCCTTAACTTGGACCACACTGCTCATACCACAAACGCTGCACCCCGGTGGCCCCCGCTGTGCCCCTCCAGCCCGTTTGGCAGTGATGGGCACAGACGTCTTTCTCCCTCCCTTCCCCCTCCCCCAGGACGTGTTTACTGATTTGAGGGAGAGAGACAGCGGTTGGTTGCCTCCCGCGTGCGCCCCAGCTGGGCCCTAAGTGCACCGGCCGGGAATCAAACCTGCAGCCTTCTGCTGTAAGAGACAACGCTCCAACCAATGCGCTACCCCGCCCGGGCACACTCGTCTTCTAAACAAAGGACAGACCAGCCCTCGCCTTGGTCCGGCCTCTCCCGTGGCTCTAGGTCAAGTCTAAAGTTTGGTGGAAGCGGGAAGCAGACTCAGCTCTGCGTGATCGCGCTGCGGCAGGAGCGCCGCCGGCGAAGTCTGCCCTCGCTGTCGGCGTGACCGTGGGCCCAGTACTTGTCCTCTCTGTGCCTCGGTTTCCTTTTTTTGTAA